GGGACACTTTAGGCACCCTGTTCCTATAACCTTGAAATATACAACAATGCAGTTTCAGAGAAACTTCGACATTTACATTGCAGGGTAAGGCAATCTCTAGCAGCTGTCTTCCTGGCAGCCACTAGAGGCAATTCTGCCTTGAGAACAGAGTCAAACTTTGTTTACAATCAAATGCTGCTCTATGGGAGCAGCGTTGCATTCTTGCCGAACATACTCACTAGCCTCCCAATGGGGAACTATTTATTTGGATTTGCTGAGATTACAGTTAGCCAGTCCTGGAGTATCCCTTTAATTATATTTTTAAATGCTTAAAGGATCACTATAGTGTCAGGAAAACAAACTCGTTTTCCTGACAATATAGCATCCTTAGGACCCCCCCACCCTCAGGGTCCCCCTCCCTTAGCGCTGAAGGGGTTACTTACCTTTATCCAGCACCGGGCTCCCTCGGCGCTGGTGACCTCTCCTCCCTCACCAACATCAGCTCCCGAGCTTTCTCAGTGCTTTCCTATGGACTTTCTGCATGCTGGATGCAAATTTTGCATCCAGCGTCACAGAAGCGCCACTAGCAGCTGTCAGGAAGACAGCCACTAGAGGTTGGATTAACCCTGCAATGTAAACATAGCAGTTTTTCTGAAGGGTTAAAACTTGGGGGACCTGGCACCCAGACCACTTAATTGAGCTGAAGTGGTCTGGGTGACTATAGTGTCCCTTTAAAGGGACACTCTGGATCCTTAAAGCACTTTAGCTTGCTAAAATGCTTTATAAGTGAAGAGTGTGCCCTCTAGTTTTCATTTTTAAAAAGTGGAGATTTCAATAGAAATTGGCACTTTTCCAAAAATAACCTTGTTAACCCCTGCTAACTTTCAAGCCGACAACAGGTTTACTTCCTGGTTTGTTTAGCTCAGTGGAGCTAAATTCACGAGGCAGGCCTTTACCTTGCAAACGCATTTCATTGAGCTGTAGTTGGAAAGTGTTTGATTGGGCAGCCACAGAAAGTTTGGGCTAAGGGAGAAGGATGGGCCTTGCAGAGGCAGACAAGTGAACTGCTGCTGTTTTTAGATATACCCACAATGAAAAAAGTATAATTAGATGCAGGTATGCTTTTAGTGGAGGTATATCTACTAAAAAAGTGATATTTATTTCTTTTGGACTTGGGAAATGGAATGCCTTTTTAATTGCTCTTGACTGTATGAGCAGTGCTTATTTTATTTTTTGTTTTTTTTTAACCATAAATTTGACAAAATATTGTATTTTGCTTTTTGTCAGGTGCATAAATTTCATGCCAGATTATTATTTTAGGATTGGTTGTCTTCAAACTCCTGATGAATATTTTTTCAGTTTACCTTACCCATGGGTCCATTTAGAATATACTTGTATAATATTTGTACTAGTAAATTAATCTGTTTTAGATTCACTCCTAATCCTTTAGGTAATTCCTTAACATGTTTAGATCCCCTAATATATATTCTTCAATTAGGGTTCATCACTTACACTGCAGCTCTTCTTTCTGGATGGCGAAGAGGCTATTGTTGATTGGACAGTGAGAGACTCGCTGTATGGGGCACGGCATTTGGCCCAGCACTTGAAAAAGGCTGAGATACCAGGAGGAGGCGGCTCCCAGCTCAGTGCCATTGTAAGAAGATTATTCATTGTCATATTTTTATTTGAGTCAGTTTGGGTTCTAAAAATTAGATATAGGCTGTTTGTTATCTTTTTCTTTTCTGTGTAAAATAACAAAAACTACTATAACTGAAATCTAATATAGAAAGTTGTGTTTTTACAATCTTAGTTTCATTTAGAGACTTTTGAATTTTTCTTGTGACTGTTCCAGAAGGTAGATAAAATGTGTATGAAAAAGGTGCTGAACATTCTGTGCTACGTCTGTCAAACTGACTTTCGTTTGTGCCAAATTGAACAACAATGCATTTTCCCTGTGGGTAAAATGTATAACGAATGATGCTTTTTTGACTTGGCAAACAGGGGAGCATAAGTATCTGTATTTATAGGAGTGAAAAAATAGATGGTGCACAGTATTAATATATACATATAGGCACTAACTCCGTTACTATTTTACAGTATACATCATAGCTATTTATTCTTGCATGTCTTCCTTTGTGTTCTTATAGAAGAAAATGAGGAGACAGTATTGGAATTCTCTCTAATTCCTGATTCATAAGAAAACTGTGAGCATAATTGCTTTCTTGGAGATTTGCCAATTACTTCATCTTCTCTCTTCTCCTTCACACCAGAATCTGTTCATTCTTCTGGATCTGCTTGGAGCTCCAGATCCTGTGTTTACGAGCCACTATTCTGAAACGAATGGACACTTTCTGAGGCTGCGTGCTCTTGGTGAGTGCTTTGCTCTGTGTGAAAATATAAAGTCTCATTGTCTTCCCTTCTTTGCCACAACAAACACTATTTATTTTTTTTTCTCTCACGTTTCTCCATTTTTAGAGAAGCGGCTACATGGCCTTGGTTTACTGAAGTCCCACCCATTTGAAAACGCCTACTTCAGGAATGACATATATTATGGTCCTGTAGAGGATGATCACATTCCATTTGTAAAGCAAGGTCTGAACACTCACTGTCTATCTCTCCTCATAACGTTAAGTTAAACTGTGTAATACATACTGTTGTAAACCTATGGTGTCTCACCTAATGCTTGTATATTCTTGTCTGCTCTTCTCAGGTGTCCCTGCACTTCATGTGATCTCCACTCCATTCCCAGCCGTTTGGCACACTCATGACGACACAGAAGAAAATCTACACCGCCCGACTGTCATCAACTTGTGTCGAATATTTGTCGCCTTTCTCAGTGAAACACTCTCACTATGATCTTGATGGCCCACAAAACTGTCCTGGAAACGAACTGCTGTGGTATTCTTAAAGTATTTTTCAGCAAATTAAACAGGATGTGTTTACAAAATAATACCTGTTTATAAACTACTTGACATTGACTGTCCATGTCTTATAGACACCGGTCTCCCATAGAGATATACAAATTTATATTCTGGAATCATGGAAACCTCTAACAACTCATTTAAATGGAGCAAAAGAACACTTGGAATTAAATAACACATGAAATTAAAAACATGGTACACATCATGTATAAAACCAAACCAAAAAGTCTGATGGGATTCCATTGTACATATCTGCTAAGTGGATAATGCTGCCTTAATGTTTAATTTAATCACCTGAAAATACCCACAGAGCACAGGGTAATAAATAAAAAGTATATACAAATCTTTTGAAGAGCACAGCGACACCCCAATTGAACATCCTGGTTTCTCCAGCTGAGGGGGGTGACAGCTAGTGTGATGCAGCTGTCTATGCATTGCTAGCAGCCAGCATCCCAGGCATATACAGGTGGCGGTCTAGTGTTCTAACCAGAATAGCAGGAAACAGCGCGCACACACAAAAAAATACAGTTTTACATTTTACAAGGCTACTTAAAGGGACAGTATAGGCAGTTAGACCACTTCAGTTTATTTAAGTGGTCTGGGTGCAGTGTCCCTGTCACACTTAGTCCTGCAACGGAAATTATTGCTGTTTTAGAGAAACTGCAATGATTACCTTGCAGAACTTACTGCCTTTATGGCTCTTAATCACGCAGCCAATAGAGGCACTTCTTGTTTGTTAGGCAACTTTCTTTTGCCTAACTGATACACAAGATGTCCTCACACACATGAGGACAGCCAGGGTCAGCTAAATCCCAATCGGAAAGCAATGCAGCAGTGTTTTCCTATGGCGATGGGCCTAATGTGTTTGCAGCGTTTGTCGCTGATTAGTAGTACTCCAATAGAACAAAATGGTAATAGCACCCGTGTTTTTTTTTTGTTTGTTTTTTTTTTTTTTAATCGAACAAAACTTATTAAAAAAAAAAAAATATGTACAGTATCAATACAAAGTATAGGCAGTGAGATTGACTAAACGTTTGTCACTTTTCCTGAAATGTTTTTGTTTTCTAATAGCAGAAGGATCATTTAAATTATACCTACTGTGCACTCTACATATTTGAGACAGTGTACAAGAATTACTGTAAAACTAATCGCCAGGCTTTGACTACTGTGTCAAACTCCACAGTAGCATAGATATAATTCAAGCGATTCACCATTCGTCTAACCTTTAATAGTTAACCTCAATGAGAGTTTAGATCTGCAGCTCAGACAGGTCTTGGTAATGTACACTTTTCGTGTTTTACAACACTAAGAATATTATCACTTAATAAATATTTTTTGAAGGAATGTGAAGCGAACAGAATCTCTTTGCACACCTCTTGCTATTGTTTCTTTGAAAATTGTTGTATATTTAGACACACATAGAGAGTGTATGTATGTGTGTGTGGAGCAAATGTCTGTGTACAATAGTGTGTCTTTCCAACTGGGTAGCACATGTGTACTAGCCTGTGTAGGGATAATGGGGTGTGTGAGTGTGGTATGCAGCGGGAGTAATGATGATGAGCTCTCAATGTGCTACCCAAGGACTGCTCCCTAGTAAACCCAGATGTGGGGAACCAAGGCAGAAAATCAGAAAAAAGCAGGAGAGGACCCCAAAATTGAGACTGGCCCACCAAAAGTAGGACAATTGCATGGCATGCTGTGGGCAGGTGCCTACTATACCAAATCTGGACCTGCTTTTCATAAAATGTCACACTAAGTAATATCACAACTTTGCATATTTATCACTATGTGAAGAACAGGAACTGCTCTTGGGAATTATCCCATAAGTCACTTCTGGACAGTGACGTATATGACAAGTAAACCCCATAGACCAGAATATAACCTGGAACTGCTTAACCTAAAAATGCATGTCATTGATTTATGTTCTGAATAGGTCTATCCACATTTACTTCACTTAGTGTTAATCTTTTCCTACATCTGCTGTTAGAATATTCTTTGTATCCACTAATCTTTTAGTGAGAAAGTTATTTATGTGAAGTAACACAAGAATGTCTAAAACACTGGTGAAATGCTGTATTTTGATAATGCAGAGTGTATTAAATTGGATGTAACTACAATCAGTCTACTTCTGTTTAAAATCATCCCCCCACCCACGTCCAAAATGAGTATTTCAAAAACATAAAATTTTTATGAAATACTCACATTGACTGCCTAGTCAAAAGATAGAATAAGTCCAAGCAGGGGCTACTTTGTCTTAATATTTTCCCTACGCTTGACATACCTTTATAAAAGGCCATCACAATTGACGACTGAGAGAAAAAAGGCTTTTTCTATGGAGGATCTGCGGTCTTGTTGTTATGGTACATGGAGTGACCCTTTAATATAATATCCTTGGGACAGTAGATGGAGGTCTTTTCCCTAAGAAAGTTCCATGCATCAGGTCTACCTCAAAATCTTGGAAGTGTTTTCCCAAACCCATGTGTTCATCCAGAAAACCAACTTGCGTGAAATTGTTTTTGCAATTGTTTGCTTGTATCCCACTTTCATGCACATTGTTTTAAAAGGACACGATATACACCAAAACAACTTTAGCTTAATGAAGCAATTTTGCTGCATAGATCATGTCCCTGCAGTCTCACTGCTCAATTCTCTGCCATTTACGAGTTTATGTAGCCTTAATCCTACCTCCCTGCATGTGACTTGCATAGTCGTCCTGTAAAGACAGCTCTGTTTATACTTCCGTTATTGCATAGTCTGTTTAATTTAGAAGGCCTTATCTCCTGCTCTGTTACTTTAGACCCTGCATGAGCCTCCTGTGGGTGATTAAAGCTTAATTTACAGAGCAGGAGATAAAAACGTATACAGCAAGTTAACATGTGAATAAAAATGTAACTTTTTTTTTTTTCATGCAAGCTGTGTCAGTCACAGCCAGGGCAGTTATGGCTAGGGCTCTTAAATGGCAGGGAACTGTGCAGTGAGACTGTAAGGACATGATCTATACACCAAAACCGCTACATTAAGCTAAAGTTGTTCTGATGCCTTTTAGTGTCTCTTTATTGGCAACAAACTTTTTTTTTTAGAAATACAACCACATACAACTACATTAACAGGCAGCTGAGAAGTATTTATTTATTTTTAAAAATCTACAACAAGAAAGAAGAAGTATGGGGGCGGGGGGGAAAGGTGATTGATTCTGTGTCTGATGAATAACTCTGCCCAAGATAATGTAACATTTCATGTTCTAAATGGTTCGTTAGAGCTTACGCCTGGAAGCGTGGCCAGGTTTTTACAGTATTGTAGAAGGTGTTCCCAGGGCAGTCGGTGGCGGTCACATTGCGATGTCCCTTTAGGATGTAGGCAGATTTAATGTAGCCTCTGGAGACCCCGCAGCTGATGAGGTTTTTAACTGCATTCTGGGCAGCAGTGGTGGGGTTTTTACCTGAAATAATGAAATAAAGATGGAGAATCTAAGTGAGAACAGTGGTGGTTTGTCTTTGTTTCAGTCAGCCAAGAGCTTCTTCATGATAAATCAAAACAGCCATATGGCAGCATTGTGGGTGACATGCCTATTAATTGAATATATTCCTGATGCTCACTCACCTCAAATTAAGGACTCCTCAACCAATGTAATGTGTTTATTCCACTCTCTAAAACCATGATTTAATATACTTAAAGTCAGCAGTTTTGTAAAACACCAGGCAAACTGCAGGTGGTGTTATCTATCGAAGTCCATGACCCCTTACGAATCAAATGTACCTCTTCATTCATTATTTAACATACCCAAAAGCTTTAGAATCTTTGTAAAATAACAGACAAACTTTTACAGTCTATTACTAACACACCAGCTGCTTCACTGTGACGGTCACCCTGTGCCCCTCACTATTCCCACTTTTTACTCCTGACTTACTGGTGAAGGATCCAAACACGCTGATTCCGATGGAGTTGGAGTTGTAATTTGGGGCATGTGCTCCAACTGATGTCCACCCACGACCTTCATAAGCATTTCCGTCCTCGCCCACCAGGAAGCTGTAGTATAAAGATGGGTCAATATGTTTCCAGTTGGAAAATAATAAATTAATCAGTATATGGGAAGACAAGGAGGGAAAATAAAATCTAGGTCCCAGCATCTGAAGTTTGAAGGGTTGCCTATACCTGCCTGTGATGCTGCAAGTTGGCTGTCCTGGTTTTACACAGTTTTTTGGGTTTTTGCCTTTTTAAGTATCACTAGATAGCATTTGATACAAAATCTTTCAGACCTAAAACAAGTCATATTTCTCCACCCACCTCCATAAAATGGACAAACACCCAAACATTCCGCCATCTTACTTGTATCCAATATCACACCAGCCATTGGAATTCATGTGGTAGTTCTGGATGTTTTTGGCCTGTGTGATGCAGGCAGACTGGGAGGTACAGGCTGTTCCCTCAGTGTGGTGGACGACCACATAGGTGACAGGTGTAGTCATTGCAGTTCTGCAAGTTGCTGCACGCCCGCCCCACTGGGACTTTGTGAGGATGGTGGGACATTGACCTGAAAGAGAGAATGTTACACTTTACAACTGTCAACATTTCCATTATGCTGTCAAAATGGTGTAACATAGGATTTTGTTACACCTTGAATGTTGGAATACTTCAGTGCTCCAGTTCTCGTTTTAATAGTGAGCTATATTGTATTATATTTTTAAAAAGGTCTTTCTACGTAAACATTCAGAGGTGAGACAAGATAGAGAGACACACATGCAAATATATATTTATGCCCCTTACCTTCTTTATCAGTTATCCCACCACCCAACTCAAAATTTTCTCCAGCTTATTTTTATTTGAGCATATTTCTTTTACCACAATTAAAAATCACTCATTATCTCTATCCCCTGCTGGACATGTGATGTGGTGATGGGTGGGGGTACAGCCAAATTAAGCAGGCCTAACTAAAAACGCAATAGGAGAAAAAATATTTGGATTTTTATTTTCCTGAAAAATCAGGTGTTCTTCAATGAGATTGAAATTTGACCTCGGAACACTGTGACTTTTGCTACCCAACCTCTAATTCCATCTGCAACCTTTGAAGATATGTTTCGTCTTGTGTATGCAGAACACAAATTTAATAATAAAAGAAAAAAAGTCCTCTTTAATCGCACACCAGGTATTTATGACATTTGGGGATTCTCTTACTTCTCTGACACCCTTATAAAATGTCTGTTGACTGATTTGACTTACCATAGGTGACTGCACACAGGGCAGCTAAGAGAAGGAGAAAACGAAGCATTTTGGATGACGAGCTTGAGGACACAAGATTAATACCTACAAGAAAGAGACAGGGGACAACAACAGACAGTCAGAGGCTGGAATTCAAGTGGTAGTAGATCAGGTTCTCTTTCTATACAGCTCTGAGAAGGAGAACTCACCTTCTTGCAGTAAAGTATCTGTGTGTGTTTTACTACCTGTCCTGGGACCCATTTATACCCCCTGTCCTCCCATGGGGGTGGCTGCTGCTGGGTATGTGGGTGGTGTTATAGAACACCTGATGTAGAGACTATTATGTAATATAACAGAGGGAGGGGAAGCGTTTTGGATATTTGAGTCCTGGCATGATAAAATGTATCTGCATTATCAGCATCACCATTGGCCAAGATTCGACAGCATGGATTTAGGGGTTCACACACTATATTTAGGGGTGCAGAGTATACTAGGGTTACAAACAAATAGATGTTTAACAGACATTATATGAAATCTGCCATAACATACACACATATCTACACAGTGGTAAAAAACAAAAGACAGATGTATTGCGGTGGGCTTTTTTGTAGCCTGTGAGTGTTTTGTTTTGTTTTTTTACATTAATTCATAGCACAGTCAACTCATCGAGGCTCAGTGATGAATGAAGAGAAATGGCTGAAATGTATTTTAATTTAAAAAAATAGTATATTTTATATGGAAAAATGAAGGGATTTTTTTCAGTATACATTCTGCTGCAAGAAACCTTGCATTTAGGAGAAAATTAAATTAAAAAGTTATCCTTTTTTAACATGCTTGTTTTTTTTCTGGGCAATCAGAAAGCTTAAAAAAAAATCTATGGATAATCATTAAATAAGACACATTCAAAGCTAACGGTAATCCTGCTCTTAAATGCAAGCTTTCTGGAAAAATACATGTTTAAAAACCTTATTTCAGTTCGTTCACATCTAAATTTGAAAACGTGTAGTTTTTTTGTTTTTGAGCAAACTGAACTTAATATGAAATACTGTCTCTTTAACTTAATGCTGACCAGTTCATCAGTTACACGTAAATAAACCATCTCTCCTATTTTTGTTGCATCTTATCACAGATTCAGGGACACAGAGCTGAGTGCAAAAAGCCAAGAAGTGGGTGTATTCAGCAAAACATTGCACGAGTGCAAACAATTTAATTATCTTGTACAGTTCTGCAGATTCCACAGGTGCGATGTTAAATAAAATAATACTACTTGTCCCATTGTTGGTCCCCAATCAATTTCAATGTACAGGATTTATCAAAGGATTTTTAAATATTCTGCACAGATTACATTAAACTGAACAGATTTCTGTAAATAAATGTGTGTGTTGTGTCTAGTTTTGGGATGTAAAAAAAAGACGGAGTAGATGCTTATATATAAAACATATAATATTATTGATAGTCATTAATATTTCGTTTAAATGTTTTGCACATTCAACTCCTTCATAATAGACATGATATAACCATCCTATCATTGCATTTGCCTAACTCCTTGACCTGATATAAACAAATATGTTTCAGGTGGTACGAACAAATTAATTAGAGTCTCTGTCACTGCCTGGGGTCTTTGCATAATTTGCAAAGGTTCCCAATGGTGACTTTGCCGCTGGGCGTTCATTGGCCGCGGGGTTCAGGGGAAAGAGAGTTATACCTACCCAAACCTGTCCTTTGTGGCCACTGCCATGCTATTCATACTGGCCCGCTTTAGCTGCTGGAGCTACGTGATGGCTGACGGAAATTACAAAACTTGGCAAATAGAGCGCCACCCTTTGTCAAGCGAGGAAAAAATATATTTTGACTGCATTGGTATTTCAGGGAAATTCCAACACAGTCAATGCAAGTATTTCATGAAGATTTTACTTATTTTGGAGGCGGTGGGGCTGTGGCATGGCCTCTTTAATCTGGGACCGAATTAATTGATCCATCCCGGGTTTATCTGTGAATTCTTATTCAATGAAGACTCCACAGGTAAATACTGGACAGATTCATTCTTCCAGGCCCAGATTAAAAAGGCATTGTCACGGCCCCGCCACCATCAAAATAAGTAAGAAATAGATTAAAATTGTTTTGTGTTTTTCATGCTGATTGTCCTTTGATGCTGAAAGTTTTACATCAATCACTGTAAACTGAGAAGAATAACTAGGTAAGGTTCGAACATGCTGGGAAATCATAAGAGTAAACCTTGCAAGGTTTCAAATAGCCAAAAAGGAGTGCACTTGTAGTGTTACAGGAATTTAACCCCTTAAGGACACGACATGTGTGACATGTCATGATTCCCTTTTATTCCAGAAGTTTGGTCCTTAAAGGACCACTCTAGGCACCCAGACCACTTCAGCTTAATGAAGTGGTCTGGGTGCCAGGTCCAGCTAGGGTTAACCCATTTTTTCATAAACATAGCAGTTTCAGAGAACTGCTATGTTTATGAATGGGTTAAGCCTTCCCCCTAATCCTCTAGTGGCTGTCTCATTGACAGCCACTAGAGGCGCTTGCGTGCTTCTCACTGTGAAAATCACAGTGAGAGCACGCCAGCGTCCATAGGAAAGCATTGTAAATGCTTTCCTATGAGACCTGCTGAATGCGCGCGCAGCTCTTGCCGCGCGTGCGCATTCAGCCGGCGGGGCGTAACGGAGGCGGAGAGGAGGAGGAGAGCTCCCCGCCCAGCGCTGGAAAAAGGTAAGTTTTTACCCCTTTCCCCCTTCCAGAGCCGGGCGGGAGGGGGTCCCTGAGGGTGGGGGCACCCTCAGGGCACTATAGTGGTCCTTTAAGGGGTTAAAGGAACATTATAGGGTCAGGAACACAAACATGTATTCCTGACCCTATAGTGTTAAAAACCACCATCTAGCCCCCCTGGCCCCCTTTACCTCCCTAAATATAGTAAAATCTTACTTGTATTCAAGTCTGAAACGGCTGACATCATCAGAAGTGGTGGTCTGAGCCAATCACAATGCTTCCCCATAGGATTTGCTGAGACTGTCAAGGAGTCAGATTAGGGGCAGAGCCATCACGAGTCAAACACAGCCCTGGCCAATCAGAATCTCCTCATAGAGATTAATTGAATCAATGCATTTCTATGAAGAAAGTTCAGCGTCTGCATGCAGAGAGTGGAGATACTGATATGTTGTGATGCACACTAGGTAAGACAGATAAAGGGAGCAGCTCTAGCAGCCACCTGAGGAGTGGCCAGTGAAGCTATCACTAGGCTGTAATGTAAACCCTGCATTTTCTATGAAAAGACAGTGTTTAACAAATTCAATAAACTGTAGTTGTTCTGGTGACTATAGTGTCCCTTTAAGCAACTTTGTCCGGGCTTGGCAAACTTTTTTTTTTCTTTTATCCCTACACACACTTTGCACTGTCATTGTCGGTGTAGATCTAAATATCATTAATGCATTCCCTCTAGTCTAAATCTTGCCATGTACCATATTCCCATATGTTTTAAAGGACCACTCTAGGCACCCAGACCACTTCAGCTTAATGAAGTGGTCTGGGTGCCAGGTCCTTCTAGGGTTAACCCATTTTTTTTATAAACATAGCAGTTTCAGAGAAACTGCTATGTTTATTAATGGGTTAAGCCTTCCCCCTAATCCTCTAGTGGCTGTCTCATTGACAGCCACTAGAGGCGCTTGCGTGCTTCTCACTGTGATTTTCACAGTGAGAGCACGCCAGTGTCCATAGGAAAGCATTGTAAATGCTTTCCTATGCGACCGGCTGAATGCGCGCATTCAGCCGACGGGGCGGAACGGAGGAGGAGAGAAGGAGGAGAGCTCTCTGCCCAGCGCTGGAAAAAGGTAAGTTTAAACTCCTTTCCCCCTTCCAGAGCCGGGTGGGGGCACCCTCAGGGCACTATAGTGCCAGGAAAACGAGTATGTTTTCCTGGCACTATAGTGGTCCTTTAACTCAAGATACAGAGAATCTACGCAGGTTGACGCAGCTTCTTTGGATACCAGTCCAGTTAAGTTGCAAAATATTTTGTCTGCCTACCTTGACTTTTGATTGCATTATTCATTTGATAAGAACAAGGACAATATTGACTGCTGGAATTGAATGTTCACAGGTGTGAATTCCATTATGATAACTTTACCAGCTTTTCTTTGGAATTTAGAATAAAACATAAAAATCATCCATAAACAGTGTAAACAAACGTTTCACAAGATGCTCAGCTTTTGTTTTTAAACTTATATTAAAGATTTAGAAAACCACATTATCAAATCCGAGCATATCAAACATGCAATTCACTGTTTAGGTGATAAATCCACCAAAAAAACAGAAACAAATGAGTGAAGTGCAATATAAATTACACTTAATCTTCCAATTATTTAGGGTAGCTGGAATATATATACACTGAAGTGAAAAGAAAAAAACATAGAATAGTGCAATACTGTGAAAACTAATTAAATATGAACTTAGTGCAGGATGAGCAATGTACACTCACATTTATTAGAGCCTTTTTTGGGTCTAGGCTCTAAACACAGGGACTTCTGTGCCCATAAAGTGGCAACAATACCTTTTATGCGCAGCAGATAACGTCCAATGGAATATGTATGGGAGGCAGCAAAAAGAGAAAGAGATAGACACAAACTAGGTCAAGTGGTTTTGGCGCAAATAAAATTACAAACAAATACAATTATAAGTGGGAGCTCATCTTATTAAAGGATCACTATAGGGTCAGGAACACAAACATGTATTCCTGACCCTATAGTGTTAAAACCACCATCTAGCTCCCCTGGGACCCTCATGCCTCTATAAATATAGCAAACTCTTACTGTATTCAAGCCTGAAGCTGTAAATCTGCATGCTGTTTGCTTCAGAAAAACAAACTGTCTGCTGACATCATCAGAAGTGGTAGCCTGATCCAATCACAGTGCTTCCCCATAGGATTGGCTGAGACTGACAAAGAGGCAGATCAGGGGCAGATCCAGCATGATTCAAACACAGTCCTGGCCAATCAGCCTCTCCTCATAGAGATGAATTGAATCAATGAATCTCTATGAGAAAAGTTCAGTGTCTGCATGCAGAGGGAGGAGACATTGAATGTTTGGATGCATTTTAGGCAGCCATGACCCAGGAAGGATCTCTAACAGCCATCTGAGGAGTGGCCAGTGAAGTTATCACTAGGGTGTAATGTAAACACTGCATTTTCTCTGAAAAGACAGTGTTTACAGCAAAAAGCCTGAAGGTAATAATTCTACTCACCAGAACAAATTCAATAAGCTGTAGTTGGTCTGGTGACTATAGTGTCCCTTTAAGGATCCTGTTGGCAACTGGCTCCAAGTTTATGAACCTTTTGCCAGATTGTAGTGTGACAGTCCCTACAGAAACCAGGATACAAGCAGTGTACTATATATACGTTGGCTAAGGTGACAGCATTCACAGACTGCAGTATACTACCATAACCACTACAGATGTGTAGATATATAGGGCTGTTAAGCTGTTTGCTAACCCTCAATGAGTTTTTGCTGTGGTTTCTCGTATAGATGAAAGAAGAAAGATCAGACCATAGATGTTTAGTAATGAAGACACAGAGATGCCTCATACCGAATAAAGTAAAAGCTGTGTTCCCCTGCTAGAAGACCCCTTGCATTTATACAAAACAGGTTGAGAGAGCTGCAGGGCGAGATGGAAAAACATATTAGAAACAAAAGGCTTCATTTTTATTGTCTTTTTGCTATTCGGAAGAGCTAATCATGATGATTGTTAAAGGACCACCATAGTGGCAGGAAAACATACTTGTTTTCCTGGCACTATACTGCCCTGAGGGTGCCCCCACCCTCAGGGTCCCCCTCCCGCCGGGCTCTGGGGAGAGGAAGGGGTTAAACACTTAAACCTTTCTCCAGAGCCGGGCGGGGAGCTTTCCTCCTCCTCTCCTTCTTCCTAGCGACGTCATCGGCTGAATGCGCATAATGCTTTCCTATGGACGCTGGCGTCTTCTCACTGTGATTTTCACAGTGAGAAGCACGCAAGCGCCTCTAGCGGCTGTCAATGAGACAGCCACTAGAGGCTTTAGAGGCTGGATTAACCCTCAGTGTAAACATAGCAGTTTCTCTGAAACTGCTATGTTTACAACAAAAAGGGTTAAACCTAGCTGGACTTGGCAGCCAGACCACTTTCTTTAAGCTGAAGTGGTCTGGGTGCCTATATTGGTCCTTTAAGAAACAGATGCACAGCCTTGCATGGCTGTTTTCCACAAACACCCCATATAACAGAGAGGAAAAAAAACAATATAAATATGTATTTTTCTTCATTAGTCAGGAAACAGTTGTGAAAAAGCTAATGCACACTTCCTGTTACAATAACTGTAAAAGTAGGCGTTTTAATACTTGTGCATTTATATTTCAATGGCATTAAACTATACCCAAGATGAAACATTGCTGTAACTATTTTAAAGTTGACATATTCACAACAAGCACCAAAATAATCCTATATTTGTAGCAGCTTATCAGAGTTTCAGGGACACAGAGACAGGTGGAAAATAATCACGCAGTGGGTGGACACCACAACACTGGGTGTGAGTGCAGAAAATAGAATATTCTCCCCCTCAATTAAAGGTAAGATTTTAACCCTTCCTCCAACTTCAGCCCGGCGGGAGGGGGGCCATGAGGGTGGGGGCACCCTCATGGCACTATAGTGCCAGGAAAATTAGTTTGTTTTCCTGGCACTATAGTGGTCCTTTAAGTGTGTGAACCCCCAAATTCATGCTATAGGACTGAACATTGAAACCACATTATGTACGGAGACCCTGATAATAAAGACAGCCTGTATTATACTAGGCCTCAATTATCCAATAATACAATTGCCCCTCTGTTTGTTTACATAATTATATAATAGTCTTTACATCAGGTGTTCCATGACACCACCCAGCAAAACCTCCCTCATGGGAGGACAGGGGGGATAAATAGGCTGTAGGATCCTTAGTCAACTTGCACAACTACCACAGAAAGGTGAGTTGCTCTCTTGTGGCTTACACAGAGAATTCTGATAAACCAAAGCCTATCATACTATGACCTTTTGCGTTCTTGTCTTATATCTCTTTATTCTAGGTATTTACTTTGTGTCCTTGAGCTCTCCATCAATCAATCATGCTGCGTTTGTTGCTGCTTCTTGCGGCCCTGTGTGCAGTTACCTATGGTACGTTCTGTATGCATTTAAATGGTGCAGGTGCAACGGGGCTGTGAAATGTGTAGGGTAGTTTTTTTGCAATGCATTTATACCAACACACAGTTATCAAAGCATCATTCTTAGTGTACTTAGGATTAGGTACAGGGCATGTACAGTTAGTGTAAGGCCACTGTCTGTTTCGGACTCCTCTGCATCCCTTCTCAGAAGGTTGCTACATTTGTCAGGAGCGTTTACCAAAAATAATGCACCAGTGCACTTTTGGCCCTAGCCGATCGGGTCCTCGTGTCTGTTGAATGGCTCACTGATTTTGATGCACCTGCATCAATTTATTTCAAACCAGGAGTACCCTTGCCCAGGATTACTATGGTCCAATTCCCTGGTAGTAGGGCAAACTGTTTAGCAACACTTTGCCCCCTTACCTAGGTCCCCGCATAAGTTGAAAGCCATGGCTTGTACCATTTATTAGTTGAGAGTATCAGCTGATCGCCATGGCTTTTACCATTTATTAGCTGAGTATCAGCTGATCGCTACGGCTTTTACCATTTATTAGCTTAGAGTATCAGCTGACTGCTCTCAGCCAATGATTGACATTCTATACAATGAAAGTTGCCCTGAATTGACTTTAACCAGCCCAGAATTCTTTGATGCTCAATGATGCTGTCGGAGTTGGGAGTTACACCTTCAGCAGCAGAGGGTTAAAATAAATATATGCAGCATTTCATAGTGAAACGCTGCACATACAGACTTCAGATACAATAACCACTTTAAATCACTGAAATGTTCATGGTGCTTGGAATTACCCATTATTTAAAAACTTAGAGGTGGCGGGTTCACTTTATAAGAGAATCAGGCTTAGTCCTCATTTTGTTAAACTAAAGTAAATAAAAATTAGCACTTCTGACCTTAAAATATATATGTGAATTTCTCTCCCTTTCAGGTCAATGTCCCACCATTCTCACTAAGTCCCAGTGGGGCGGACGTGCGGCCACTTGCAGAACCGCAATGGCAACACCTGTCACCTATGTGGTCGTCCACCACACTGAGGGAACAGCATGTACCTCCCAGTCTGCCTGCATCACACAGGCCAAAAGCGTCCAGAACTACCACATGAATTCCAATGGCTGGTGTGATGTTGGATACAAGTAAGATGGCAGAATGTTGGGCATTTGTATTGTTTGTGCTTATTTTAGATGCACGTGTGGGCTATGTATATTGTTTTTTTTAGTGCCATTTCTTTTGGGTTTAGGTATGGATAATATGATAATGCATATTGTCTTTTGTCGGGGTTTGCTTTGGTTCAGAGGATGTGAAATGTATGTTCTCTTTTTTGGTGGGGACTGTTTCTTGTGGAATTCCTCTGAGTGTTTGTATGGAAAGATCTAGTGAAATAGCCATAAGGAGTAAAAAGGGGAATCGGCAATAGATACTTTGTAACTCAGGTCTACATTCTGTACCCACCGAGGCGGAAATGGACAAACTCTGACACAGCAGCTGCTGTGAACTACATTAACACTTTTCACACAGTATAACCTTTATAAAACCAAAATGCAGAATAGATTACAATTTATTACAGCCAAGATGTGCTTAGTTGAAGCCGATCTGTCACCTTTTATGCCTCCATGTGCATGATACATCCATATAACATATTCTTAATCATTATCTATAACCCCTTAAGGACACATGACATGTGTGACATGTCATGATTCCCTTTTATTCCAGAAGTTTGGTCCTTAAGGGGTTAAAGTCATTTGTATTTATATTTAGGCCACATAATGGCACAGGCTTAATTACGGCAATAAATTAATTTGACATTAAGGTGTGTTTTTCAACTGGACACATATTCACCCATCTTTTGTATACAACAGCTTCCTGGTGGGCGAGGACGGAAACGTTTATGAAGGACGTGGGTGGACATCAGTTGGAGCACATGCCCCAAATTACAACTCTAACTCCATCGGTATCAGCGTATTCGGATCCTACACCAGTAAGTCAGGAAGAGAAAGTAGACTGTATGTAGGTTGGGCACATGGTGACAATCATGGGATGGCCACCAAGGGGATGATGGAAAGAGAAATATAATTTACATTGCTTCTTACACTGATAGGTGTGTTTAATATCAAGATAGTAATAGTATTAGGTAGAAAAACAAACACATCATCGCTCTTAACCCCTTAAGGACCAAACGTCTGGAATAAGGGGTCAAAGGGTCATTCCAGTTACCTCCCTGCCCATTTCAATGTAGTATGGAGAAGTGGCTGAACCCCTGCTACAAAGTACATGTTTACGGTATATTATTGTAACCACAGACACTGCTTTACTAAACTGTACAAAAGCAATTATTTGTCCACGGACCTTCTGGCTATTTGTAATTCATGAAAGCATATAGTCCATTGGAGACAGTATAGGATTTGTAAATTTTCTAGTTTGTCTGTTCGTTATTGCAGAGAGAAACTAGAAATGTAGTGTCATTCTGCAAGTGATTATTGAAGTGTGTGCAAAAAACAACAACACACATCTGGTATTTCAAAAACTGTTTGAGAAAATGATTATTTAGTACCCAGTGTGTCCTTTTAATGGTGCTTGATCAATAAATTCTGGTAACTTTTTCAGGTAGAACCCCCAACACCGCTGCCCAGAATGCAGTTAAAAACCTCATCAGCTGTGGGGTCTCCAGAGGCTACATTAAATCCGCCTACATCTTGAAAGGACATCGCAATGTGACCGCCACTGCCTGCCCTGGGAACACCTTCTACAGCACCGTAACAACCTGGCCACGCTTCCAGGCCTAAGTCCTTAGGAACCACTTTGGAATTGAGACCTTGGCTGAGTGAATCATCATGGACCAGGTTCCATCGATTTCATGTCACAGCTGCTCTTACATTTCCAACGTTCTAAAATTTGTAGACAAGAAAAACATCTATTTTTCCTATGCAGTTGTGTGTGATTTTCTAAAAGAAATTGAGGCGCAGTATGTAGAGAAAAGGCGTTTTAGCTTTGCAGAAATTGCTGTGAATTTATTAATGACAAAACAATAAATAATGGTCCAAAAACCAAAGGTTCTTTGTACAGTCTTTATAATCCATTGTCTGTAGATTGGGCTACGTCTCTCCCGATGAACTATCACTGCTAGGATTGGATCACCACATTCATGACTCCAAATATCGTATGGCAGTTATTATGCAAGAAACGTCCACACACTTTCCTAACTAAACACCTGTTGTCTCACGGCTTACTCACTCAAGTGAGATTTAAAGGAAACTTTAAATTTAAACTAGCTGAACTGAACTGACTTGAAGAATGTTTTTCCCGTTTGGCTATTTTGAGTTTAAATTTAAAACTCACTTTGAATTCACCCTATCCCATACAGGACATATATGTCTTCATTTTATAGCCCTCTTTTTTGTTTTTTTATTTTAATATGTTTTAGCTCCGAGAAGCTAGGACAGGGGTTGTGAAGCTGAGCGAGTAGTAGTACTGACATTCTCATCCATTCAGCAATTCATACTGAATACAATCCCCCTGTCTATCCTGAGCTACAGATCTCTTATTGAAGAAACAGTTCTTCTTCACAATATAGTTCAAAGGTAATGCCGCTACAGAAAAAAAACCCAAAAAAAAACACACCGAAAGTGCTGCACAGGGCTATTCACTAAAAATGTATTTGGACACTCAAAGTGAAATTCTACATTTTGGTCAATGTTGTGGACAAAAATATTAACCCAAATTATATTAGTAAAATGCCTATTTACTCAACATACCTACAATCAGCATTATTCAACTTTCTATGTGATTACCTAAAATGGCCGCTAGGGAGTTTCCCCTTTAACATCAACTAACACCCTCATTAACAAGATGGCGCTGGAATCTGGGGGAGACCTCCAAGATACCAGTGACATCACCCCCTGTAGGCAGAGCACTAGATGAACCACTTAACACCTAACCGATTATTGATGTATTATTCTAATTTACTCTGTGACAATGCATAAGATGTAATTTTGCTTTATAGGGGACATGTTGTCCCCCTTGAATAAACATTCCTCAAGTTTTTCATTAACCCGAAACTTGTGTCTGGTGTGAATTACTTCAGGAGCGTACACGCACTACTTCTTTATTTGGCCGGGGGCAGATACGCAAGATAATCAATTTATTGATTGATATCCACATCAGTCAATAATTTAAAAATGTATATATTTAAAGGGGAACCTGTTTTCCTGGCACTATAGGCTCTTGGAGTGCCCCCCTCCCTCGGCGCTGAAGGGGTTAACTAGGCCAGTTAATACTACTCTAGCAACCTACTTCTCTACCCTACCATTACCTTCTGTGTCACTATACCCCACTCCCTCTAGCATGAAAACTCAGTTAGCAGGGCCCTGAACCCCTCTGTTCCTGTGTGTCCAACTTATCTGGTTACAATTACATGTCTTATTAGTCCACTCATTGTACAGCCCTGCGGAATTTGTTGGCGCTGTAAAAATACCGGTAATAATAATTCAAAGCAAATATGCTTTATATGTACATGGAGTGTGTAGGAGGGCTGAATATCCACATTTTTGTTCCTACTAAATTGGGAATAAAGGAAAATTTTAAAATAATAATAGACAGGCCGGAAAAATAGATGAGTTGTTGTGTCCGCTCCCTCCCCAGTTTGACTGGTTTTCCCTAAAATTTTATTTTCCAATTCTAAACGATTCCTTTTTAGAGTAAAAATCCAGTGGTCCTTCACAGCTACAGGGATGCTCACATGTAGATGTGAGCTTGAGTACCAGCAGCTGTATTTGAAGGCACTCAATCCCATAATACAATGAACAATATGGAGATAAGAGAGCTAAGAACAGCACTCTTATCAAAAATATGTGGGAATATGCTTCTGTCAGCTACATCTGCTGGTCCTAGTGTTACCCCCTCCTGTCTGAAATCTAGACACTTCTGGAGCTATGGTAACAAACTACCAACCCCCCACTTCCCCCAAAGTAGAAAAGCAGCTTACATGACAGTCACAGTTTGGCCATTTCGTATTGTTTAGTGGTTGGACTGTGTCTGGAGACTTCTGGAAGCTAAGATGAAGTGGCTGCATACCCACAAGGATTTAGTTAGCATGTGGTTTATATATATATTACAGATTTTATTTACCTTGGTGTTGATCATATGCTTGTTTTTACACGTGCAGCATATTTCAGCACAATAGATTTATTTTAGTTATAAATATTGGCTTCTGAAAGACTCCGTTATCAGCGAATAACCTTTTCCTCTTCCATACAAACAAAATATACTAGGTGTGGATCTGCTGGATATCTGTATTAAAAAATGGGTAAGGGTCAACAGGACCTGCTAAATATTGTGAATGTTGGCCAAATGGCAATACCAAAGAAACAAGCCAACAAATGTCCCCAGGAACCTACCTATAGAGGTCCTTCACTTTTTCAACTTCTTACGTTTGACAATAGTGATCAAGTAGCGTGCCTGTTGATTAAAATCTCTTTTAGGACTATGCTTGTTCCTGAAATGGCCGTGCAAGTGCGATAACCATTCGCACAACTCCATTGAGAAATGACCCTGTTCATGCATTAAATCTTTTATCGATTGAATAAATCAATCTGGAATTAAATAAAAAGAGAGACAAATTATTACAGACATCTAGCATACAAATAAGAACTTTTAAATGGCCACATGGTGGCAGACTTGTGTCATGTGTCATATGCAACATAACTAAACCTGAACAATATACAAAATGTATTCAGATAACATAAAGATGTACAGTATTAAAAGTAAATAAATGTGCACTTCACATTGGGAAAAAATGTGATGACACATTGAACTGTACGTGACACTTTTCATTGTAAAGCAAATAATACGAATACTTGTATATCTGGAATTATTCCATCAGACTACTGCTTTTAGAACATACTCCAGCTAGAATCGCTCACCCAATAAATTATATTGTGAGGTTTTGATTTGTTTCCCCCAATTCTGCTACGTTGGTCTACATTTTACATTTCTTTTTTTCTACTAACAATTTGCAGTCTAGTGAAAATATATATATAAAAAAATCACATAGTGTAGTATTCTGTAACTTGGCTAATTAATTGTGAATAGGAAAAAAAAATCAAAAAAATCAGAATTTGAAAAAAAAAATACATACATTTTAAAAATCCTCCAAATAAGTCAAATTTCATTAAGCTCTCGGAACAAAATTCTAAAGATTAAAGCCCTGAGTCGATATTCAAGTGGTCTATACACCAACACTTGAAATTCAGCTCGGGATACACGTTTGGGAGGCTTAGACAATAAATAAGCAGGCTGTATTCACTACTATTAACCCCTTAAGGACCAAACTTCTGGAATAAAAGGGAATCATGACATGTCATGTGTCCTTAAGGGGTTAAACTTTGTTGGAACTGACCAGAAAACTGAAAATTTTATGTCAAAATAGTCAAATTTTTAAATGATAATAGTAATGCCACATAAAAATTATATTTACTCCAAACACACACTTTAATGCATAATAATGTCACTTTTGAGCAGAGAAAGCCAAAGGGCAGAAACCCAAATCAGTCTAAAAAGTTGAACTGTTGTAGAACTACAACTCCTATGATGCTCAGGAAAAGAATCAGAGGAGATATAGCATGGTATCTGCTTTGTGTTGCTATCCCTGTATTAGAGGGTTCTATATTGAGCACCAGACCCCTGGCACTGTGCTCCTTCCTAGCCCAGCCCATTAATAATCCATAATTCAATGTATAAAGCACAGGTCACCATGTAACAGCACTGTCCCTATTCTATAACCCAGCTATGCTGAGTCTGATGGCAAAATACCCACAATGCACCTCCCTCCCAGAACTGGCTCTAAAGAAAAGAAAAAAAAAAAAAAAAAGCTAGTGACCCGGAAGTACTTATCAGCGAGGAGGGAATCTGTCCCCCGGAAGCGGAAGTTCCTCTACCGTGAGAGCGAGAAAAACGCCGGATAAACGTGCAGCACGATGTGAGTAAATAAAATATAATGCTGGTTATACTTTATGGGAGAAGATATAACGGAATTGGGCTAAAAGAGGAATATTGTTATAAGAGCCCTTTAAGTCGTATGTACAGAGCTGCGAGTTTCCATATCGCTCATAGGAGGGAGCCATGCCTGCACTATGTGACACTGCCTGGGGGCACAGATATTATATGGACACATTGGGGCATAAAGCCAGCAGTTTATATCCGGGGGGGGGGGGAGATATTCATTATTAAAGTCCAGGGTTATTCTATAAAGTGGGAATTTTATATCTTAGGTCAACATAACCGAAGTGAAAACAGTGGCTGACTTGCTGTCAATTCACATTTTTAGTAAATAAACACACCGTTTCTTTTGGCAGCTGCATTTTAATTGAGAATTATCAAACTGAGGTGTTTGAGAATTTTGTACTGAGGTTCTAAAAACCTCCAGAAATTCTAAAAAAATAATTAGCAGATTTTTAGTGCTATCTGTAGAGAACATTGCAGAGGAGCACTAAATACGCACAGACCAAATACTAAATCTGAGTGAAAGTAATCTCAATGGAAGTGTTCAGGGTGCAGTGGCCCTGTAGCTTTACATTGCTGGGTGAAACACACTTCTAGCTAGGGTCTCTTCCTGAAGGACTTTCACTGCGACAATTGTGTGAAAGTTTGTTTGTCCAGTCATCAAATGCAGCTCATAGGAAAGCATTAAATTCTATGGTTTGCTGTGCAAAGCACTTGATTAAATGTGTTCATGCATCTCATTCCTAATGCTCCAACATGGGCAGCAGTACCTAGGGAGTCGCAGAGCTTGATAACAGGGAAGTAAAATCAGTCTAGCTCATTTTTGTAGCTTACGAAGGGCCATACATTTAACTAGGGACAGGGGCACTATACCATTAAGAATACAGGTTTGTATTCCTAATGCTATAGTGGTCCTGTAGTGGAATTAATGCTGTTTTATTAAAGGGACATTATAGTCACCAGAAGAACTACAGTTTATTGTATTTGTTCTGGTGAGTAGAATCATCAGAGAAAATGCAGTGTTTACATTAGTCTATGGACACCTCCACAGGCCACTCCTCAGATGGCTACCAGAGGTGCTTCCTGGGGCAGTGCTGCACCCTCTGCATGGAGACACTGAATTTTCTTCATAGAGATGTATTGATCCAATGTATTTCTATGAGGAGATGCTGATTGGCCAGGGCTGTGTTTGGCTTGTTCTTGCTCTGCCCATGATCTGCCTCCTTGACTGGCTCAGACAATCCTATAGGAAAGCATTGTGATTGGCACACATCCCCACTTCTGATGATAGCAAGCAGGCAGATCAGGGGCAGAGCCAGCAGCAGACTAGAATAAAGGTAAAATGTTACTATATTTGGGGGTGGTGGGGGGCAGATGGTGTTTTTAACACTAGGGTCAGGAATATATGTTTGTGTTCCTTGCCCTATAGTATTCCTTTAAGGTATACCTTTTTTAACCCCTTAAGGACCAGACTTTTGGCATAAAAGGGAATCATGTCATGTGTCCTTAAGGGGTTAAGCAGTCGAACTCCTTGCAGTTTGTGTAGAATTACAGGTTAGCCATTGGTGGATTAATATATGCAAGGAAAATAATCCCTTATCCAATTTTTTTGTTTTGTTTTTACTATATTCAGGAGTCTCCTAAACAAGCCCAAGAGTGAGATGACTCCAGAAGAGCTCCAAAAACGGGAGGAAGAAGAATTTAACACAGGGCCATTGTCGGTCCTCACACAGTCCGTAAAGAATAACACACAGGTCCTCATCAACTGCAGAAATAATAAAAAGCTGCTGGGGAGAGTCAAGGCTTTTGACAGGTATTGGGCAAAGAAACTGATTACACTTTCATCCACTGCACAAGGGAAATTTATAACTGTTTATTCTTACAAGGGAAGGGAGGCTTTGGTGTATGTATCATGGGCAATTTGGTAAAGTTGTTCTTTAAAACCCTTGATATGGGGGGTGGAGCCTAGCATCCAAGCAGAGTGGTTGTGCTGAACCTCAGCTCCCACTACACTATGCACTTTTTGGGGGTAATCCCCTCAAAAACCGGCACAATCGCACCCTGGAAAGAACCTAGCATGAAGGGGACACCCGGGGTTCTCAACTGATACCGAAATCAAGCCTGTAACACCCCGGGGACCCGACAAAATGCCTTGAGGCCTACCAGAGATCGGGCAGCGGGGAGACGGCTGCTCCCCAGGCTGACTGACCTGGACGTGGAACCCTCGAAGGGGCCACCTCCAGGACACCGGCTCCATCTGCACCCAAAATGGGTATGCCTCGAACTCATAGAGCCATCAAGCCAGTGGTCAGACGATGCCACCCTCTATGTGGGGCTGGAGGGGGTCTTCGTCCCGCAACTGCCGCTCCGACACTTTGTCTTCACACTCCTGATGACAACATGCCACGAACTGGCAAGGGATGAGCAGGACTGAATTGCGGACATGCCGCTCTGTTTAACTCTCTCCTCTCACCTTCCTTATTTCTTTAGGTCCCCTCTATACAGAAAGCAATGCCATGCTTTAAATGGTTACCTTTGTCGCAGCCCACTTGTTTATCTCCTATATCTATTTGTTTTATGATACAGTTAGTTCCGCATTGAGTCAATGATAAACATCCAGCAAAGCAACTGTTAATCTATCATATATCAGTTAAGCAATTCCTATGTGTGTTACCCAATTTAGCAAGAAACGCCTACACTACGATATTGTTGATGTTATGAGTATTCTAACTGTTTTAACATAGTTAAAATCCTTCTGGTGACACCCAAGGGTGCTGTGCCGTTAATCTAAAGACCTACACATTTCCAGTGCGTTAGAGCATCCAGCTAACCTAACTACAGCTACCGCTAGCACTGTGTCGCAGCCTGATATGTCTGTGTTACTCCTGCTATAATTTAAAAATGTGCAATGTTTTTTGATGCTACAGTACTGTTACCGCATGTTTCCTTTATGTTTGCTCCAGCTGTCGTGGCATTGCAAAACTGCTTGTTAAATCGATGCACACGTAAAATAAAGAATTTAAAAAAAACCTTGATTTGTTTGTGCAGTTGTACATCACATTTCTTATACTTTCTCATCTGCAGACACTGCAACATGGTTCTAGAAAACGTGAAAGAGATGTGGACAGAAGTACCTAAGAGTGGAAAAGGAAAGAAGAAATCCAAACCAGTGAATAAAGACAGATACATCTCCAAGATGTTCCTCCGAGGAGATAGTGTAATTGTGGTGCTCAGGAACCCACTGTTGGCTGGAAAGTAAATGTCTTCAAACAGTTCCCATAGGGATTAGGTCACACCTTTGATGAAACCTCGTTGTAATGGACAGTAGAGGTGACTTGAGCTGAAATAACTGCCAATTCCATGAAGTGCTTTGATTTCTGTACATCTTCCAATGTCTTCTTTCCTCTACACACATCGTTTGCAGGTCTCCTCTCATGGGTGTGACACAAAGATGCCCAAACTTACGCTTATGTTTTTTTTTAGTTATGTTTTGTGTTTTTCTAATAAACATAAATTACGCAGTCCTTTGTGAATTAATGTTTGCATGATATATATTTTAATGCATTTTGACCTAGATCACCCTAATAACCCCTTGACTATCTTGCTCTAAGTATTTTAAGGGGACATTAATGTAGTGTGTGGTGTTTATTAATGGGAACTTATACTTAATAGAAAATACTCCAAGGTATTTTCCAGGCACCATGGCTGCGTGAAAAGCCAAAGACAACCCAGTTGTGACTCCTATAATAGGGATGACCTCTGAGATTCATATTGGTACTCAGAGAGCTTAGTCTTTAGAAAATCCAAACACCTGAAGCCTGTTTCTGGGACTGTTATGGCATTTATGCTTACAACAGTACGGTAACTCATTGACCGCCTGAGACCTGTAGGAACTAAACTTAGAGATTGGAAAACCAGTATCACTTGTGTAAGATGAGTGTTCTCAATTTCAAGAGGAAATCTTGAGAAATAACAGTTGCTAATTCTTTCACCCCACTAGATGCAATCATGGTTCAACAAAAACTTACTTCCTTTGCACATTCCATCTACAGAAAAAATTCTATTTGTGTGGATATGCGCTCTGACTATTCTCTTGCCGTGCAATGTGAGAGTTAAAATATTTACATATTTTGCACAGCCTTACTCAGCAGAGTGTAATTTAAAAAAAAAAGACTGAAAAAAAAAACCTTAGCTATTTCATTGTGTTAGTGTGATAGTTCCGCTGTAAGTAGCACGTGGTAGGGTGATGAGTAATAGTAGGGTTTAGTACTAACCCAGTTACTTTTTTATTATTAAAAGTGCATGTAAAGTTCATTTTAATGCTAGTCATCTGGTTGTTCACTGCATGTACATTTTCACTATGAAGGATAAAATTAACCCCTTAAAGGACCACTATAGGCACCCAGACCACTTCAGCTTAATGAGGTGGTCTGGGTGCCTGGTCCAGCTAGGATTAACCCTTTTTTCTATAAACATAGCAGTTTCAGAGAAACTGTTTTATAAATGGGTTAATCCAGCCTCTAGTGGCTGTCTCATTGACAGCCGCTAGAGGGCTTCCGCGCTTCTCACTGTGATTTTCACAGTGAGAAGACGCCAGCGTCCATAGGAAAGCATTGTGAAGGCTTTCCTATGGACTGGCTGAATGCGCAAGGCTCCTGCCGCGCATTCAGCGGGAGGAGAGGAGGCAGAGAGCTCCCTGCCCAGTGCTGATGAAAGGTAAGTTTAACCCCTTCCTCACCCTAGAGCCCGACGAGTGTTTTCCTGGCACTATAGTGGTCCTTTAAGGACACATGACGTGTGTGACATGTCATTATTTCCTTTTATTCCAGAAGTTTGGTCCTTAAGGGTTTAAGGGACAATTTTCCTCTCCAGAATGATCAGTTGTGAAGCTGGATTGATACATTTGTACTGTCACACACCTTATGTGAACCCTTTTAAAACCGAATAAAAAGCTACTACAAAGCACTTAAATTTAAAGGTGGCAGGGGTTAAACCACTATAGTGTCAGAAAAACAAACTTGTTTTCCTGGCACTATATAATCCTTAGGGTCCCCCCTCTCACTGGGCTGAAGGGGTTAGAACCCCTTCAGCCACTTACCTTTATCCAGCGCCGGGCCCCCTTGGCGCTGGTGTCCTTTCCTCCCCCTCTGACGCTTTTCTATGGACGTTCTGCGTGATCAATACGATTTTCGCATTGAGGAAGCACCTCTAGCGGCTGTCAGGAAAACAGAGGCTGGCTTAACCCTGCAATGTAAACATAGCAATTTATCTGAAACTGCTATGTTTACAGCTGTAGGGTTAAAACCTGGGGGACCTGGCATCCAGACCACTTCATTGAGCTGAAGTGGTCTGGGTGACTATATTGGTCCTTTAATAGCTGGATGTGTTTCATACCTTTCAGGTATTTGACCAACGGCTACAATTTGTGTCCCTAAGAATTGACATCTGATTTTGGTTTGTAAGTTGTGGATAACAGTGCGTGAAGTGCTGTTGTTTGGGTGCATCAATTTCGGTTTTCATTTTTAAGAGGCCTTTGGATCTTCACCCACCTAAAGATTACATGTAAACTCATTCACCATACACACTATTAGGTAACGGGATGTATTCAAAGAGTTATATTTTCAAAGGAATATGCTAACTTCTTTATGCCAAAATGGAAGATTTGTTTTGTCTTGAATTTGGAATTCACATTGAATTTTTCCTTCAGTGTAGATCCTTGCAATTTAGACAACTTTGAAAGCAAGTTACATCTTGGATCATTTTTAAAGGAGGTGTGTAATTTATGGAAGGATTCTAAAATGCAGGGTTTTTTTTTTTTTTTTAAAGTAAAGTTTATTAATAAAGAGAGGTGAACAGAAAGGATATTTCTAATCCAGAAATGTGCTCACAGCATCCCTTCCCCCAATAAACAGATGCCTGTAGGTAGTGGGAGTTCCTCGTTCTTAAGGTTTACAGAGGGGAAGTACACATATCTATATCCATTCAAAAATGATCAGTCAAAGATGAGCTATGTCTGTCTCGTCTTACAGGGTAAAATCTCCAAATGAAATTAATCGTGAAACGTATTGGCAAACCGCCCCAGTTACCTAGCTATCTTATCTTCAGTGGAAGTGAAAACTATCACAGGTAAAGAAGGTGATTAACAAGATTGCCTTTTTTTTTTTTTTACATTTGGTTACATAGTAAAATATTGGGGGTTGCTCTATTCTTGCAAGTGACTTGAGATTATGGCACGTCACATTGTAATGAGCTAAAACCAAATAGCAATATGCAGAATACAATTGGTGAATCAGAAACATTCTCCCACACAGCTAGAACTGCAGCTTGGCTATTTTAGTCTGCATTTGAAGCTGTTTAAACCACTACTTGTTGGTTTTTAATGAATTATTCCTGAACAAAAGCTTGTAGCATCTTTCTCTCACACCAGTAAGAGTGAAATGCACGTGTCACCTCTGAGGTTGGTTCACACTCTAAATAATGCAATATATTAACTCCTGGTTCCAAGTTTATCACAATGATCTATCTGCACAATGCATCTGATTTCTTGTCACTTTAGGCATTCACAGTTCAGTCTTGTATTAAAGGACAAAAAGAAATCTTAAAGGGAAACTATTACTTTCAAAATAATATATATTTTTAAAATGTAATTTCCTTATTGGCTTTGTTTTGACCCCTGCATCACCCTTTATCATTAAAAATAACTAATCCTTTATTTACCTTTTTCCATCGCTGACTGTCGGTCCTTGCAGCTGCCTGCAACACCTCTTGTCTTGTCTTTCGGAAGGCAGGCTCCTCTTCAACTCCTTGTTCAACCAAATGCTTCTCCAATAGAAGCATTTAGGATGAGGGGCGCAAGTGCCGCACTCCACTCGTAGAGAAGCATTTATTCAATGTTCGAAATGTTCAAGCAATGCATGAGTAAATTGAATATCAATAACCAATTCTAACTCAGTTATAGGTATGGAAGCACCATCTAGTGGCTATTGGAGAGACTGCCACTAGAGGTGTGTTTAGCTAGAGGCCTGGGTGCCTATAGTGTCTTTCTAAATAAAGATTGGCATATAACAGGTTTACACTCTGAACTACGATGAACATGAGTGGCTGCTGAGATTGGAATCTTTGTTAATCTTGAAAAGTATGAGAAAGATCATGAACAAATCTGTGTTCCAAATTATGCCATGACGTACTTACTCAGACTAAAATGATCAAGCTGTGATTACAGCAGGATTGGGGAGTCTTTACAAATCAGCAATTTTTGCCTAAATTGTGCAATTCATTTTTCAATTCGTTAGAGTTGCCTGTTTAGTAAATAAATCCTTCCTGCTCTTCAGACATTTTGTATCAGATTTCTATGTGTTCGTCTCTTCATTTTGTTATCTCTATTCAATAAGACCTGACCATAGGTCTTGATTTAATATATTTTGGATAACCTTTCAAAGAATTAAATTATTTTGGATAACATTTTAAAATGCACCTCCCCCCCCAATAATAAAATACCAAAATATATATAAAATATGTAAATATATATAAAAAAACAAATTCAATATTTTTCAAAATATTACATCATTATAAAAGTGTATCCCAAAATACCAAGTCATTTGAAAAGCTTATTCAAAAATATTATATCGAGACCATAGTCAGCATTGCATAATTGACAAATGGAACAGTAATCATTTCAACAGGACAGGGTGGCGAAGATCTACTCAAACCACATAACAGTCCAAAGTACTGGATTTCTATATAAATGGATGGAAAGTACTGCTTTGTTTAAGAAAAAAACTAAACAAAAAAATGGATTCATGCCAGGGGTGTCTATGCTTAACTTGAGCATCATGGGAAAAACTCTTAAAGGGCCACTACACTAACTTAAATCACTTTACCTTAATGAAATGTTTATGTATTAAGAGTGTGTCTTCTTTATTCACTTTACAAAAAAATGCAGATTACAATAGAATTTGGCACTTTTATAAATTAACCTGACAACCTGTCCTTTTACTTCCTGGTTTGTTTGGCTCAGTGGAGCTAAACTCAAGAGGCAGTTAATAGCTGAGAGTATGTGCCTCATTGAAGTCTGGTGCGGGGTTAGAAAGGGGAAGACTTGCAAAAATGTGCAGACAAGATCTGCAAATGGCTCAACCTGTTTTGAGATATACCATCAATAAAAAAGGCATAATTAAATGCATGAATGTTTTCAGTGGAGTGTCCCTTTAAACATCTGCAGTGTTATCCATCACTTGTCTTAGGTTAATTTTGATCTACACATTTCCTAACAATGTGGATAATATTGCTCAATAAGTTTTTGTTTGCAGAGTTTATTGGGAAGAGTTTACTCCTCATTCGTTCTTTCCAACAGTTATTTTTTGTTGTCTGGAAAGTGGCCATTTAACTCACCTTTTAAACTAACACAGTTATAGTCAAAGTTAAGAATTTTAGTAATATTGACAGGCCTGAGATTTGTGCTCCTCGTTGCAACAGCATCCTTCTGTGAACTCTATTATTACACCAGTTATACCTTCTATTGCCGCCAGTTATTGAACTGTCCCTAACTAACTCACTCACACGGATAACTGTTCTCGACTCACCCTGAAAACTCTAGAGATTCTGGAAACCTGACCTGTATGATGTTGTTCAGTGACATAGTAAACTACTGATTCTATGGACGTACCTCGCACTCAGTGCACTCAGTAGTACAACTCTTTTGCAAAGGGACACAAGCCTCATTGTAATTGATACATCTGTCACACAGTACTCCAGGTGTCGGCCTGTACGAGCATAGTGTTAGAGAAGATTTGGAACACTGTCTTCTATAAAGCATAACATACAGTGGATACATACATTTCTAACATTTTACTCCATAAGATAAGTAATTTACTTCCCCGGTAGTGGAACACGCCTAATGCTGCATTCTTCCCCCTGACCTTGAGCAGCTTTTGCAAGACTGGAGGCCATCACACTGCCTACACTCCCTTTGGCACAGAAACAAGGTAGGGTGGCCTCTATTGCTCGTCGGAAGGATTTCATGCGGAATACATATATAATGGGGTTAAGGGCAGAATTTACATGGGAGAGAATGACTGCACATAGAATGACTTCCCTAGGCACCATGCAACTTGGACAGGCAAGGTTAATCAAATTCAAAAGGTGGATTGGGAACCAACAGAACACGAAGCAGAAGACCACAATGAAAAGTGAGGTAGCCATGCGAAGCTCCCTGGCCACTATGCGTTTCCGCCTTCTCCTACGGCTAACATCCACTTCCCACTCTGATATCTGCCGGATCTGTCTGCGAATTTCCAGGAAGATACGGGCATAGAGAATTAACATGGCAACCAGTGGTGGAACTACACAGCCCAAAAATATCACATAGACCATGTAGGCCTCAGAGATGAGAGTGTTGAAAAGGCACTCGGTGCCAGGTGGAAATGGTTTGTGCCAGCCCATAATTGGTATTAAGCCTGTAAATGCTGCTGATATCCAAGTACCAAGAATGACCAACATGGCGGCACGAGGTGTTACCAGTACACGGTAGTGGAAGGGGCGCATGATGCTGATGTAACGTTCTACGGCTACTGCCAACAGTCCAAATATTGAGGCCATACAAAAAGTCATGAGATTACACAGCATCAAAAGGCAGGCGTAAAGGCTACATCTACTCACACCTAGATCCAAAAGGATAGCACAAGGGATTGCCACAGCTCCCACAAAGATGTCTGCAGTGGCCAGGGAGAGCAAGAAGTAGTTAGTAACAGTACGGAGCCTCCGGTCACTTACCACAGCCAAACAAATCAGTGTATTGCCCACCACTGAAAACACAGCAGTCAATATCTCTGTCACCAAATACGGAATGTTCCTGACAATGACTGCAGAGCCCACCAACTGAGATGAAAGGGATGAATTCATGATGAGCAAGGAATGAAGCAAAGTGGCATTCTTCAGGTGATTTGGTCCTCCAATACACAAAACTGGGCTGGGAACCAAGAGTATTATTAGCAAATGGTAAAATACAAGAAAAAAAACATGTATATAAAAAAGCAGTCTGCGCTATTATCTGTTGGTGAATAGAAGATGGATGAATAATCTTTAAAGCTTGAAATATATGGTGCTGGTCTGTTCAATGCCCTACTTTTGCATATGCTTTGTGACAATTTCTTACAGCCTTCATCTGAAAGTGTTAGAAGGGTATCATCTTTTTTTTTCATTATATACCTAATTATTGAAGAAAAACTGTGCTCTCTACTGTTAGCTATTACCAAAAAATACAAGAAATGTGCAAATGCAGTTTAAAAACATATCCTCAGTAAGACAACAGTAATTCAAATTAAAATGCAACTGCATTTATTGCTAATTTATCATTGTATTGTACTCACTATTAACCCCACCATAACAGAAAACATGATAGAACTGCCATGAAATCATTGGATTTGTATAATCACTTGTCTTGCGGGGTTAAATGAACACTTCATAGAAAAAAAATTAACCATTTAGCAGATATACTGTCCAAAGAATATGAATTTAATATTTTTTTGTATATTTTCTTGTGGGGCTACGAAAAATCTAGCTTACATTAGTTGCAGAATTGTAAACCCTCCCGTTTTTGTTCAGCACCGACTTTCCTATCAGTGCTGGACCTTGTCCAATCAGAAGCTTCTCACTGAGAATGTGCATAACTGGCCCCAATCATACACTTCTCAATTACTTTTAATACAGTACATTGATTAGTGTATGAATAGCAAGCGTCAACATTGGTGCAGTTTCTCGCTTCCTCTCTGAACTATAACTCACAGCCGTAGAGGCAGGAAAACATCCTGGGCTCTTGACATTGGCAATTTCAGAAAACATGTTTTTAATTCTAGCAAGTTTAGGTACTTTACCGGAGATATTCACTAAAGTGAGAATTGTTGGGAATTCAAAGTGAATGTCAAATTTTAGACTAAAATGAGCGAACTAGAAGCACAGCTGACTAGGAGAATATTTCCAGTTCAGCTAGTTTTGCCTTGAAATTCACTTTGAAAACTTGTATATTTAGATAGTACTTTACGTTATAAGTGTATGTGTAACAATGTATCTACAGATGGGCTGCATACGTTTCCTATTATATGTATAAGGTTTACTTAGGTGTTAGAAATTTCAATGTACGTTTCCTAGTAAAATATTTAATAAAAAGATAAATAAATTTTAAATGCCTGCGCTTCAAGAAGTGAACTGTTTATATGGTTTTATGGATTGCCATATTGAGGGTGATATTCCAATATTATTTTAATAGTACATCTTAAAAACAAATATTCTGTGTTCTAAAACTGATGGTCTCTAGAAAATCCGAAATTGTTTGTATTCCATATTCAATTCCTCTATTCCACTACTCACAGTTTAGTGCTATTGAATAAATTCCTCATTTCCATTTCTTAGTCAATGTTAACACCATTGTAAATACTTTATCCCCAGTAATTTATTTGCATGCGATGAGATATATTCTATATCTTATTTTGGTTTAATATTTTAGCCCTACCCCATACCTCAATTTCTTTAATGCACCCTCTGGGTTGTCCTAGAGAATGCAGAAGGTGGGAAGTATTTAATCCGGCGTTCTGGCCTTTCGTTTGTGGGTCTGCTGTGTCTGAGATTCTCTGTGAACTCCAGTGGTTCTGTTCTGAAAAATACATTGATGAGGATCTAAGGTTAGAATTCTGTGGATGGATCTACCCTGGAAACATGTCTCTGGACCTGCTATGCAGTATTCTCTTTGCACCTGTCCGTGACGGAGCTCATTGTAAGTCCTGGTACACCTCTCTGCCAGTGCTAGCCCAGAGGGAGTGGCAGGTACAGCATCAGTTCGGACCCACACATGTATAGAGCTAATCATTCACCCAGCCATTGACTACTCGCTTTTCAATATCTATATACACCTATCAGTACAGTTCCCTTTCTTTACAGAAAACAACACGTATATTCGGTTAGTATACAGCAGCATTTAGCAAGCTGCAGCTTTCCAAAACCTGTGCCCTGGATTCATGGCTGAGTGTGATGAGTCTTTTTATCCAACAAAACCTGAGCAGCCACAAGTTGACCAGCCTTGATCTCCAGTCCAACTACTCCGTGGAGGTGCATTTGTTTTTTTTGAATCTGTGTAATGTTATTTTTTTCATCCACATCAATGTACATTGTGTCCATGGTACAACATGAATGTATGATGTTTTACGCATAATGTCAGTCCTTAAAACCTTAAGGACACAACTTCTGGAATAAAAGGGAATCATGACGGAATATTTCCGTCATCTGTCCTTAAGGGGTTAAGCAGGTGCATGTCGTTCCTTAAAGAAGCATGTATACATATACTTATAATAAAGAATTTGTCTAAGAAGTACAGTTTGCATTGTGTTCTTAGCAGGTACTAGTGTTGTATCACAGTGGGCAAAGAGAGACATTGTCCTTCCTTTCTTATCATTTTTCCGCCTCATTAACTCTCTTCCTCTTTGTAATGTTTGAATCTAGCCAGGCATGAACACTGGACGTTTATCCAAACAGACGCTAAATGAAGCATGGTGTGAGAGGAATATAAATAGGTAAGGGAGGGAGGAGACAGGCTTCAGAAAAGATTGAAAAGAGGATAAGTTTAATTAAACCGGTTATAAAGACAACTGTGATGTGACAGTATGCCCTGTATTTGGGCAAAATGTACTGGATTTCGCAAACTCATTGGGCTAAACATTAGTGATCAAAGCAGTCCCCCAGAGCGTGCAAGAATAAAAATACAAAACAGTATATAAGGAAGTCTAGTAGAATGAATACAGTAGTTTCCTGTTTAAATGGTCTTACATCTTATTTGTCATTGTATGTCTTTTCAATATTATTGTACCACGGTAATCACGGCTGGAAAAAAAAGGTTCTAAACCCATGAATTTCAGTCTTTTACACGTTCCTCTTTTTGTCGTTTATCCAAAATAAGGAGAAAAAAATAAAACACGATTTACAAAAGTATTCTATTTTCTGTTCACTTGTACCACCCTTACCTTGTTTTAATGGACACTTCACTAGACTACGCTGGGTACTGTTCTAAGAGAGATTGAGATCTATTCCTTAAAATCAGATATTAAAAATGCAGTCACCTTCGATCCATTTAATTCCCTTCAAATTAGCTGGTGAAATTCCCATTCAGGTTAATTTTATTTGCTTTTAACCACATTGATGCAGCATTGAGCTGAACGTGGCCCCGCTATTGTAAAAATTGATTTTATGGTTGCAGTCAGGGCTCTGGAGTGGGAGGTGGAGTCAGAAACAATTGTGGGTTACTGGCATAGGCGTGCGCACGGGGTGTGCCGGGCGTGCCTGGGCACACCCTAATCCTTGCGGCAAGCCTCTTGAATGAGACCGGCAGGGGAGACATAAGGTAAGAAGGGAGGGGGGATATTAAGTAATCTGCCCCCACAATCACCCAAACATACAGAACCTACACACATACAGCACCCACACACACAGCACACACACAGCACCCTCACACACACCGCACCTACACACATACAGCACACACACACACACACACACATATAGCACCCTCAAACACACAGCACCCTCTCACACACAGTACACTAACAGCACCCTCACAAACACACAACACCCACACACAGCACACAAACAGCACCCTCACAAACACGCATACTACCAGCACCCTCACACACATCACACTAACAGCACCCTCAAACACAGCACCCTTACACACACAGTACACTAACAGCACCCTCACAAACACACACACAGCAAACTAACAGACATCCTCACACACACAGCACACTAACAGGACCCTAACAAACACACACACACAAACACCCTCACACACACGCATACTACCAGCACCCTCACACACACATCACACTAACAGCACCCTCACACACAGCACCCTTACACACAGAGTACACTAACTGCACCCTCACAAACACACACACACAGCACATTAACAGCACCCTCACAAACACACACTCACACACAATCAGCACCCTCACAAACACACGACACCCACACACAGCACACAAACAGCACCCTCACACACAAACAGCACCCTCACACACACAGCACACTAACAGGACCCTAACAAACACACACACACACAAACACCATCACAAAGCACCCTCACAAACACGCATACTACCAGCACCCTCACACACATCACACTAACAGCACACTCACACACACACAGCACCCTTACACACACAGCACCATCACACACACACACAGCAGTGTATGTATGTGTATATGTGTATATATATATATATATATATATATATATACATACATACATACATACATATACACTTGGCGTGTGTTTGTGCTTTAGGGTGCACACCCTAATGCAATAGGCTGTGCACGCCTATGGTTACTGGAGTCGGTGGTACCATAAATTGAAGAATCACAGTCAAAGGTTTTGGAATCCACTGTCCTGGTTGCAGTGAGATTCATTTACACACAGCCCTAAATTAAGAGTAGTGTTTGGGGTGGATTCGGTGTTGAGTTATCATTACACGCTAATGAGAGATTGAGGGTACCATTATGGTGACTTAAGCTTACGGGTTCAATCCCCGGGAAAGTATCAGAGGAACTGGAATAAAACAAATGAAGGGGGCCTTCCACTGCTGAAGCAACAAATGAATGCTGTCCATATTTGGACAAATTGATAAATAATACTGAAAGGGGACTTTAGCTTTAGTGATAACTGTAAAAAGGTGTTGGACTGTGAGCACTCGGGGAATCCAGGTAAGTGTCAAGCCATAAAAAAAAAAAGTGACTCCACAATAAGATGGCACTAGAGTTCTCTGGCACCATAACCACTATAACAGGTTGTTGCGTATAAGGTGCTTAGAGTACCATTTTAAATTAAAGGAACACTATGGTGTTAGGAATACAGTTTGGAACACACTATAGAGTCTCTCTTCAAATTGAAGCAAAAATGGTTAAAAACTCTTTCTCACTTACCTGATTCCAGCGCCGGAGCCCATTGACTCTGGGTCAGGCTCCTCCTCCAACATCAGACAATTGGGGAATCTAATGTGTAGTGGTGAGCGCCGTGCACCCATTAGGCCTTCCTCATAGGAAAGCAATGAATATTTGCTGTCCATATGTATGCAGTTTCATAGGAAAACAAGTCTGACAGAGATGGTGAATAGATATTGTTTTGTGTTTTTTGGGAGGGATGTGTGGGGGGAGAGGCATTGCAGTAATCGAGAAAATGCAGTTTGATAACCTATTTTTTCGTACGGTTGGTGCAATTATCCTTTCAGCTCCTGCAGGCACCGATTACCACTGGGTAGTTTGCAGGACCTACTGGAACAAAGCTTCAGAGCTAGATTTTGCAAAAGAAGAGATATAATTGATTAATTTGAATCTGGGACAAATAAACAAACATGTTGTGTGAATAACTGACGTCAAGCCTGAAAATCACCAAATTGTCACGTCTTGGTAGATGGTCTGGTTTCATCGTTTCCATGTGATCCTTAAAGAGATCTTTGTCCATCACTGTTTCCACAGCTGGGTTTTTTCCCAGCCTAAAAAAACATTTGCTTTAATCTCTCTCCCTGCTCTGTTTGTGAGATGGTGTGTAAAATGTAAGCACACTCCTGTTTAGCTATAAACTGGTTTATTTCAGTACAAAATCCTTTAGAGTACAAACAAAAAATAATATATGTATAAATAATAACCCTTACTATCAAATGCTGTGATTATTGTTCTGTGCCGACCATGCCCAAGGTTAGTTGGATATCTTTTATTTGTCTCCTATAATACAAATGTTTAAACAGGTTTCACCCCCCAGTAGCAGAGGGGTTAAACTCTGTATATGTAGCGTGTCATAGTAAAACGCTGCAAATACAGGGTTCAGGCACCATCACCACTTCAAAACAGTTTAAGAGGTCTAAGTGCTTGGAGTTACTCTTTAATGTTGACAACAACCTATATTCAGACTAATATATATAAATACGTTATTCATTAAAATGTGCTAGGTAGAAGGGCTAGACCAGAGGTAGGCAACCTTTTAGCAGCACTGTGCCGATATAGGATTGTGATGTCCCGTAGCGTGCCGATCCTATTTTTTTTAAATTGAGGTGTGTATGCTGCCGTATTCTGCTTGTGTTATTTTTACTGTAATTGCTTTGTATTGTTGTATTTGTGCGTATATGAGCTATTATATTGTATACATATGAATGAGGGCTGTGTATGAGGGCTGCTTGTGGAATTGTGTGTGGATGGATATGTCACATTGTGTGTTTGGTAGTGTGTGTGAGCTGTTTTGGGTATTGCATGTGAGAGGCTGCATGTGGGATTGTGTGCATGTATGTGGATTGTTAGTGGTGTTGCGTTTGTGGGGATTGTGTGTATATTTGTTTGTGGGCTGTTCATATTATTTGTATGAGGGGAGGGTTATTCTGCAGGTCTGTGTATATCTAGCAGTGTGGGTGGCTTCCCTGGGTCCCAGTGGGGACCAGGCTGGTCAGGTACAGGTCAAGGACCGGAGCTGCAACAACAACTGCGAGATGTTCTACTACTGTGTGGATTCCCATTCACAAGTGCTGGGAGGAACTGATCTGAGATCACTTCCTCTACGTTCTGCAATGCACAAATTGAGGATTTTCCTTCACCACCTTTTCGTATTAGCAGATATCTGAAGTTTCACTGAGACTCCTGATAGCCTTGAGTGCAGTGGAAAGACACCTCGAGTGCCATGCATGGCACTAGTGCCGTAGGTTGCCTACCCCTGGGCTAGACCGTACATTAGGCGAACCTAGGCTGTTGTCTGGATAGTTGGTCCTTGAGATGACCTTTCACTGCACTGGCCAGCATGGATAATAAAATGTCTCCCTGAAAGTACCTGCGTACCCTCAGACGGAGTGTGTGGTCTACACCTTCGGTGGGTCAGATAACTTTAAAGGGACACTAATGAACATCAGCTTATTGGTGTGCGGAGTGTGTGTCCTCTTTTTTTTCATTTTACGAAAAGTGCAGATTTCAAGACAAATTTGTACATTTATAATGTGACCTTATTACACCCCCTCGGCTGTCAAGCAAACAACAGGTCCTGCTACTTCCTGGTTTGTTTAGCTTAGTGGAGCTAAACTCAAGAGGAAAAGACTGCCTTGCTAAGACTTCTCATTGAGCTGCATTACGTCTATGACTGGACAATCACAGAAAGTCTGGGCAGGGTTGCAAAGGCTGCAGACAAGAGATCTGCAGCTTCTGCAAACTATTATTAGATGTGAGACCCCCCCCAATGATAAAATGCATAATTATGCGCAAGTATGATTTCATTTGGGATATATCCACTAAACAGTGCTTTTACAATTTTGCTATTTGGGCAGTGGAGAGTCCCCCTTTTAACAAATATTGAAATATGAGCATATCACTCCCAGCCACCCCAGACACATCACTCCCAGCCATCCTACAGACCAGTTACCTGGCTCCATGTATATGTGTGGAGCATGAGTTATGTAATTATGTAATCCCATTACTATACATAGAGTGTATACATATCACTGATTTATTATCCATACCTGAAGACTGCAAGCCCCTGTGGGCGGGGCCACACGTTCCATCACGTGGTGAGAAGGGATGGAATCAGAACGCGGTTTCCTCCCTGATGACCTGAAGCTGCAGTGGGCGTGGCCGCGCAAGGTTAGCCCCGCCCACTCCGTTTTTCCCGCGCTTTCTGTGGCTCCTCTCAGTCTCCGCGCTCATGAAACCAAAAGGCAGACCCCCGCGGGGCCGGTGAGTCGGTGTGAGAGGGCGCAGCTCGGGGTGGCCAAAAAAACACAAAATAAATGAATGCTGTATTAGAGCTATAATCCCTTTGATGATGATGGCAGAGCATCATGGGAGTTGTAGTTCTGTCACAGGAGGGGAGAAGGGATCTGCAGGTAAAGTATAATTACCATGGCCCTTCCACTGCTGGGAATGGATCACCCTGCCCATCATGCTGAGCCAACAGGATAATAAATCAGCCAGCCACCTGGACACAGGGTGTGGGGGGGGTTATAAAATGGGGGGAGGTTGTGATGTGTGGGGTTATCTCCCATCATAACATGTAGCTCCTATACAATATCAATTAATATTAATAAATTAAATAGTGATTTCTGTTAGCGGAGACTCCAGTAAGTATAATGGATAACGCCTGAATTGGTTAGGCCTGGAACAAAAATTATTATTATTATTATTTTATTATTTATATAGCGCCATCAGATTCCGTAGCGCTGTACAATGGGTGGGCTAACAGACACGTAATTGTAACCAGACAACTGGACGTACAGGAACAGAGGGGTGGAGGGCCCTGCTCCATGAGCTTACATGGGGTAAAATGACACACAGGGTAAAAGTAGGGGTACGAAGTAGGTTGTTCAAAAAGGATTAATTGAGGGCTTAGTAGGTAATGAACTAATATTACTAGATCACCATGTTTTCGCAGGACACGTAAGACAGTTTGGGGCAAAACGTAGACCCCCAGATATTGTGACGGTTTCTACGATTCTCTGCCGACCTTTACAGGCTCTGTCGCTTTTCATAAAGACGGAATCCTTATGATCATGGGCGTCCGCAGGAATTATTCCAGGGGGAGGGCATAACTGCCCCATTTGGTAGTGTTACATTTGGCCACAGCTATAGGTGGCATGAACAATACCAGCTTGAGCACCAGATTACACCTTCAACATCATATTGCACCTACAGCACTTTTTGCATCGCAGCACCAGATTGCACACACAGTACCCCCCACCCATTGTGTGTCAGACCGTAGAGGATCTTCTATTTCCTCCACCCGGCGATCTGACTTGAAGATGCTTGAGCACACAGGGGCACACCTAGAGCAGTTGACACAAGTAGATGCTCCATATGTTTTCAATAATATTTACTGCACAAATGTGTAAACTATATGTTAGAAAGAGTCCCCATTAGAGACTACAATGAAATGTAATGGGTCCTGGAGAGAGAGGTCTCTTTCTGTACCCTTTTTTGCCCCCTCTTCTGTGCCCTCCTTTGCTCCCCTCCTGTGCCTTCTTTACCCCCTCTTCACCTTCTGTGCCCTCTTTTACACCCCTCCTGGACCCTCTTTAGCCCCCCTTAACCTTCTGTGCCCTCTTTTACCCTTTTCCTGTGTCCTCTTTAACCCCCTTCACTTTCTGTGCCCTCTTCTGCCCCTTTTAGCTCATCTCCCCTTCTGGGCCCTCTGTTGCTCCCTGGCAACTCAACACTAAACATTGGATATAGTTCAATTAAATAAACACAGAACAAAATAGTGGTCTTGGAAAAATTTTCCTACAAAATAGAGTTGGCTTTTATTTCCAACTGGGGTTATTTTGGTCTACCTTTTGCACATCATATAAATACAAAAAAGATAAGTCCGGCGCTCACTCCCATCACTCCTGGGCGGCAGCAACGACCACAGTACACATCAGCCCCAATATAGACAGTTAAACCAAACAAAAAGTTACCTGCACTCCCTCCTGAATCCCTATTTATATTTAAACACATGGAGGTCATTAAGTTACTCCAATGGCCATACCTCCAAGATTATACATAAAACCCGATTTGAAATAATAAATGTATATTCTATTGATTACAGGTAGTATTATTCAGAATTTAGTGCCTTACTGTTTTAAGCTGTTGAAAAATAATTCTATGTTCTGTTTACAGTGAGAGACGCCAGCTGGATTTGGAGGAGCTAGCAAAGGTTCTACCAGGAGGATCAAGGCCACAGCATGATGCCCAGGTACATGTAGATACAAAAAAATGACAAAACAGATCTCTGGCATGGGAGTAAAATGCCACTCAAGTATGCTACACACTAGTGTACATCTAAAAATAACATCAAATGACTGCCTCACACTACCTGCTGCACAGTTCAGAGGAAGGACTGGATTCAGGTTGGTATGTTGTATAAATTAATTTTCACAGTGGGTGCTTACTAATATTACACCAGGTTTTCTATTTCTGTGATTTCCACTCATGCAAACATAACCCAGAAAGATGTGGACATTTCTGATGTATTTATTGTAGAGGGAAACTGGTTTGTATGCTGTACAAAGAAGCCAGGTGGCCCAAAGGCTTCATGTGCTCTCATCATAGCAGTCTTAAGACAGGGATAAGGAAATGTAGGTGGAATGCAAGAGCCAGAAACACTGTTTTAGGTGCCAATATGACTTTAAGGAGCCAGAAAAGATGATCATGCTTTGAGTTATGTATGGAATGTTTAAGGATCACTCTGGGCACCATAACAACTTCATCAGAATATTTAACTGTTTGTGAATTGTAAAGCGCTGCGGAATTTGACAGCGCTCTATAAATATCATAATAATAATGGTTTAACTTCCAGTTAAGTTGTTATGGTGCCTAGAGTCGGGGGGAGGGGGAGTTGATATTATATAGTTGCAGCTGCTACAAGCCTTCCCCTACTTCAGCAAGCTTAACTAATTTATGTATTTGGAGTGTTCTTTAAAAAAAAAAAAAAAAAAAAAACAATTAGTAGTAGTAATTATAATTATATAATAATTAAATATTAAGGGAACTCTGATGTGTTTAAACACATCTCTTTAAACAAAAGCATAAGTTGTGATACAAATGGATCAAGGACCAAAAACCAACCAAAGACTTATAGTTTTGACATGTGGGGACTTATCGGCAGTGTGTTTAGGTCCAGAAGTCGAACTCTTTCTGCAGCAGTTAGCTGAATTTTAAATAAAATTGCAGTGAAAGCAGAACATAATAAAATTCTCCACTGACTAATGAAAATTCAAAATATATACACACAACATATATATGATATACATACAAATATATAATAATCCTGGCTATGCTCCATAAACTCACAGCAAATAAACACTCTTGTTTCTGCATTTCAACTTCCTCTTCAGCTACTGTGTTTTGTTTTGTTTGTTCGCTAACAACCCTAATTGGTATATACATATATTTGTACAAGGCTGCTGATATATATATTTGGTCAATAAATCACCACATTTGACTTGATGACTAAGTTCCTAGCGTGTCTCTATTTAAACATTGATATGGCAACCCCAGCTGAATGCACATCCAAGTGGTGATTACCTCTTTGTGATTGGTTTCTCAGCTGCCACCTCTCTAGTTCACATAACGTGAAAGATAAGAGAAATCAAAGTGTGGCACTTGTTTACCAGATTGTGTAAGTATAGAGACGTATATACATTACGAAGTTGTAAATCAATACATCTGGTCCATCGGGAGATTTCCTCATGTAATAAAAGGCAGACGTAAGATCTAGGACTAACGTTACTGCTTAAAACTGCAGTTTAACAGTGAATAGTCCTTATGTAAGCGCAGAAGGAGGGAGTTTTAATTTTGTCTGCCTCCAGTATAAATGGTCTATAAATGTTAAAGGGGCAGTAAATTACATTTTGTTCTTTTATTTAGTCAACAATTTATTTATTTTTGTCAATCTTTGTTATATTGAGACAACATTCAAATCATTACAGAAAGGACAAAGTAGTTAGAAAAAGTCATCAAAAATACAAGTGGTACATAGACTCCTGTTGCATCTGTCTCCTTTTTTTATATAAGAAAAGTGAAAAAAATCATGCTTGACTAACTTGCTAACTGAACAAACTAATACGGGATATTTAATTTACTGGACATGTCGATATGCAATATTAACAAGTGGGCAGAGTGCCCTTAATTATTACAACAACATTAGAACAGCATGGGTATGAGCCACTGAAAACTATAGTTATTCATGCTTGACTGCACCTACTGGAGCATTAGAGAAGAGTAAATGTAAAAAAAAAAGAAAGAATTTAACATGCCGATTAGTGGCAGTGTTGTAATGTCAGACAAGACAAGATATGGTATCCGCCATAGTAGACACCACTTACAAGCGGTGAGCCCGGTGTCAGGGTCAGCCTACTCCCGCAGGCAGTATAGGTGATGTATGAATTGAAAAGTCCAGGCGGCCAATAACAGGGAACTAGTTTAAAATTTTCTGGATAGTTATATTAGACCAAATACTTATCTATGTAAATTACTGCCAAACAACGAAAAAATCTTTACTGCTTTATTTACTTACATCTGCATCCGTGTTTCAAGGAAAATGCGACTGCTGGCTAAATTTATGTTTTAAGTTATGTTTACTGTTGATTTTGCATAGACTTCAGTAGTATGGCTATCATAAGTCCTCATCTTACACGTTTTATGGTTGTCAGTCCTTTTAAATATACAGAATGGTCAAGATTTGTATCATTAGATAAGAACAAAGTCATAACAAAGGATCACTGTGAGACAAAATGTACGTTGTATTATTAAACTACCCTAAATTGCAGCCAGGTGCTTTGTCATCTGTGTATAATGTTGCATTGAGCCTGTCCACACCGCATTGTGTGGCACAGAGGCAGATCATTTTGCTTGTGTTTAACATGTGCCATCTCCAGCAGGATATATCTGTTAGCTAAACAAAAGTATTTATCTGCAGTAGCCCTATACCAATTCAAGTAAGAAACAACTTTTTTTTCACAGAGCTTACTGCTTCAGGTTCTGTCATATATAGAGTTTCTACAGAGCAGGATTCAGGATGTCCAGAAATGTTTGGTACCATCAGAAACCCCTAGAGGTAAGTGGTGAGATATGCCAGTAGGAATTTTTTTTCTGTAATACAAAATTTAACAAGTAATAGGACACAGGATTTTTCACAAAATTTTGACTCTCATAAAATTCAAAGTGAAAATCAAATCTTACCACAAATAGCCACAATGAAAACATAATTAGCTTGGAGGATTTTCTTAATTTTGGTCTAAAATTTTAAATTCACTTTGAATTTGGTTAGGAACCCTGGCAGGATTATTGTGAACTGTTGCAAAGTGATTTTCAAATTTTACAACAAAATAGCCAGACTTGAAAAATTCTCAGTCAGCTATGTTTTCAGTTCAGTTACTTTGGCGTAAAAGTTCAAATTCAGTTTGAATTCATGACGTGTCACCTTTAGTGACTTTCCCTGACAGTTTAATGGTAGACACATGCCAATGGACCAATTTACTCTGTGCATTCCTAATTTCCTGCTCAGGCAACAATGTATTTATCCTAAGACTTCTTAAACTCCTTCTTTGTATTAGTCTCTACCATCTCTGCTGGGGGGCTTTTTCTAGCAAGCACAACTCTTACGGTCAGAATCAGATTTTGTTCCAGCTACCCTTTTTCTGCAGCAGGTATTACCCTGTTTAACTTCATTCCTTTCTTTGCATTTGCATGTTTCTCTATACCTTCTTTGTTACAATAATATTTTCGATTTACAGTGTTTTCCTATCCATACTTGTATGTAGATGTTATGTAAACATTTTTAATGTACTTTAGGTAAATACACCAGTTAGAGAGCTTTAGATAGCATAATATTGCTGTAACACAACTCTATTTGTAATGTGGTGACACTGACTCTTATTGTACTTTCTACCATCACCTGTGACCTCTAGAAGTACTTTGTATTCCCAATGTCACTCCGAAACAAGATAAAGTTAATAGATCCATCCGAAGACCCAGGAAAAACCGCCCAAAAGGTAGGACAGTCCTCCATGCATGTGCGTCAGATCGAATGTGTGTGGTTACAAACCAAGGCTTGATTCAATATTTTTGAGTAAACATTTACAATGATTTAATAGTTTGAAAATATTTTTATAATTATCGATATATTGACATATATTTTTGATATTTTAATATTTTGAAAAATAATCATTTAGAAACTATATCCAAAATGTGAAATCATTTAAAAAAAAATAAAAATATTCAAAATTATTAAATCAAGACCCAATTTATGTAATTAAATAAATTGGGCCACAAGACACAGCAAGAACACTATTTGAAAGCATAAGAAGTGCTGCAATATAATACATAATAATTTCTACTTAGAAGAAGAATAATGCAAAATAAAATTGTTCAAATATAATCAAAAGTTAAAATATTTGTCAAGTCTGACAGAAAACTAACTTTGGGTGTGTGATCCTCTCAAGGTTACATCTACCTACCTGCTGTTTTCATAAATGTGTTCTAACTAAAACTTAGCTGTTTATAGCAATACTGGGTTCAGGTTTCAAGTTCAAGTAGCCTCATTTGAAGAGGATGGGAAATGCTTAAGTTGTGGGCTGCTGGTGTGTTGGGGTTGGAACCACTACTGTAATAAATGTGCAGATGATTTAGATGTTACCTGTTGCAGAATGTTGTGGAACTGCCCTTCAATCACGCAAAAGGCTGTTGATGAATGGATGCAAAGAGACTGAACAGATAAACTCCTGGGATGATGCAGCATGTGGAGTAAAACATGCTGAAGGTATGTGCAAGATCTGCAGAGATTTAGGAACTTGCTCTATAATGTAATGTCTAATACTATGTATTACTTTGGCAGATCCTAAAAATTACTATGAGCAAGAAACAGAGGAGACAGTCAGGTATGATCTTAAAGATGCTTGCAATATCCTTGATGTACCATTCTCTCTTCACTGCATGTACCCACCCCAAACTCAAACAGCTTGACATAAAAAACAGGTGGCACCACAACACTGCTGGCAATATAACTGCTACACTGAGATTTAGTGGTTATATTGCTTCAAGTGCCTCCTTATAGGGACACTATAGGCCAGACCATTGGAGCTCATTGACGTTGTCTGGGTGCAGTGTCCCAGGTCCCTTAACCCTGCAACACTAGGTTTTGCAGTTTTTAAGAAACTGCAATAATTACCTTTGTGGGCTACCTCCACCTCTAGAGGCTGTCTACCAGACAGCCACTCAAGTGACTTCCGTGATGCTAGGTGACTTCTGGTTGCCTAACTGACGCTGGACATCCTCACTCTGTGCGTGGGAACATCCTTCGTCACCCAGACCCTAATGCAAGTGCAGCCACTGCCACAGGTGAGCATTGGGTCTCCTCTGTCGGCAGGGGAGGAGCAAAGGCGGACCTGAGCCAGCGCTTGGCCCAGGTATGTAACTCTTTCTGCACAACCAAGGGTGGGCGCGAGGGAAGAGGAAGATATGGTGCCAGAAAAACGAGTTTGTTTTCCTGGCACTATAGTTTCCCTTTAATCCACTAATGGAATTTTCTGTTAAATACTTTCTGCAAGGATCAGTTGCCTTTCATACAGTTTGAATGAAAACACATCAGACCTTTTGGTTCCTCATTGCTGTTATCAGTTTTTTGTAGTCTATCTGCATCTATGTGGTAAGAGGTAAGCTCGGGACTTGTGGCTACTTGCTTACTTTGTTTGCTTCTGCATCCCTCTCTTTGGTTCTTGTTTTGTTGTTGGGCTGAGGTACCCAATGAGTAGCCAAACTTATTGAAGGGACTGCAGAGTGGAATGTGCATCTTACGTTCACAACCATTTATTTTAACTATCTAAATCTGGTTGCTCTGTCCTTGTTTCCCATTGGATTGTAGTCTTAGTACAATGTTAACTGAAAAGATCTTTGGTACTCTTTTTAGAACAAAACAATTCTAAGGAATTATTATCTTGGCTAAATGAAATTGAGTAAGTAAAAGGAAAAAAAACATGCATTTTTGCTTAGGTTTGTCATCATTGTACACATGGGAGAAAGTAATGAGAGTTCAAAAAATATCTGTCCCTTTTTATCTGCGATATATGTTATTTCTAAGATGTTATCACATATACATCATTACCTTTTCCTTGTCCATGTTTATTTGCTTTGGTTTTTTTATTTTTTTATTATTATTAAAGATTCCTGTCCCTTTAAGTCTGCTCCTTGCACACTGATATCTTTCTCCCCCTCTTAGCAATGTTCTCAGACAAACTCTTGTTCCATACTTGTCTCCTTCATCCTCTGATAATGGTGATACTGGTCCATGGCTCCGGTCCGTCTACTTATCTCCAGGTACACCTCATAGTGAGTAATGCTAATCCTTTATTCATCTCTTTTGTGTTTTCTTGTTGAGCATCTATGGTGCAAAGAGACTGTGGTTGCTGTGTCCATACATCCCAGTTTTTTATGTCAGGCATATTTTATTTCTTTAATATCTAATATTTGGGTTAACAGCTTATTGATCTAACTGCAATTCTGGGGTTTAAAATGATTTTTTTTTCTAGCTTGTTGCAAAATTGGAAAGAGCTTCAAATTGTGTTGGGTTGCTTTTTTGCCATCTTTTGGATCAGCAGCAGAAACAGATTTGAGAAATGCTGAAGTTGATGCACTCTAGTCTTTTTTCAGCATATGTAACTCTCAGCACCCAAAGCCGCACAAAAATGTTCTGATTATTATTGGTATGAAACTGGACAACCTTGGATTGCACTGATAACCTGTAAACACTGAGCTAAATCACTCTTAACACACACATCCTATCATCGTTCCAAGGTTGGACAGCTTTGATAGATACTATGGAAGTTTCAATCTTTTGATTAAGATGCATATGAAAGGAAAGATGTGGGTAGAGGACTGATATTCTTAAACTGTAATAAAACATTTCAACAGAAATATGACGACAGCACCTAAGGTTTTGTTGCACCAAAACCACTGCAATCAACTGTAACAATTATGGTGCTTAGGGTGTCCCTTTAATGTCAGTTCAAAATATTTCAGACAATTTCCTTACAGGTGGTGACCTCCCCTGCTCTCCAATTATGCCTTCAACACCTTCTAATTATCTCGGACTGAGTCCTTCCCTCTTCTCTTCTCCGGGAGATCACATCCTCCAAGGGGAGTGTTCCCAAGGTCAGTAAGTAGGCAGAGGTATTGCTAAAGATGGCATGAAGGTTTGAGGGTGCATGGAAATAATTTAGTACATGGCAGTGCAGTATGGTTAGGTATTTTGCATAAATAATACTGATGGTGGCACAATGCTTAGAAAGTGCTCAGAAATGTATGGAAAAATAAATGGGTGCTGTTAAGTACTTTTTAAAATTTTAGTCTAGAGTAAATGGTTCTACATGGAAGGGAAGCATCTATGGGATGAGTGCTGAAATATATATATATATATGTATGTAAGCAGGAGGATGAAGCTGTAGAAGCTGTTGCGTTTGTGTTCAAGAATAACCATAACTAGATTTTTCTTAAATAGTAATTCTCCTTCTTCCTTGTCAGTATTGTTTGAGGAGGTTCAGCTAAGTTCCTGTTCCTCACCTGATCTGCAGGTGAGAAATGTTCATAAGTTTGTTTTTACTGCTGTCATTGTGAATCTGTGTCTTTTCTAACGCTGCTTTTTCCCATCAATATGGCGAGGGGGTAAATGTAAATAAATGTCAACTGTTTGTGTTCCTAATGCTAAACTGTTCCTTTAAATGCACAATAGACAAACGGGAAAAATAAAATCCAAATCAATTTCTTTTCCATCACCGCTATAATGGCCTGAAGTTTTCAGTTCTCGACAGTTCTCAGTTTAATGAATAACACTGTCTGTATTCATTGTGTGAACATAAACGTGTGCAAGCTTTGCATTTCCTGGTCATGGTCATTCTGGAGCCTGTAACAGAATGTCATTGTGGGGTTTATTCACTGAACACCGATTTGTAGAGCACTATAAACCAAATGTTAACATTTAGACCAGGGGTTCCCAACCCAGTCATCAAGTACCCCCTACCAGTCCAGGATTTAGGGATTACCCAGTTGTGTCTAAAGTGTTTTTTTCTTCTTTTTTTTCTTCAAAAACACCTTAGACACAACTGGGTAATCCCTAAATCCTGGACTGTTAGGGGGTACTTGAGGACTGGGCTGGGAACCACTGATTTAGACCATAGTACCTGATTTGGAAAAATACTTCACTTCTGCTGTAGTCACAGCTTGGCAAATGTTTCATGCATTTTTAAATGAGGCTGCCACTTCACTATATTGTTTAGTGACTAATCCCCTCTTTCTCTTTCTTATTTAGAGCACTGTAATAGTGCTATTTCTGTAGACACAGTGTGCCTTCTAGAGCAGAATGAGATATTAATTACAGAGTTAAAAGAAGTGGCAATTATCTTTTCTACACAAACTTCAGCAATAAGGAATTTTACTTTCCTTGGAGTACAGCAATGCTTCTGAATCAGGTCCTCAAGAAGCACTAAATGGTCCATAACTTAAAGATCACATTTTAATATGGCTCCCCTTTGGCACAACACTCCCCAGATCCTAACAATCCAATACAAATGATGCAGCATGCTGAAAAGTTTGAATACTTTCCTAGAGAAATGCTCTTTGTACTCACATTTTAATTATATAAAGCAGTACATGCATACATGATTGATTCATACCTGTTCCTCCCAGTTGAAAGAAACTGAGAGCCACTACACCGGTGATAACAAGCCTATGGCACTGAAGACATCATTGAAACTGAGGTGTAGATATCAGTCCTGGAGACTTGACTTAATATTGTGCGTGATGCATCTTGATATAACCAAGTAACAGGCAGCTACAATGGCTGATATCAGTGCAGAGCACAGTCAGTTAAGGGGAATAATATTTGTAGAATGGAATTTTATTTTAGCACTTTTTTAGTTACTTTATTTCTTAAGAAGATTGGGATCTCAAGCTCAAAAATGTTTCTATTGCTGCATTAGTCTAATGCATTGACTATTAAAATGATTAGGTTCTAGAACCCGGAACACACATTATCCTATTTGTTTTTTTATCTTCAACGTGGCTGTTGCAAAGTATAGGATGTATTTATTTATCCCTGTTAAAAAAACAGTGCTATTCAGCCAGTGTGCCTCAAGCAACCTCAAAGTGTGGCATGAACTCACATTGACTTCAGTACTGAAGGTTGAATGCAGGTCTTAAATTGTGTTTATTTAGTCATTGTCAGCATTCAAATTGTGATTCCCACCTTGCAATTATTTAAATCTAAGCCAGTGTTTCTAGAAGTAAGCAAATTTATCTGTTAGACATCAAGTAAATATGACATTCATAATCTACTGATGTGTACCTTGGAGTTATATCTTTCATTAAAGCATGCCTTGGTCCAACACATGTTTGGAATCCTCTGTACTAGAATACAGTCCATGACAAAAGAATTACACCTCTCTTGTCTCCATTAGCTATAGAAAATACATTCTTAGGATATGAAAGGGAAACTCTCTTGGATACATTGGCTGGTATGCTGATATCAATGTGTTTGAGGTTAAATTGGCTACTTTAATATCCTGAGAGTTTGAATTCACTAATTCATCTTTTGCTGTCATCTACGCTCCTATTTATCTCTAGGATACAATCATGTATATAGATACTTCTATAGATGCATTACACTTTGAATATATATATATATATATACTTACTGAAGCTGATCCACGTAAATATTACATATTCCCTATGTTTTATATTTCCACTATGAAGTTCTATTACCCATAGTTATTCCTCCTTTTTGAACATGTGTGTGTCTCTTTGCACATTCACATAACAATTACACTTTTGTTTTTCCATTTTTTTTATTTTTTTTTTAAGTGTTTAAAGTCATAATAAAGGTTGAATACTATTTATGAGTTCCATTTTCTTTGGAGGCTCTCCTTTAGTAGTATGCCCATTTGGTAGTTTTCAGTGTTGTTTTTAAAGGGAAACATCCCCCTGTTTTTTAGAAGGCTTCTCCTGCATTCACTCTGGATCACAGTTACCAGTCACAGAGTGAGAACAGCTCTGGAAGTGGAACTTGGAAGCACACGCAGCAGCCACAGTATGAGATCAAAACAGAGGTTGAAGGTGGAATACGTAACATCCAGTTTCAAAACAAAAGGAAAGAATGTGGTGAGAAAAGAAGGCAAAAGGTAAAATAGCTGCGGCTTAAAGACCACCGTACTATTTGTAAGCAAACATATTCATTAAATATAGTGAAACAAATTAAATTCAGCAATATCTTATTTTTAATAGGCCTTTATTATAACTATACAAAAAAATGAAGGGAAAAACAGCCCCGTGACAAATCAGGCTGTTCTCCTTCAAACCACCCAAAACAAATCAACGTCTAAGAAAAATAAATAAATTTTATTAAGAATAAAATCAGACAACCTAAGGACTCGTATATAAGACAGTAAGCTACAAGGTTATAATGGAAACAGCATGTATCAGTCACTGTTATATGTAGCAGAATAAACTCAGACAGGATTAAAGCTACACATGATACTTAGATACATATTGAACCTAACAAAAGGGATAACCTTGTATATAGATGGTAAAACAAATGGGGAGTACCATATAAGTAAAGGGAAGGTTCAGGTAAACTCCAGAGCTGAAAAAATCAGTCTCATAATAACCCCATATTATAATGAATGGTCGCCCCAACGTATTTAAACACTCACTATACTGTTATTAGGAGTTCACTAAAGGTAGAGGTATATTCAAACAAAAATGAATTGAGAAAAAATAAAAATAAAATTAAATCACATAACCTAAGGACTCATAAAGATAACACAGTACTATCTATAAACTGCAAGGTCCTAATAAGATGAAAAGTAATCGGAACACTATTCCATATAGTAGTCTAAACTCAAGAAGAGTTAGTGCTAAGTAGATAAACCCTGCAGAAAGACAGAAAGTGCAAATTAGTAGACTTGCATTGGAAATCGAAAGGATAGGGAAGATATTATAAATGAAGAGGGAAAAAATAGAGATGGATATAAATATAAGTATAAAGTTGGTCTAAATAAGACAGATAGAACTTGATAGATCCACCTCGCAATGTCTCCCTATCAAATAATCATCCCAGCGTATAGAACCGATCGACCCCAGAGTCACTAAAACATTAATCTAGAAGAGTAACACTAAAGGTATAACAATGTCGGAGAAACAAGCCCGACGCGCGTTTCGGCGGGTAAACCGCCTTTCTCAAGAGCAAGGTACAGTGTGTCTAATTAGATCCCACCCCCCCCTCTCCTTCCCATCTATATAGCCGCTACTGACCGCCCATCAGGTAGTGCTAAGTTGGCAGCGTCCAATCCCCTCGCTTGCCGGGATTAGTCAATGCGCATGTCCCGCCAGAATGTCCGCGCATGCGCGCAAAACTTAGAATGAATGTTCTCTCACGATTATCAGTGCGCAAGTCAAGATACAGCGCACAGGGTGGATAGAAAAATCGCCACACACAGGCAGTCACAGAAGGTTCCTAATAAGTCCTGACATAGGATAAATGCCCTTATATAAAAGGGGACAAAAAGAGAGGACAGACTATATTCGTCTGATCAGGCCCTTTATACTTAAATACAAAACCTCCATAGCATTCATATGTCTAATGGAGGAAAGATATCCATATATGTACAGGAGATTCATAGGGATAAAAAGGGGGAGGGGGAAATAAAAAGAAAGAAAAAGAGAGCTGAATCATAATAATCTTAATAGAAAAATAAAACAAAATATATATTATAGACAAAAAAGAGTGATAGAAGTAAAAAAATTTGAAAAGAAGGAAATTTTTATAAAGCATATTTAAAAAAAAAAAAAAACATCTTTCAAAATATTTTCACAAAAGGCTGGTGATAATAGGAGAGATAGAAGGATATAATAGAGGTATATATATAACCCAATGGGTCATAGGTTTATATAAAGGGGGCAAAAGAAAAGCCCTCGTTAAGACCCAAGGGTTGAAGAGTTTTAAGTTCATATATCCATCTAGACTCCCTCTGTCTGAGTATTTTGTCAAAGTCCCCACGTCTAGGGGTCCTTTTTACTAATTCCAATCCACAAAACTTAAGATTGTTAGGGTCCCCATGATGAAATTCTTTAAGGTGTCTAGATATAGGCGTCTCGAGACGGTTCTTAGGAGATCTCACATGTTCCATGATTCTGTCTTTAAATGCTCTAAAGGTTTTCCCCACATATTTCTGTCACAGTCTATATAAGAAACAGATTAGAACATGCTGGGAGATTTCATCTCTTGAGAACTACATGAGTAAAGAAATGATACCGAGGGGTCTTAGAGTAATGAATATCCCCTCATCTTATTCTGGTAATGCAGATTTGATGAGGGATTGGGAAGCTGCGGCTGGATCTTGCTCTAAAACGTTCATGCAAATCATTTGCAAATTTGAACATGAACAACTTAAAACAATTAACACTGATCTAGATGAAGAAATTAATGGGATCAAACAGTTTCAAAATGACCCAAATTTCACTTTTCTGGAATCCAGGTTGAAACAAAACCTGGATAAATACCAAGAATCAGTGAAATTTAGGAAGCACGATAAGTTCCTAAGAGACTCTAATGATTATCAGACTGGGAATGTTTATAAATCTTTTAACCGTAGAACACGACGTATGTCTGATAATGGTTTAACCTCAGAATATGACTCCTCAGATACAGACTCTGGGAGCCAAGTCTCAAGTACCCCAGCAGAACCACATTCTAATCTATCCACAGTAAATTCTAATCCTAGAGGAATCCTGAAGAAGGGAGTTAATTTTTTAGCCCCAGGTTACCAGGAGGAATTTCCGAGTCAGCGAACGAGATATCAGACTCGCAATCTAAGAGGAGGGGGGAGGAGGAGGAGATATTAGTTGACACTCAGATAGTTGAACGCAAGTCCAGGATTATTAATCTGTCCTCTCGCATGTTGACCACTGATCAAGAGGCTGTTCTGGGGAAGGGCCTTTCATTTGTACCTACACCTTCTTTTGATAAGTTTAGTTGGATTAGGGATCTCAATCTTTTTGTTAGAAAGTTGGCCCTACATAAATTCCATTCTGTTCAAAATGAAAGGAAGGCTCGTGACCTTGGACTTGCACCTCAAGACTATCAATGCCTCACTACCCTATTAACCCTTCTAGATGAAAATGACTCAAATATCATTTCGAACCGTACCGGCCTAAAACCCAAGAGCCGCTATACACCAAATTTTGCGGGCTTTAGGAACATTGAGTTGTTCCTAGAGGCGGCCAAAATAGAGATTGAAAAAATTAACTTAAAATCTCTCCGCATCCATTCTAGGGATAATCTCCTTAGACGGGAACAACAAGCTTTAAAAACTTTACAAGATGATGCTAATATCATCATCAAACCCGCTGATAAAGGGGGAAATATCGTACTGATGGATGTGGATAAATATTTGGAAATGGCCGAACGGGTCCTCAGGGACACCGAGACATATGTAGTCCTTAAACATGACCCTACTGATGATTTTCTGTCTAGATATAGAGAAATACTGGAGGATGGTCGCAGTAGGGGGTTGCTATCAGGTGACGAGTTTGAATTTATTTTTACCCGCCACCCTAAAATAGCAACCTTCTACTGCCTACCTAAGGTTCACAAGAACCTAGAGGTACCCCCAGGACGTCCAATTGTCTCTGGGGTCGATAATCTTACACAAAATGGCAGCCTGTACATAGACAGAGTGTTAAGACCTTTTGTTGAAAAATTACCCTCTTATATCAGGGATACCAAGCAAGCCCTAAATAAACTTTCGAGTCTTAAATTCTCCTCTTCCGTCCAATTATGTAGTTTGGACGTTGAATCACTCTACTCCTCCATACCTCATGATAGAGGAATTGAACATGTGGGATTCTTTCTCGGTCAGGAAACCCCTAGAGATGATTTGTATACAGCTTTCCTTCTACGTCTCTTGAGATTTATTTTGTCACATAACTATTTTCTGTTTAACAATCGTGTATACCACCAAGTAAGGGGAACCGCTATGGGGACGGCTTGTGCCCCCTCATATGCGAATCTCCATCTTGGTTGGTGGGAATATCATATCCTTAATTCAGATATGTTGAAAGAATACCTACCTAAAATTCTATGGTGGGGTCGCTACATTGACGACATTTTGATTGTCTGGTATGGCACCCCCCGAGAGTTCTCAGATATGGTAGGATTACTCAACTGTAATGACCAAAATCTTCGGTTCACATCTGAATTTGGAGGACGATCTATAAATTTTCTAGATGTGACTATCAGTATTAGCCAAGATGGTACATTCCACTCTACCTTGTTCAGGAAACCTACGGCAACTAATTCTCTCCTACACTGGACTAGTCACCATCCCCGACCCCTCAAGGAGGGTATACCGGTGGGTCAGTATCTCCGTCTTCGGAGGAACTGTAGTGACACCCAGGATTTTATTTTGAAAGCGAAACAACTCCGACAATATTTTAAGGAGAAGGGCTATCCGAACCGCTGTTTAAAAAGAGCCTACAAGAAGGCACTACAAACAGAGAGTGGTGAATTACTATGTGATCACACTGATAAAATGACCAAGAAGGACACTGGAATCATCCGTATGATTGCAACATTTGACAGGGGGTGGCCAGAAGTACGGAAGTCACTTGAGAGATTCTGGCCCATACTACTAAATGATGTACATCTCAAGGGGGTTCTAAGCCCACATGCCAATATTACAGCTAGGAGGGGACGGAATATTCGCGATCTATTGGTACCCAGACATTTTTCCATTAGAACACAACCACGTGCCACTTGGTTGGGTACTCCCCCAACGGGCACATATGGCTGTGGAAAATGCGTAGCTTGCAAGTTTATTCTTAAAGACTCTAAGACTGTCAGTGACAGTCAAAAATTGGTTTCCTTTAAAGTTAAAAGTTTCTTTAATTGTAATACTAAAGGCCTTGTATACCTGCTCCAGTGTACTTGCGGACAGAAATATGTGGGGAAAACCTTTAGAGCATTTAAAGACAGAATCATGGAACATGTGAGATCTCCTAAGAACCGTCTCGAGACGCCTATATCTAGACACCTTAAAGAATTTCATCATGGGGACCCTAACAATCTTAAGTTTTGTGGATTGGAATTAGTAAAAAGGACCCCTAGACGTGGGGACTTTGACAAAATACTCAGACAGAGGGAGTCTAGATGGATATATGAACTTAAAACTCTTCAACCCTTGGGTCTTAACGAGGGCTTTTCTTTTGCCCCCTTTATATAAACCTATGACCCATTGGGTTATATATATACCTCTATTATATCCTTCTATCTCTCCTATTATCACCAGCCTTTTGTGAAAATATTTTGAAAGATGTTTTTTTTTTAAAAATATGCTTTATAAAAATTTCCTTCTTTTCAAATTTTTTTACTTCTATCACTCTTTTTTGTCTATAATATATATTTTGCTTTATTTTTCTATTAAGATTATTATGATTCAGCTCTCTTTTTCTTTCTTTTTATTTCCCCCTCCCCCTTTTTATCCCTATGAATCTCCTGTACATATATGGATATCTTTCCTCCATTAGACATATGAATGCTATGGAGGTTTTGTATTTAAGTATAAAGGGCCTGATCAGACGAATATAGTCTGTCCTCTCTTTTTGTCCCCTTTTATATAAGGGCATTTATCCTATGTCAGGACTTATTAGGAACCTTCTGTGACTGCCTGTGTGTGGCGATTTTTCTATCCACCCTGTGCGCTGTATCTTGACTTGCGCACTGATAATCGTGAGAGAACATTCATTCTAAGTTTGGCGCGCATGCGCGGACATTCTGGCGGGACATGCGAATCCCGGCAAGCGAGGGGATTGGACGCTGCCAACTTAGCACTACCTGATGGGCGGTCAGTAGCGGCTATATAGATGGGAAGGAGAGGGGGGGGTGGGATCTAATTAGACACACTGTACCTTGCTCTTGAGAAAGGCGGTTTACCCGCCGAAACGCGCGTCGGGCTTGTTTCTCCGACATTGTTATACCTTTAGTGTTACTCTTCTAGATTAATGTTTTAGTGACTCTGGGGTCGATCGGTTCTATACGCTGGGATGATTATTTGATAGGGAGACATTGCGAGGTGGATCTATCAAGTTCTATCTGTCTTATTTAGACCAACTTTATACTTATATTTATAGCCATCTCTATTTTTTCTCTCTTCATTTATAATATCTTCCCTATCCTTTCGATTTCCAATGCAAGTCTACTAATTTGCACTTTCTGTCTTTCTGCAGGGTTTATCTACTTAGCACTAACTCTTCTTGAGTTTAGACTACTATATGGAATAGTGTTCCGATTACTTTTCATCTTATTAGGACCTTGCAGTTTATAGATAGTACTGTGTTATCTTTATGAGTCCTTAGGTTATGTGATTTAATTTTATTTTTATTTTTTCTCAATTCATTTTTGTTTGAATATACCTCTACCTTTAGTGAACTCCTAATAACAGTATAGTGAGTGTTTAAATACGTTGGGGCGACCATTCATTATAATATGGGGTTATTATGAGACTGATTTTTTCAGCTCTGGAGTTTACCTGAACCTTCCCTTTACTTATATGGTACTCCCCATTTGTTTTACCATCTATATACAAGGTTATCCCTTTTGTTAGGTTCAATATGTATCTAAGTATCATGTGTAGCTTTAATCCTGTCTGAGTTTATTCTGCTACATATAACAGTGACTGATACATGCTGTTTCCATTATAACCTTGTAGCTTACTGTCTTATATACGAGTCCTTAGGTTGTCTGATTTTATTCTTAATATAATAAAATTTATTTATTTTTCTTAGACGTTGATTTGTTTTGGGTGGTTTGAAGGAGAACAGCCTGATTTGTCACGGGGCTGTTTTTCCCTTCATTTTTTTGTATATTTCGTGCTTTATGCAGGGTTATGCCCGTATTACCACCCTTATAACCCGTTTCTCTCTGTACTCCCTATTTGGATTTTCTATCTAGGGAATACCTCTATTTACTATTATCTTTTAGGTTTCAATACCAGGGTTATATAGAGTGATTTATCTACTTAATTTTAAATATGGCTGGTTTCTTATCAAATAAGATTGAAGGTAATGTCTGGTGTAAAGACGCAGAAAATGTGTTTTCAAACACAAAACTAGATCTAAATACTACTACTCCCAACATTAATAAATCTTTTAATAAACTTCACAGTCTATATAAGAAACAGATTAGAACATGCTGGGAGATTTCATCTCTTGAGAACTACATGAGTAAAGAAATGATACCGAGGGGTCTTAGAGTAATGAATATCCCCTCATCTTATTCTGGTAATGCAGATTTGATGAGGGATTGGGAAGCTGCGGCTGGATCTTGCTCTAAAACGTTCATGCAAATCATTTGCAAATTTGAACATGAACAACTTAAAACAATTAACACTGATCTAGATGAAGAAATTAATGGGATCAAACAGTTTCAAAATGACCCAAATTTCACTTTTCTGGAATCCAGGTTGAAACAAAACCTGGATAAATACCAAGAATCAGTGAAATTTAGGAAGCACGATAAGTTCCTAAGAGACTCTAATGATTATCAGACTGGGAATGTTTATAAATCTTTTAACCGTAGAACACGACGTATGTCTGATAATGGTTTAACCTCAGAATATGACTCCTCAGATACAGACTCTGGGAGCCAAGTCTCAAGTACCCCAGCAGAACCACATTCTAATCTATCCACAGTAAATTCTAATCCCAGAGGAATCCTGAAGAAGGGAGTTAATTTTTTAGCCCCAGGTTACCAGGAGGAATTTCCGAGTCAGCGAACGAGATATCAGACTCGCAATCTAAGAGGAGGGGGGAGGAGGAGGAGATATTAGTTGACACTCAGATAGTTGAACGCAAGTCCAGGATTATTAATCTGTCCTCTCGCATGTTGACCACTGATCAAGAGGCTGTTCTGGGGAAGGGCCTTTCATTTGTACCTACACCTTCTTTTGATAAGTTTAGTTGGATTAGGGATCTCAATCTTTTTGTTAGAAAGTTGGCCCTACATAAATTCCATTCTGTTCAAAATGAAAGGAAGGCTCGTGACCTTGGACTTGCACCTCAAGACTATCAATGCCTCACTACCCTATTAACCCTTCTAGATGAAAATGACTCAAATATCATTTCGAACCGTACCGGCCTAAAACCAAAGAGCCGCTATACACCAAATTTTGCGGGCTTTAGGAACATTGAGTTGTTCCTAGAGGCGGCCAAAATAGAGATTGAAAAAATTAACTTAAAATCTCTCCGCATCCATTCTAGGGATAATCTCCTTAGACGGGAACAACAAGCTTTAAAAACTTTACAAGATGATGCTAATATCATCATCAAACCCGCTGATAAAGGGGGAAATATCGTACTGATGGATGTGGATAAATATTTGGAAATGGCCGAACGGGTCCTCAGGGACACCGAGACATATGTAGTCCTTAAACATGACCCTACTGATGATTTTCTGTCTAGATATAGAGAAATACTGGAGGATGGTCGCAGTAGGGGGTTGCTATCAGGTGACGAGTTTGAATTTATTTTTACCCGCCACCCTAAAATAGCAACCTTCTACTGCCTACCTAAGGTTCACAAGAACCTAGAGGTACCCCCAGGACGTCCAATTGTCTCTGGGGTCGATAATCTTACACAAAATGGCAGCCTGTACATAGACAGAGTGTTAAGACCTTTTGTTGAAAAATTACCCTCTTATATCAGGGATACCAAGCAAGCCCTAAATAAACTTTCGAGTCTTAAATTCTCCTCTTCCGTCCAATTATGTAGTTTGGACGTTGAATCACTCTACTCCTCCATACCTCATGATAGAGGAATTGAACATGTGGGATTCTTTCTCGGTCAGGAAACCCCTAGAGATGATTTGTATACAGCTTTCCTTCTACGTCTCTTGAGATTTATTTTGTCACATAACTATTTTCTGTTTAACAATCGTGTATACCACCAAGTAAGGGGAACCGCTATGGGGACGGCTTGTGCCCCCTCATATGCGAATCTCCATCTTGGTTGGTGGGAATATCATATCCTTAATTCAGATATGTTGAAAGAATACCTACCTAAAATTCTATGGTGGGGTCGCTACATTGACGACATTTTGATTGTCTGGTATGGCACCCCCCGAGAGTTCTCAGATATGGTAGGATTACTCAACTGTAATGACCAAAATCTTCGGTTCACATCTGAATTTGGAGGACGATCTATAAATTTTCTAGATGTGACTATCAGTATTAGCCAAGATGGTACATTCCACTCTACCTTGTTCAGGAAACCTACGGCAACTAATTCTCTCCTACACTGGACTAGTCACCATCCCCGACCCCTCAAGGAGGGTATACCGGTGGGTCAGTATCTCCGTCTTCGGAGGAACTGTAGTGACACCCAGGATTTTATTTTGAAAGCGAAACAACTCCGACAATATTTTAAGGAGAAGGGCTATCCGAACCGCTGTTTAAAAAGAGCCTACAAGAAGGCACTACAAACAGAGAGGGGTGAATTACTATGTGATCACACTGATAAAATGACCAAGAAGGACACTGGAATCATCCGTATGATTGCAACATTTGACAGGGGGTGGCCAGAAGTACGGAAGTCACTTGAGAGATTCTGGCCCATACTACTAAATGATGTACATCTCAAGGGGGTTCTAAGCCCACATGCCAATATTACAGCTAGGAGGGGACGGAATATTCGCGATCTATTGGTACCCAGCCATTTTTCCATTAGAACACAACCACGTGCCACTTGGTTGGGTACTCCCCCAACGGGCACATATGGCTGTGGAAAATGCGTAGCTTGCAAGTTTATTCTTAAAGACTCTAAGACTGTCAGTGACAGTCAAAAATTGGTTTCCTTTAAAGTTAAAAGTTTCTTTAATTGTAATACTAAAGGCCTTGTATACCTGCTCCAGTGTACTTGCGGACAGAAATATGTGGGGAAAACCTTTAGAGCATTTAAAGACAGAATCATGGAACATGTGAGATCTCCTAAGAACCGTCTCGAGACGCCTATATCTAGACACCTTAAAGAATTTCATCATGGGGACCCTAACAATCTTAAGTTTTGTGGATTGGAATTAGTAAAAAGGACCCCTAGACGTGGGGACTTTGACAAAATACTCAGACAGAGGGAGTCTAGATGGATATATGAACTTAAAACTCTTCAACCCTTGGGTCTTAACGAGGGCTTTTCTTTTGCCCCCTTTATATAAACCTATGACCCATTGGGTTATATATATACCTCTATTATATCCTTCTATCTCTCCTATTATCACCAGCCTTTTGTGAAAATATTTTGAAAGATGGTTTTTTTTTTTTTTTAAATATGCTTTATAAAAATTTCCTTCTTTTCAAATTTTTTTACTTCTATCACTCTTTTTTGTCTATAATATATATTTTGTTTTATTTTTCTATTAAGATTATTATGATTCAGCTCTCTTTTTCTTTCTTTTTATTTCCCCCTCCCCCTTTTTATCCCTATGAATCTCCTGTACATATATGGATATCTTTCCTCCATTAGACATATGAATGCTATGGAGGTTTTGTATTTAAGTATAAAGGGCCTGATCAGACGAATATAGTCTGTCCTCTCTTTTTGTCCCCTTTTATATAAGGGCATTTATCCTATGTCAGGACTTATTAGGAACCTTCTGTGACTGCCTGTGTGTGGCGATTTTTCTATCCACCCTGTGCGCTGTATCTTGACTTGCGCACTGATAATCGTGAGAGAACATTCATTCTAAGTTTTGCGCGCATGCGCGGACATTCTGGCGGGACATGCGCATTGACTAATCCCGGCAAGCGAGGGGATTGGACGCTGCCAACTTAGCACTACCTGATGGGCGGTCAGTAGCGGCTATATAGATGGGAAGGAGAGGGGGGGGTGGGATCTAATTAGACACACTGTACCTTGCTCTTGAGAAAGGCGGTTTACCCGCCGAAACGCGCGTTGGGCTTGTTTCTCCGACATTGTTATACCTTTAGTGTTACTCTTCTAGATTAATGTTTTAGTGACTCTGGGGTCGATCGGTTCTATACGCTGGGATGATTATTTGATAGGGAGACATTGCGAGGTGGATCTATCAAGTTCTATCTGTCTTATTTAGACCAACTTTATACTTATATTTATATCCATCTCTATTTTTTCTCTCTTCATTTATAATATCTTCCCTATCCTTTCGATTTCCAATGCAAGTCTACTAATTTGCACTTTCTGTCTTTCTGCAGGGTTTATCTACTTAGCACTAACTCTTCTTGAGTTTAGACTACTATATGGAATAGTGTTCCGATTACTTTTCATCTTATTAGGACCTTGCAGTTTATAGATAGTACTGTGTTATCTTTATGAGTCCTTAGGTTATGTGATTTAATTTTATTTTTATTTTTTCTCAATTCATTTTTGTTTGAATATACCTCTACCTTTAGTGAACTCCTAATAACAGTATAGTGAGTGTTTAAATACGTTGGGGCGACCATTCATTATAATATGGGGTTATTATGAGACTGATTTTTTCAGCTCTGGAGTTTACCTGAACCTTCCCTTTACTTATATGGTCCTCCCCATTTGTTTTACCATCTATATACAAGGTTATCCCTTTTGTTAGGTTCAATATGTATCTAAGTATCATGTGTAGCTTTAATCCTGTCTGTGTTTATTCTGCTACATATAACAGTGACTGATACATGCTGTTTCCATTATAACCTTGTAGCTTACTGTCTTATATACGAGTCCTTAGGTTGTCTGATTTTATTCTTAATAAAATTTATTTATTTTTCTTAGACGTTGATTTGTTTTGGGTGGTTTGAAGGAGAACAGCCTGATTTGTCACGGGGCTGTTTTTCCCTTCATTTTTTTGTATATTTCGTGCTTTATGCAGGGTTATGCCCGTATTACCACCCTTATAACCCGTTTCTCTCTGTACTCCCTATTTGGATTTTCTATCTAGGGAATACCTCTATTTTCTTTATTATAACTACCATAAAGGTGATCTGGAAACATTTCAACCACTTCAGATATTTTTCAAGTTGGGGCAAAGATATAAAAGTGGAGCAGTTACCATGGAGACTAATGGAATGTTCGTGCGCACTGTGCCATGGAATGACTTTTTAGCTCTTTCAGGTGCTCAGTACTTGGTAGGAATAGAAAGGTTGGTGAGAGAGCACCTAATCTTTATTCTTACAAGTAGGTTGTATAAAACAGTGTACTTCGTGACATTTCACCTCGTAGTAAATTTACTCAAGACTATTGCCTTCTTTCTCAGAAAACCTGAAATCAAAATTTCCCTAAAGGGAAATTAACAAGATGAAATTCTAAAATACATTTTATAAAATGTCTAAATAAATTTAAGGACTAAATTGAGCTGAAATCAGGAAGCAGAATCATTCAGTTCACTAATACTGTGGTGCTTGATTAACTAAATAATCATTTTGCCTGTTAATTATGGTTGATTCGGTGAGCTTGATTAAAGGGACACTATTATCACCAGAACAACTACAGCCTAATGTAGTTGATCTGGTGAGTATAGTCAGTCTCTGTAAACACTGTCTTTTCATTTTAGGAGACAGCAACTGTTGCACAACTAAAGGCCATTTTCTTCTTAAACACAGTGGGTTTTATTCATTAAACTCTGAACTGTACCAAATTAAAATATGAATCGCAATATGTAGGCCCATAAGCTTATTCAGAAAAACTCTAACTCAGCTATAGTCATATGTTGACTACTTTAGGTTAAAGGAATACTTTAGTGTTTGGAATACAAAGCTGTATCCCTAACACTAAAGAGCTCCTCTGCCCCAACTCCCTTCAGCAAATAAAGGATTAAAAACCATTATAACACTTACCTTAGTTCCTCTGTATTGGCACCATGTCCTCCAAAGTCAGCGCCATGGGTGAACATAATGCGCAAGCTAAATGTCCGCATCTCAAGCATTAGGCTTTCAAACAGCCTTTAGTGGCTGTCTTAACCCTGCAATATTAACATTGTAAAGTTTTAGATTGCAGGGTTAAGGGACCAAGTACAGTACACCCAGACCACTTCAATGAGATGAAGTGGTCTGGGTACCTATAGTGTCCCTTTAAATTCTTTTCAGTTGACTGTGATTTGGTGTTTAGTGTATATTTTTACCAAATGTTGCAATTCCTCTTAGTGAATAACTATATACAGTATATAATAACTTTAATTAGGATATAGCAGTTGTTACAAATTCTCGTTAGCGAATAACTCTACATATATACTAAGATAAAACAGTAACTGTAGCAACAGTTCTGGCACTCTTCCAAACCCTCCTTGGTTACATTAATGGTTTCAGACCTCTTATAACCATCACTCCCACCCCCAGGACCTCCTCTTCAGTGCAGAAACTCCAAATTAAATACTCAAGAAAAATTATTTAAACCATAGATTGTAGTAAAACAGTATATATTTTTAAACTATGGGTTAGGTTTCTTAAAGGAACAGTTTAAAGCAGAACACTCATTTCTGTGGATGCATTTACTATTGAAGCATGTCCAGGAGTAAATAATGCAGTGGGGATTAGAAAAAAAAATACCGTACTTACCTACACTGCACTTCCATGTTCTGGTTGAATTTGACATCTGATGAGACACCTGCAGAGAAATGGTGTATAAACACATACTCTGTCATTCTCTAATTGGTTCCCTATGTGCACATGTGCTGTACTTATGGCACTGCAGAGGTTAATTTACTTGAGGTGCCCCGCAGACAGATGCAGTGAAATTTTAAAAAAGCATGTTTTTTTGTAAAACCAATCTAAAATAGTTTGATAGAAAAACTTAGGACTCCTTGTACCATGTCTGTATCAAATAATCTGGTTACGTCACCTAGAGTATTAATACTTACGTTATGTACCTAATAGGTTACTAGATGGAAGACATATATTTGGAACTGCTCCTTAATTTAAGTGAAGAAAAAAAAGTATTGTCTTCTCCTGTTGGTTGTGCTTGTCACGGCTCCTAGCATCTCTGCCTGCGTGGCTGCATTCACACTAAGCAGCCACAGAGATGTTTTAAACTTATCTTGGGCTCGGCGGGCAGCTACCCGGTCTCCCTCCGTTCCAGTCCCCAGCGGGTGCGACGTTCTTAGGAACGCCGGCCACTGTGGATCGGGCTTTTAAAAGAAACTTACCTTCTCCCACATCAAATATGGCGCCAACGTACGTACGGCATCACGTCATAGACGTGCACGCGCGTTTTGGGGTCAGAGAGAACCAATTACAGCCCAAGGAGGGTTATTTAAACACAAATTACCTTTTTTGTCAGTGCCCTGTCGTGGTTTCCACTAGCTGGTTATCTGAGAGTGTGTTCCTGATTGCGTTTTTTCTGGTATTTGACTTCTGGCTTTCCTCATCGTTGTGTCTCATTCTGTGTCCCTGACCTCGGCAAATATTTTGGCTATTCTGCGGTATGTTAAGTCCAGCCATTCTAAGGTCCGGTTAGACGTTATTCTTTGTCCTAGGTGTGATACTATTCTGCGTGCTGGATCCACTATAATCCTGACAGTGCTCTCATAAGGGAAGAGAAATGTATCTATAAATAGTCTGTGTAGTAAAGATTTCCTTCAGTTACATACATAATTGCCTACCCACACTTGATCTATTTATATAGCAAGTAAAATACATTTAGATTGCTTTACATATCGTCTGCTGGAGATACAAGCACTGGAGTTTGCCCTCAACCTCCACAACAAAAACACCACAAATATTACACCACAGTAGTTCTAGACCAGGGTTGTCAAACACTGCCCTCACTTCCCAACTCCGTACAGAGCATTTGGTAGCACTCACACCTAACATTGTGGGCAATAGGTAGAGTCTATTGTGCTGTTTGGTTTGACTTGGAGAACAACAACCTAAAGTGCCACTAAGGGCTGCAACCATGTTTCTAAACTGACCCAGGACAGTACATACAGGTGGGAAATTTCATAGATAAAAAGGACAGGGTAACGGCCTAACATAGAAGGTTGTGTTCACTAAACAGTAAACAGCAGAGAATTAAAAAGGAAATTGGCAAATGTTAGGCCAGAAGTGTTGTATTGCAAACATTGCCTAGTTTAGTTATTTCAGCACAGCTGTTGTCTAAAGGGTGGCATTATACAGAATTTCATTGTTTGTGAATAAACCACAGAGATAGGGCAGGAACATTCTCCTCTGTTATTAAGATACCTATTCTAGTCCCATATAACCCATCTAGAAACATAGCAGAGTTAAGGATGTTTTTCCAGTTTTAGAACAATGTATTTGTTAATTTATTTTATTTCACTAAAATTTTCCTTTTGGTGAATAAACCCCACAGTTTGATGATTAACTATGCAAATAAATATTTGTAGGGATTAGACAACATACAAAGACTATAAATTGAAAACAGGAAGTGATTTCCATGGAACGGAAACAGGATATGACCAAATTTAAGTACAACAAAAGAATACCTGATTGTGTTTATCTGAACTGAACAATGGCCTTGTCTTCAACTGAGTCCAGTACATAATGTAGATTATAATAATGGCGGTTTTGGGTAGCAGTGAACAATGGGTTCACATTCCCTTTGCAGCATTGGCTGAAAGAAAATGTACTTCACACACAACTTAGGGCTTTATTTACAGCTACTGGTGACTCAAAAGCACAGTTTTTTTCCAGCATAGTTATTTTGACCTAAATTTTATAGTTGGGTTTTTATTTTCTGGGAATCCACCGATTAGAGAACAATCTTCTAAACTTTTGGTCTGACTGGGATTACTGACTGACTATGTGATGAAATGGGGTTTTCTTTTCATAGCTGGCTCTATTGAACATAGAGGTAATTACGCTATTCATTAATACACTATAATTGTATGTTTTAGGAAGGCATCCCTAACCCTAGTAATTGGGACAATAAAGCTTTTCCCAATACCATGCGGTGTCCTGGAAAACGAAACAAACGAAGACCTAATAGCTTATCTAGACTGCAACGTCTCAGGAAGAAATGTGTGAATGGTTTCATCATGTTCTGCCAACTGAACAGAAAGCTCTATCTAAGGTAACCACAGAGATTGTATATGTTGAGATTTATGTTACATATTTATTATTTTTCAGTTTTCATATAGCGCCGTATCCAGAGCACTTGACAAAGTAGGCAAAGAGAAAATTGGTGAGTTTGAGTCAGAGGGATATGCAGTTAGATGTCCTGAAAACCCAGCACGTGGGTTTCAATCCAATGCCTACAGCATCTCCAACAAAGTTCTATGAAAGCTTGCAGTCTAGTCGCTGGGGCAAATGGTCAAGAATGGTAGAATAAGACCACATTTTTTTGTCTCCTTGATTAGTGCACATCCTGGGACAGCATCCACAGAAGCCACCAAGGAACTGGCAGAATTGTGGAGAGAGATGTCCGCTCTGGAGAGACGACCGTACTGGTGAGCGTGAGCATCAAGTCCTTTCCTTATTCTAACACTGGTTGATTCCCCAGGCCTTATCTCACTCTCTCTTTCTTCTCCTCAGTATAAGAGCATACCAGTTTAGTGTTTTGCACGACCGATTGGTAAAAAAAGGCTCTTCGGGCATCTTACATGGAAGTCTCTAACGACTGAAACCTTTGTCAGTGTCGCTTACAGAGAAGATGGTGCACCTCATGAAACAATGATCAAATCGTTTCCCATCAACATATGTTGTGTGGTTGTTTTTGCAATAAACATACATTTTAATATTGCATGTTTTATTAGTTATATCTTTAGCAAGGATTGAAAAGTGCTTGGTTCGTGTAAATTGTTCCAGATCCAATATTATTTGAATCGTCTGCTTCCCAAAGAAGCTCTAGCATTACTCTGTTAGTAGAATGTATCATATGTTTTAACAGTCTTAGAAGATAGTATTGAGTGACAGTAAATTATCATTGTATATAAACTATACAGTATATTAAAATCATTGTTTGGGCCTTTAAGTGTTTTCAGATGTCTTTTTAAAATAGGCTTCTTAATCTCAAGTATCTGTAACATTTAAAAATAAACGGAAACAATACACTGTTATCATTGCATAATGTACTCAGGAATATCCATTTTAATGTTCTTAGTAAACAAATTCAGCAATTTCTGAAAGCTCTCTTGCCAAAGGGTAGTGTCGTTTCACTTTAATCCGCAGTTTAATTTTAGATATTAATTAACCGTGATAAAATTACTCTGCATTGTGTCTGCAACTGCTTATAAAGTGCTTCTTAATAATCCATTAAAGGACCACTATAGTGCCAGGAAAATATACTCGTTTTCCTGGCACTATAGTGCCCTGAGGGAGCCCCCACCCTCAGGGACCCCCTCCCGCCCGGCTCTGGAAAGGGGAAAAGGGGCTAAACTTACCTTTTTCCAGCGCTGGGCGGGGAGCTGTCCTACTCCTGGGCTGAATGCGCACTCGCGGCAAGAGCTGCGCGCGCATTCAGCCGGTCACATAGGAAAGCATTCATAATGCTTTCCTATGGACGCTCGTGTGCTCTCACTGTGAAAATCACAGTGAGAAGCACGCAAGCGCCTCTAGCGGCTGTCAATGAGACAGCCGCTAGAGGAAATAGGGGAAGGCATAACCCATTCATAAACATAGCAGTTTCTCTGAAACTGCTATATTTATGAAAAAATGGGTTAACCCTAGCTGGACCTGGCACCCAGACCACTTCATTAAGCTGAAGTGGTCTGGGTGCCTAGAGTGATCCTTTAAACATTGCACTGTCTATAGCATAATTACAAGAAAAAAGGCTATCCATATTATACTATTGCAAGCACAGCAAGATTTGATTGATGTAATAAAGCTGTCCAGTCAAAATGTATATGCACCTCCTCAATATTATTTAATTTCATGCAAAAAATAAAGGCACTTAGTGCATAAGTGTAACATATCCCAATGGACATCCCTAGGTGCATTGTCAGTGTGCATTGGGAGAGTTCCTATATCTGTGTTAAACTGCATTATTCCCTGCTGCCTGTAAGAAATCAGGCAAACTGGTTTTATATGTAACTTAAAAAAAACCAATCATAATGACTTTGCCAGTCAAGGATTCTAAGATTCAATACTCAAGGAATATGTTCACTTCACAGTTTAAACATAGAATGTGACGGCAGATAAGAACCATTCACAATTCAGCCCATCTAGTCTGCCCAATTTTCTAAAAACTTTAATTAGTCCCTGGCCTTAAATTAAGTCTAGGATAGCCCTATCCCACGCATGCTTAAAGCGGCACTGTCATGGCCGTATCCAGTTTTGTTTTAACCCGACTCCACTACATCTACAATTGTCACACACAAATGCCCCTAAGCCCCCCAGCTTACCTATTTTTTTCGTCGTTATCTTGTGCCCGGACCTAGGTTCTGGGCGCCGCCGTCTTTGTGTGGGTAGATGAAGTCCCTGTGGTACACGTCATCTGCCCACACTAGATAGCGCTGTGAAATTCCCGCGCATGCCCAGTTAAACACTTGGGCATTTGAACGGGAATTTCATCTATTCATTCATTCATCAGAAAGAAAAATAAATGAATAGAAATTTCAAACGAATGAATGAAGACCTCTTCATTTGTTTGGTTTATTACAAGGAGGGAGCTACTGGCTCGCAGCTCCCTCCTTGTAATATGTAAAAATAGAAGCAGCAGGTTTCCTGCCAATTCCTAACCCCGCCCCCATGTCCTCCGTCACAGTAGCATAAGGGAGATTAAAATCTCCTGAATGCCGCAAGTAGTGGCATGTCTACTAAACAGTGAGCAGCCAGGGTGGGGGCCCTAAATGAAAATTCCCCCCCCCAACGGGTGGGAGCTAAGTGTAAATACCCCCTACTCTCCCCGCCCCCCCAGGTGACTAGGAGGCAACTACTCACACCCCCAAAAAAAATAAATTTGTTTTTTTAATAATCACCTACCCACGGCCCCTTAAATAGTGAGGGGGGAACTAAATCCCTTTAAATAAAAAATAACCATTTGATGTCTTCTTTTTTCTAAAATCTTTTTTTCAGCCCCAAAAAAGGCAAAATAAAAATCCATAATACCCGTCGAACTTATCAAATAAAATAAAAAATCCGAGCGCAAAAGAAAATGGAGGGCATGGCGCAGACTGAGCTCCTTGGGCGGAGAAAGGCTTATAAAGCCTTTCAACGCTCTGCAATTAGGCTTAGAGCACTCTGATTGATTCTAAGCCAACCAATCAGACTCCTCTGACAGGTAAATGAAGAGACTGACCGGTAAGTACCTACATTTACCTGTCACAGCACTCTGATTCGCTGGCTTGGAATCCAACCAATCAGAGTGCTCTGAGTCATTATATACAGTTTGGGAAAGTTCATTGGAAATTTCCCATGCTGTGTAACAACACTCTGAATGGTTGCTTTCAATCAACCAATCAGAGAGTCCTGAATTTCGTCTTAACACGAATGGACGAACTGCTCTTGTTCTGTTAGGACGAAATTCGGTAGTTTTACCGGCGTTTGGGAAGACGGAAAGGAGGCATCGCGAGAACACGGACGGAAGGTGAGAGTTGTGGGAAAAGTTCTCTTAGCACACTTTGCTCCTGCGCTGGTCATATATGGTCAGGCGTAGGAAACCTCCATAAGACTTTGTTTTATGTTTTAAAGAAAACTAGAGCAGACAGGAAGAAATTAAGAACAGATCCTGACAGAGGAAGAGAAGAGGAAGTGATTAAAGAAAGGTAAGTTCGGCGTGACAGTGCTGCTCTAAACTCCCTCACTGTGTTAACCTCTACCACTTCAGTTGGAAAGGCTATTCCATACATCCACTACCCTCTCTGTAAATTAATACTTCCTGCTATTTTTAAACCTGTTTCCCTCTAATTTAAGACCTTGTTTTTTATGTCCTCTTGTTGTGGTAGTTTTTCTTCTTTTAAATATAACCTCCTTTACTGTGTTGATTCCCTTCATGTATTTAAATGTTTCTATCATATCCCCTATCTCATCTTTCTTCCAAGCTATACATGTTAAAGGACCACTATAGTGCCAGGAAAACAAACTCCTTTTCCAGGCACTATAGTGTTAATAGGTCCCCCCCACCCTCCTGGCCCCCATCCCACTGGGAGGAAGGGGTTACACTTTTACCTTTCTTCAGCGCCGGGCTCCCTTGGCGCTAGGGAAATCAACTCCCTCTTCCGATGTCAGTGCTGCATGCGCAGCAAGAGCCGCGCAGGCATTCAATCAGTCCATTTGATTTTCACAGTGAGAAGCCCTCTAGCAGCTGTCAGTGAGACAGCCACTAGAGGCTGAATTAACCCTAATGTAAACATAGCAGTTTCTTTACAGCAGGCAGGATTAATCCTAGCTGGACCTGGCACCCAGACCACTTCGTTAAGCTGAAGTGGTCTGGGTGCCTATAGTGGTCCTTTTAATGGCATGGGAACTCACATTTGGAGAATCACTGCCTTAAGTCCATCCCTGTAAGAAGCCAAGCTGTAACTAGGCTTTGCAATGGTCCTTAAGAGGTTAAACATGTAACCCCTGAATATACCTACCACACCTGTCTTCATAGTGCCCCCAGCATCATGCAATGACAGTTTGCCATTCCCAACATGGACGCCCGTACGTACAGGCACATGCCACCAATCCGTGACGACATACGCTGACATTCACAAGATGGCGGCCACGTTACGTCCTCCCCATTGCCAGTCTCAATGTGGTGGCCGGATGTCGCTCTCCTGGTGACGCACTAAGGGTGACCGGCAGCGTGAAGATGGCAGAGGGAGAGCGGGCAGCGGATACCGGAGGCGGGGAGACCGGGGAGAAGACGGCCGAGGAGTTAAAGGAGAAAGCCAACGAGTACTTCCGGGGTAATGGCTCCCCCCCAGCATGGGGCGTGTGGGTGACCGCGTGTGTGGCTGCAACACTGCACTTTACTGGGGGGCCGAAACGTAGTCCTCCCCCAGCAATGCTGCAGCCACAACTCCCAGTATGGCCAGCCAGCCCGCCCCCAGCAATGCTGCAGCCACAACTCCCAGTATGGCCAGCCAGCCAGCCCCCCAGCAATGCTGCAGCCACAACTCCCAGTATGGCCAGCAAGCCTGCCCTCCCTCCCCAGCAATGCTGCAGCCACAACTCCCAGTATGGCCAGCCAGCCCCCCCAGCAATGCTGCAGCCACAACTCCCAGTATGGCCAGCCAGCCCTCCCCCAGCTGCAGCCAACTGCATGGCAGCCAGCAGCTAGCCACAACTCCCAGTATGGCCAGCCAGCCCCCCAGCAATGCTGCAGCCACAACTCCCAGTATGGCCAGCCAGCCCCCCCAGCAAGCCACAACTCCCAGCTGCCCCCCAGCAGCTGCAGCCACAACTCCCAGTATGGCCAGCCAGCCAGCCCAGCAATGCTGCAGCCACAACTCCCAGTATGGCCAGCCAGCCAGCCCCCCCAGCAATGCTGCAGCCACAACTCCTTGGCCAGTGCCAGCCCTCCCCAGCAATGCTGCAGCCACAACTCCAGTATGGCCAGCCAGCCAGCTCCCCCCAGCAATGCTGCAGCCACAACTCCCAGTATGGCCAGCCAGCCCCTCCCCAGCAATGCTGCAGCCACAACTCCCAGTATGGCCAGCCAGCCCAATGCCAGCCATGCTGCAGCCAGCAATGCTGCAGCCACAACTCCCAGTATGGCCAGCCAGCCCCCCCCCAGCAATGCTGCAGCCACAACTCCCAGTATGGCCAGCCAGCCAGCCCTTTGGCTGAGAGTAGGGATCCTCCAACAGCTGTATAGGAGTGAGCTTACTGTCCACCCCTGAATGCCATGGGCCAGGGCATCTCTGCATTGTGTATATACACTATACTGCTAATATATATATATATATATATATATATATATATAGTGTGTCTGTATAATATATACACTATATACTGCTATTATATATATATATATATATATATATAGTGTGTGTCTGTATAATAATATATACACTATACTGCTATTATATATAGTGTGTGTATAATATATACACTATAAACTGCTATTATATATAGTGTGTGTCTGTATAATATATACACTATATACTGCTATTATATATATATATATATATATATATATATATATATATTAGTGTGTGTCTGTATAATACTGTATATAATAGCAGTATATAGTGTATATATTGTGTGTCTGTATAATAATATATACACTATACTGCTATTATATAGTGTGTGTCTGCATTGTATATACACAATATACTGCTATTATATATATATAGTGTGTCTGCATGATATATACACTATACTGTATGATATATACTGTATGATATATACACTATACTGGTATATATATATATATATATATAATGTGTGTGTGTGTGCTCTCATTAATGGCTTTATTGGGTATATATACATATCACTTAGAGTTTGGAGGAAATCTGCAATGTTAAGAAATCAATGTATAATGTGGGACATTCAGGAAGTTGCAGACAAACAAAAACTGTCCAGGAACATGCTGAAATGAACCATTAAAGGACCACTATAGTGCCAGGAAAACATACTCGTTTTCCTGGCACTATAGTGCCCTGAGGGTGCCCCCACCCTCAGGGACCCCCTCCCGCCCGGTTCTGGAAGGGGGAAAGGGGTAATAACTTACCTTTTTCCAGCGCTGGGCGGAGAGCTCTCCTCCTCCTCTCCGCCTCCGATCCTCCCTGCCGGCTGAATGCGCACGCGCGGCAAGAGCTGCGCGCGCATTCAGCCCGTCGCATAGGAAAGCATTTACAATGCTTTCCTATGGACGCTTGCGTGCTCTCACTGTGAAAATCACAGTGAGAAGCACGCAAGCGCCTCTAGTGGCTGTCAATGAGACAGCCACTAGAGGATTAGGGGGAAGGCTTAACCCATTCAGAATTATAGCAGTTTCTCTGAAACTGCTATAATTATGAAAAAATGGGTTAAGCCTAGAAGGACCTGGCACCCAGACCACTTCATTAAGCTGAAGTGGTCTGGGTGCCTAGAGTGGTCCTTTAAGGAATGGTCCAGGATTGGAAGTGAATTTCACGTTTTAGGCCAGGGTCACTAAGTTTTAAAGTTAATTTATTTTAGCCTAAAACTTGAAGTTTATCTGAAGTTCACTTTGAGTTTCTGACACTTCACGTTTTAGTGAATAACAGAATTTTAAACTATACATCCAGAAGATTGAGACTGTTTTGCTAACTGTGTTCTAATTTATAAAGTCTCATACAGAGTGAGGGGCCATAGTGAGGGTTTGCACAAACTTGGTGACAAGATAATCCAATGTAGGATGTAGTGAGACTGGTATACAGTATTATTCAATGTGTTCCTTCATTATGCCTGGGCTAATCAATTATGTCAGTGTGTTGTTTGTAAGGTTTATTTTAAAAGGAATTTGTGTTCTGCTTTTTGTTTAAAAAGAGAGTGTGGGGTCTGAGAGAAAGCTAGCACAGCTTAGTGTGATGCCTTATTCATAGATGTCCACATTTCTCATGCAGACTAGCTTCTGGTCATGTCTTTTTGGGAATCAAACTAATTTGCATGTTTGAAACTGCATGTTCTCTTCATGGGTGTGAGGTATGATACACACCAGACGCTCATTCAATAGAAGAACCAGGAATGACTGTCTATATATATATATATATATATATATATAACGTCTAAACATCTCCTTCTCTTCTCTGAGTTGCTTAGTTAATTCACAATCACAGCAAAACTGAGAACAAGTATTCTTGTGTCTTTTTTTTTTTAATACTGACATTTTATTTATTACACAGACTGTGGAAACATTCCTGTGCATGTAATACAAGAGTGTCAAAATAATAGATATATATATAATTCATTGATACTTTTGCAATCTTCATATAAGTTGAATGAATCCTACAAATCACAGCTACATATGTCAAGGTATACTTTACATGAAAGATGTAGAAGTGGATGCCAAACATTTCTGGCTGCAGAGCATATGCAGATGAAAGTGACGACCAATCCAAATCTATGGTAAATGGCAATATTCATAAGGCAGGGTCTTCTTGATTTGCTCACTTTCACACAAAATCTTCAAGCCCGCACATACCTAAAATTAGTAAGCAATAGCACATGGATTTTCTCTTGTAATAGTACACTTTAATATCTAAACGAGTTGGGCTAGCGTATCGCAACATCTGTTTATTAGTGTAGCAGATCTTTTGCCACAGGATTCCTGCTGAGCAGGGTAACATATGTGCCCAGCTATTTCTTTGAATAGTATGTGGTGCCAGGAGTGGCTGAATAATCTCAGCCACTTCCTCTTCTCTTCAGGTTTTTGGCAGTTGTAAAAGTAAATATATAACAGTTTTTTGTTTGTTTTAAAAAAATAAAATAAAAAAATTTGTAAGCGTCTTTGGAATAGTATTCTATTACTTTCCTTCCCCTCTCACTAGCTATAAAGTTCAGGATCTACCCTTTTTTGTCTCACCATCTTGTTGACTGTCCATTTTAGTGAACACTTGTGAAGTCCTTAGCATGGTTGCCCGTCAGTCCCTTTTGAATTTTATTTCTGTATTTCTCACTTCTTAATTTGTACAGCATTGCTGCATATGTTGAGCACATAGTGATTAAAAGATAATTACCATTGATGCTTAATTGTATTGTATTCTTTATTTAACGCTGCTGTTCACATAGTCTCTGAGGATATGTATTCTTGTTGCTAAGGCACATTCTAAATAAAAACATATTCTATTTAGGATGTGACACGGGCGTTACATGAGGCCCACACGTTTAGTGTAAGAGAATTCTAAAAGCAGATACCCTGGTGATCTAGCGATGTGCAGAAAATATCCCCCATTTCTGTTCAGTAAGCAAACGTGTGAGCACAAGGAAATGTCAGGGTTCATAAAATATATTATTAGCATGCTTCTGATAAGGGCTCATACCAGGTCACGTGAAGCATCTTGTGTTCTGTGGCATTTCCTTTATATATTATAAATGATCCCTTATCCTTGTGAGAAGGTGTAATTTGGTCTATGCCAGGTAGTGTGAACTGGCATTTGAGGCAGGAATGTTTTAGTTAAATAACACAAACACTCTGGACACATCCAGTCCAGGAATGACATTTATACAGTACAACTCCATGTTGATTTAATCATCCTGACCCAGCCGTTCTAATGCTCCATAAAGGAGTTAATAGAGTTGTAAGCATCCAGCAAGCACACCATTGCTTTACTCACTAAGATTGCAAAATGTCCCTGATCCCTGCAATCCAGTCACAAGTCGAGTCCAAAAAGAGGTCCATCAAACCTTTATTGGTAGAAAAGCACTACAAATTTTACTTGGGTCCCACAGCAAGCATTGTTTCAATCTAACAAAAATGTTATCAAGCTGCAAGTCCTGCATAGTACAGTCAGTCTGATGGGAGGACATGTCCCTGGTAACTTCATTCGTTCTGTGAGAGATATAAATGCCGCCTTCTATAAATGCCCATATTATATATATATATATATATATATATATATATATATATACATACACACACAATACAGAGGCTTACCTATAGGAATGCAAGTGCTGCCCCCTGTTGGTGGTGGCTGATTGACTCGAAGTGGTGGTAGGATTCTATCCACTTCATCTCTTGAATTAAGTGCTTTCTCATCATGCCTGCTAAATTTCCTGTGAGGTATTTGTGGGTGATTCTTCTGTTACTCCGCCTGGCTGCCACTCTTAAAGGGTGACTGTAAGCACCATCACAACTTTGCATTATTCTAAAGGTAATGGTTCAGAGAGCACCCGGGGTCGATTGTCAGTACTGATATAATCTATGAACTGCCTGCTGCAGCTGTTAGTACTGAAATAATCTGAGAACTGCTCGCTGCACCTTTAAGACAGTCTTTCAGAGGTAGGTAGAATGCTTTTAGTGTATCAACTCCACTGTTTAAATTCCAGAATCCCAGAAACCAATTTCTTACGTTTATGGGTTTCTTTACAAGTTTCAAGTCAGAATTACACACCGTTTTCAAAACTGACGGGAGACCTGAAAAATGCAGAAGTTTGGATTCCCTTGAGTAGAAATATTACCATGTCATTTCCTAGAGACTGAAAATTAAAAAATGTTAATTAATGTACCTCCAATGTCTGGTTCCTTTTCAGTGAAGGATTATGATCGGGCTGTGCAGTATTACACAAAGGCCATCGCTCTGAACCCTGATACTGCAATATACTATGGAAACCGCAGCTTGGCGTATCTCCGCACTGAATGTTATGGCTATGCTTTGGCCGATGCTTCCCAGGCTATTCAACTGGATGCCAAGTACATCAAAGGCTATTACCGGCGAGCAGCCAGCAATATGGCCCTGGGGAAACTCAAAGCTGCCCTAAAGGATTATGAAACGGTCAGACTCTCTGCCAGAGTGTGGAGTTCTATGCTTCTCCTAAACTGTTCCAGTGATGGTTAGTCTGTGCATTGCAGCTGTTGTGTGCTGTATTTCACATGATACTTATTGGTAATGTAGTCCTCAGCCGCTCTAATGCAAAGATTAGTTGTTACTCTTTTTCATTCTTTTAGTTTCTTTCCTCTTGTGCATTTATTTACTTTGTGCGTTTTTGTTTTCTCTTCCACATTTCTAGCCGTATTTAAAAATAATTTCATGCCACCTTGTCTTCTTTTTTCCCCAGGTGGTTAAGGTTCGTCCCCACGACAAGGATGCCCAGATGAAATTTCAGGAGTGCAGCAAAATGGTTAGACAGAAGGCGTTTGAACGTGCAATTGCTTGCGACTCGAACCATCGCTCTGTTGTGGACTCCTTGAACATTGAAGGAATGAGTAAGTGGTGGCAGGGAGACTGGTGGAATTGGATAATGTGAACATTAAATACCCGAGAAAGACTTTACAAAATAAATCTTTGCAGATGTGAGTTTATGTATATAGAGCGGTTTGTTGAAAATAGGGTGCAACATTGGCGTCATGGTGATTGCGTTAATATAAATTCTTTGCCGCACAGTTACTTGTTATGAATAGCCTCAGGTTTCTTGTTTATGTTGATCTGCAACTACTTAATGTATATTGCCATTCCTTACATCAGCCTTTGATTAAACAGAATGCCTTGGTAACTGACAGTATATCCTCTGGCTGCTTCAGAAGTTCCCCAGGTTAAGAAGCTCTGATATAGGGTTCTGTTAAAAAACATCCTGTTGGAAGTACTTGACAACCAACATGCAAAATATAGCCCAAAATGGATGTTGGGAGACAAACTGATGCTTTTTAATGTAATATTTTGCGATTCCAAATGATTCTGGGCACAATTCATGAGTGCACAGTATGAATTAAGGATGAGCTGCTGCCTCCTGTTTACACACCTCTTTCCATGTCTCCAGCTATTGAAGATGAGTACACCGGTCCCCAGTTACAGGATGGCAAAGTCACATTGGATTTTATGATAGAATTAATGAAATTTTATAAAGATCAGAAAAGGCTTCACCGGAAGTGTGTATACCAGGTAAATGCACATATCCATGTTTGCTTTTGTTGTAGTAAGACTCTTCAGATTTAAAATGTCAACACTATTTGAGAACCTAGTAATTGCATTAATAATTTATTAGTGTAGTTTAAGCATGGACTTGTTTTACCAGTATGACTTTCATACTGATATTCCAGCATGTTTTTTGGAAACCAGGAGATAATTAATTTGGGTTTCTACCATTGCACGGGTGGAAGCTGTTTTTGTTTGGGTGATATCCCATGTGTAGGCTCTTGAAGTGCTGTGACATTCTGATAATGTGTATCTCCCTGACACACAAACAGCCTGTGTTTCCGCCTTTGTCCCTCTTCTTGTAGATGCTAGTACAGATGAAAGAAATTCTGTCGAAACTTCCCAGCCTAGTGGAAATCACACTGGACAAGGTTTGTACAAATCGTAATCAGGACAGTAACATAATTTTATTTTGTGTGTGTGTGTGTGTATGTATGTATGTATGTATGTGTGTATATATATATATATATATATATATATGCATTAAAGGAACACTGTAGTGTCAGGAAAGGTTAAAAACCTATTTTAGGTGGCCAGGCCCCATTGCCCCTGTTAAGAGATACTTACCATTTATTCCAGAGCTGCTGGCTCTGCTCCGCTCTTTGCCTTGGCTGAGATCATTAAAATTGACTATCTCAGCCTCCCAAGGAAAGCATTGGGAGGCTATTGCGCATGCACGGCAAAACACTAATCCTCTATGAGGAACATTATGCGCTTCCATGCAGAGCGTAGAGACGGTGAACATCCATGCTTAACATTGTGCAGCACTGACCCAGGAAGCACCTCAAGTGGGAGTCTGCGTGTCAATACAGGTGTTACTAGGCAGTAATGTAAACACTGCCTTTTCTATGAAAATCTTATAGATTTTTTTTTGATTGGGTAATTAAAATAAAAGATCAGGGTGGTGCAGGAGACAAGGTAGTGCTTACTTAGATTTCAGTAAGGCTTTTGACACTTTCGCACATAGAAGGCTTATCAATAAACTGCAATCTTTAAGTTTGGATTCCAATATTGTTAAACGAGTTAGGCAGTGGCTGAGTGAAGGGCAACAGAGGGTTGTAGTATTCAAAGCAAGGTCTTGTTACCAGTGGGGTACCTCAGGGATCTGTTCTTGGACCCATTCTATTTAATATTTTTATTAGTGATCTTGCAGAAGGTCTTGATGGTAAGGTATGTCTTTTTGCTGATGATACTAAGATATGTAACAGGGTTGATGTTCAAGGAGGGATAAGCCAAATGGCAAATGATTTTGGTAAACTAGAAAAATGGTCAGAGCTGTGGCAACTGACATTTAATGTGGATAAGTGCAAGATAATACACCTTGGACGTAAAAATCAAAGGGCAGAGTATAGAATATTTGATAGATTTAGGGCTAATAATTTCAGATGACTTAAAGGTAGGCAGACAATGTAATAGAGCAGCAGGAAATGCTAGCAGAATGCTTGGTTGTATAGGGAGAGGTATTAGCAGTAGAAAGAGGGGAAGTACTCATGCCATTGTACAGAACACTGTACGCAGTACTGCAGACCGTATCTCCAGAAGGATATTGATACTTTAGAGAGAGTTCAGAGAAGGGCTACTAAACTGGTTCATGGATTACAGGATAAAATTTACAAGGAAAGGTTAAAGGATCTAAATATGTATAGTTTGGAGGAAAGATGAGACAGGGGGGATATGATAGAAACATTTAAATACATAAAGGGAATCAACACAGTAAAGGAGGAGACTATATTTAAAAGATGAAAACCACCACAACAAGAGGACATAGTCTTAAATTAGAGGGGCAAAGGTTTAAAAATATCAGGAAGTATTACTTTACAGAGAGGGTAGTGGAAGCATGCAACAGCCTTCCAGCTAAAGTGGTAAAGGTTAGCACAGTGAAGGAGATTACGCATGCATGGGCATAAGGCTATCCTAGATTTAAGATAAGGCCAGGGACTAATTAAAGTATTTAGAAAATTGGGCAGACTGGATGGGCCTCATGGTTCTTATCTGCCATCACATTCTATCTTTCTAAAACAAACTCAAAGCTGCAAGATTAAATTAGATTTTGTTTACATCTGTCTTTTGGATTTAAAGCAAATAATAATTTGAATCAGTGCATCTCTATGAGGAAAATTCCTGCAGAGCGTGGAGATGCTGAACGGCAGTTCTGCCTACTGTGCAGCACTGTGCCAGGAAGCACCCACACTGAAGAGTGGCCACGTGGAGGTGTCCCTAAGGGCAATGTAAACACTGCCTTTTCTCTGAAAAGGCAGTGTTTGCATGAAAATGAATGCATATAATGATACTCCCCATAATAAATACATTAAGCTGTAGTTGTTCTCGTGACTATAGTGTCCCTTTAAACTCCAGGAAACAGCAGGAAGCGCCACTAGAGGGAGTCGTAGTACTGCATTGCAGCTTCTCTAAAACCGTTATGTTTTACATGGCAGGATTAAGGGGGAGAGGGACACTGCATCCTTGCCACTTTAACAAGATGAAGTGGACTGGGTGCCTATAGTGTCCCTTTAGGAACACATTATTATATTTACTTCCTTTCATGTGTTTTTTCCTGTCCAACTCTTCCTGTTTTCTGCATCCTTGATCTCATCTCTTTGTCTTTTATCATTTTTTTTGACAGTCTGAACAGGTGACAGTCTGTGGTGATACACATGGCCAGTTTTATGATTTAATGAATATATTCCAACTCAATGGGCTCCCGTCTGAAAGTAATCCATATGTATCCTTAACCATATCTGTAATGAAAGCACTTGACTCCTCCTTGATATACTTTGTACCTACCTTGTAACTATCACTACCGTCAGCTTTTTTTTTTTTTTTTCTCAGCTCCTGGGTTTCACATTTTGCCCTGGGGCCCTTTATCTGTAGCTCCTAGCTTTCACAATCCTTTCCTGTTGCACTTCTACATCTCCTGGTTCTTTCTTTCCTCTCCTAGTGCCTTTTTACGGCAAACTCCTTCCTTTCACAACCCTCCCCTGGGGCCCTTTTTCTGTAGCTCCTAGCCCTCGCATTTCTCCCCTGGGGCCCCTTTTTCTGTAGCTCCTAGCCCTCGCATAACTCCCCTGGGGCCCTTTTTTCTGTAGCTCCTAGCCCTCGCATTTCTCCCCTGGGGCCCTTTTTCTGTAGCTCCTAGCCCTCGCATTCCTCCCCTGGGGCCCTTTTTCTGTAGCTCCTAGACCTCGCCTTTCTCCCCTGGGGCCCTTTTTCTGTAGCTCCTAGCCCTCGCATTTCTCCCCTAGTGCACTTTTTCCGCATCTCCTGGGGTCCTTTTTCTGTTGCTTTTGACTCACATTGCTATCTTGTGGCCCTTTGTTTGTTTTTCCTGAGTTCCTGCAGATATTCAATGGTGACTTTGTGGACCGCGGCTCATTTTCAGTGGAGGTTATTGTGACACTATGTGGCTTCAAACTACTTTACCCAGCTCATTTCCACCTACTACGAGGTGAGCCCAAACCCTGTTACATGTCTATAACAATGTTACACCTCTCACTCTCCTTCCATGTCCAAATATAAAGCACCTCTATCAATTCTTAATGTTTACTTCATCTCCACAGTTACTACAAGCCCTCACTGCATGTCTTGGTAGGTCCCAAATCACCCTACACAAGTCATTGTTCTGTGTGTGCCATGTACATGCTCATACAGCTTTTGTGAATAATTGTAAATTTAAAAAAAAAGCAGCTCTGCCTATACCTTGTGTCTGTAGTTGGCAATATTCAGCACTCCAGATGTTATGGATTATATCTCCCCTGATGCTTTGCCAGCCTTCTGACTAAGAGCATTATTGGAGATGTAGTCCACCCTAGGTGGTATTACAGCGCCGGTTCCTATTTTAAACCATCTGTTGCTGTCTGTAGTGGTTATGGTGCTTTAGTGCCTCATTATGTTAATATTCCATAAAATAAATTCAGGCAGGTAATATAAGATTAAATTTATACCCAATGTGCTGGCAGAATTCCTTTAAAACATATAGGGTGAAAGTGAAGCTCACTTACTCCACCTTTAAGATGGTACAAGGATATACACTACGTGACTTTTTTCCCCATTCGTGTCTCATTTATTTCTTGAGTGTTTTATCTTAAAACAATTTTAGTCGTTTTTTGTTTTTGTTTTGTTTTTCTCCTTTTCTCTCTGTCCTTTTCCTATTTTACTAACATTCCTCTTACCCTATGAGGTCTTTTTTTTTAAAGTTGGGTCTGGCATGAAAGCTACTTATAAAGTTCTTTTCCGGAGTAATTTTTTATTTATTTTTATATCCAGGTAACCACGAGACAGACACTATGAACCAAATGTATGGCTTTGAAGGCGAGGTGAAGGCCAAGTACTCTAACCAGATGTTCCAGCTGTTTAGTGAGGTTTTCCAGTGGCTGCCGCTGGCAATGTGCATTAATAATCGCGTGCTGGTAAGATGTGGAGTTATTGTTCATTTTATATACTTAGCATTCTCTGCTGCCGGGTTTCATGTATCCCCAGGATCTGTGACTCATAATCCTCTCACTGCAGGTACTTATTGAGCAGCTATCATAGTAATTAGACAGCGACACATTACAGCTGTAATTTCTGTGCTGTGGTTATGGCATTCTCCACTTAGTAGTAAAATAAACCTTTGACTTATGTCAACACGATCCACCACACCTCATCATTCATAAACTCACAGGTCGCTAGGAGCTATATTTACAGGAGGAAGCCAAACTCGTAATCCTTAAGGCGCTAGAAATGTGCCCAGTACTCTGGTTTGCAATGCACTGAGCACACTCCTGGCATGCCATGTTAAGCAGAGTATACTGTTTGCTTTTGCTTAATGATGTTATTTTGAGAGAATAATGCAATCTCAGGGATTTACTGGGAAGTCTTTGTTTAATTATACTCTGAAATAAGCTTTGTTCTTAAACTGTTTGTGTATTAACTCTGTAGATTATGCACGGAGGCCTGTTCTCAGAGGACGGAGTAACTTTGGATCAAATCCGAAATATTGAAAGGAACCGTCAGCCTCCAGATTCAGGTGGGTACAGTGCAGTCATCATTGAATCTTTTGTTTTTTTTAATGTGTGTTTCCTGTATAGCTCCAACTTCAATTTTGTCTTCTACTAAATAATTTGGCACCCGTTTGATGCAAATAAAGATCAATATACACCAAATAACCTGCCCTAATTACTATGAAAAAGTAAAAGGTATTGTTGCAGACACCACAACCAACAACACGTGGGGACCATTTAAAAACCGTTCGTGCACCCTGCATCATATTCCTCTCTTGTTTATCGTTACAGGGCCAATGTGTGACTTGCTGTGGTCTGATCCCCAACCACAGGTAAAATACAAATAGATTTTTTTTTTCCAATTCAAATCCTCAAAGCTTGTTCTGTCCTTCCAGATGCACGAAACTTTGGATTTCCCCCAAAATAAGCTGAATCTTTCTCTTATCAGGACGGAAGGTCTACTAGCAAGCGGGGTGTGAGCTGTCAATTTGGTCCAGATGTTTCAAGAAGGTTCCTAAAAGAGAATGGTCTTGATTATATTATCCGCAGTCACGAGGTGAAACCCGAAGGATACGAGGTGTGTCACGATGGGCTTTGTGTGACTGTCTTCTCCGCACCCAACTACTGGTGAGAAAGGCCTCTCTTCATATTTGTCACATGCACTCTCATCAAATGTTTCTTTCTCTCATTGTTTCTATTTTCTTGTTGTAGTGATCAGATGGGTAATAAAGGTGCATATATACATCTCAGTGGTTCAGACCTAAAGCCCAAGTTCCACCAGTTTGAAGCAGTGGTGAGTCTTCTTTTGGTTTACAATATGGAATAAAAAAAACAGAAGTCCAAATTGGGGTGTCTGTTATGACATTTCTTTCTTTTTTTGCTAACTGGAGCTCATTTCTCCCTTTCCCTCACAGCCGCACCCCAATGTCAAGCCAATGATGTACGCAAATTCTCTGCTCCAGATGGGAATGATGTGAGGAGGTTTCAGGCAATGGTGCTCGCACTGCAGCTGCTCCCCCACGGAGGGGTACTTCGGAAGAGACTGAAAGAGTTGCTCTGTATTTTTCCCCATCTCCCCCTCCACAGTTGGAGGTGTTACAGGGAAACAAAAGGAATATTTTTTAATACTGTAAATGAGGCAGAAGTACAAGGGGCAGACAAGAGTTGGGAATGTTATTTCACGTGTTATCTGAGGGCGGGATGTGTGTGTGTGCGCGTGGGCCTTGCTGTCTGCAGTGAGTGAGACGTGTGGCTGAATGTGAATGTGAGTGTGTGTGTCATATCAGCTAGAAACGCACAATAATCATATCCCTGGTCCCTCCTGTATTACATTTCCGTATATCTTTACCCTCCTGTATACGTTCCATGTGTGCAATACCCCTTCGCGCTGTCTGTAATTTACAAGCTTCTAATAAAGATTACAATCAACTTCATATCTGTGATTGTAAATGGGAAGGAAACGAGTGAGTGCCATCGTTACATCACGTGACCGCATGGCGCTTTGTTACATTGCCAATAATCTATTCTCCCTAATGCCTATATCTGTCATACTAGAAGGATTCTGTATTAACATCAGCGTCATTCATGCTTCCCTAATACAAAGCTATGATTCAGGTTAAACCAACACCCCCTTCTGGAGATTGCATTTTTGAAATCATTTCCAAAAGGTGAATGCCATTTAGTTTCAAACTTGCAATTTAAAGATTAAGTAATACATGATGCAATAACCAGTTTCTAGTCAAATAACTAAAAAAAGAAAAATTCCAGAAAGTCTTGCTCCTGTTGTTAAATTACTGTCATTTACAGGCCTTGACCTGTTGCTGTTACCTCTTTACAATTAACCCCTTAAACTGTCCTTTCAGCCCATATTGGCTCCACAGTTATAGGTGGTAAAATACTGGAGTCCATTCTTTCATACATCTCCATATCTACCGTTCATCAAAAAGGAAAACCTAGTTATCTATCTACCCCACCCCACAATCACAGTTTAAAATCCCCTTTATAGTCTTCCCAGCCATACTAACATACATCAGATTCACACCCCACTGACTCATCCTCACATTAAAGGGAATATTATAAATACACACAGCTCAACCTGGCTAGTAGTGTAATATATATAGATATAAGCTGATCATCCACAATATTAAAACTTATGTAGGTCCCCCTTCGTGGTGCCAAAACAGCTTGTCTGCATCAAGGCATGGACTCCACACGACCTCTTGGCATGTCCTGTGTTATCTGACCCCAAGACACTGGCAGCAGATCCTTTATGTCCAGCAAGTTTTGCATGGGTGCCAAGGCAAAACCTTGGACTCTTGTCATGTTCTTCAAACCCTACCTGAACAAGTTTTGCAGTTTGCATTGTCCTCCGGAAAGAGGCCACTGCCATCAGGGAACACCATTGCAATGAAGGGGTGTATGTGGGCTGCAGCAGTCTCTACCACGCATTCTGATCTGAAATCTGCCCTTATCCCATAAACCTCTATTCAGCTGGAGTAGAATTGAGTCGCTCCCAGTCCAGCTGTCAGTCATTGGTTTAAGCTCTGCCCTTTTCTTTTATTGAACTCTGTTTGTTTGTAAATGAGGAGATAGTGAAACGATAGTGGTTACATATAAAAAGTTCACTTTTTAGGTTGTTTTTCTGCCTATTCCCGCATTGCAACATGCCTTTTATTTTGAAAATTGTTTTGGTTCACAAATTTATTTCCAATGTATAAAAGAATACACTCGAAAGTGTGCTGCTATTTCTTTTATTTTGGGAGAGGTGGAGGGGGGAACATATTTCAATTGTCACAATTTTTACTTGACAATTTGTTTTGGTGTCTCCTCCAAAGCAATAAAACCCAGGGAATTGACAGTCAATCTGTAAGTAAAATAATAGTTCTAACTTGCTAGGTACAGTTTTTTTTGACAATCGGTGAAAACAAAATTTTGTATAGAGGTCCAGTGTGTCAGAATGAAGGCCCGGAGTAACATATAATCCTATATATTCATTATGTACAGGTTGGGCCAAAATTCAGAGCAGGATTTGAGCAGTCTATACGTTGTTTATTTTTTTTTATTAATGAATCAATTTCAAAGATATTACATGCTTAAGATATGGAAATTTGTTTGACTCTGTACAGAAGAGAAAATCGTTTTAAATGAACTCCATTAGTTGTTTTGCAAAGCCGGGCTCTTTCAATTGCATTGTTCATAATCTTAGTTAAGTTCAAGGCCCTAGAGGTTGAATTTCTGCACGGATATTCTCTGTGAGCTGCCCAATTGTACACAGTTTACATAGTTACATAGCTGAAAATTTGAAGCACAATTTTGCAACAAGCTAAAAAAAAAAAAAATCCTTCTTGACCCCAGAATGGCAGTCAGATTTATCCTTGGATCAAGCAGTTATTACCCTACATTGAAATCTTATACCCTTGAATAGTTTGTTCACATACACCCGCTCCTTCAGATATCCTAACCGCAAGTAATCAGAAGCTGAAAGGTCGGTCGAATGTGGCGGCCAATTAATCTGGGAATTTCTCAAGATTATCTGTTTGCCGAACGGTTATCTCAGTTTAAAATAAAATTCCAGTTTTCTCCCAAGACTTCGTTATATGTATCTGCAGCAAAAAAACCAAACAGAACTACTAGGAAATACGTTATTTACCTGTTAAATCCTACTCTCAATTTTGGGCCGGCCTGTACAAAATTATAACCGTAGTTCACCATCAGTCTGTGGAGTGGTACTGATTACAGTTGAAAATAAGGTTTTGTTGATGGGTGGCAAGATATATTTTTTACATTTTCTAATGCAGTTCGTGTCAGTTACTTGTGATTTTATTTTGTACATTTTTATTCAGTGGTGTACTTTCTACAGAATTGACGTCCCCAGTTACATTTTAAAATTCTGTGGATGTTGCTGTGATGATTGACAGTTTTAAATTGTCGAGGAAGGAGAACAGTACTAAGTTAGCACACTAGATGGCAGCAAAGCACATTAACATTTAATTTAGTTCTCTACTTGTGAAGGTAGAGTTTAAAGTGTCTGTACCCATTTTATTTGTGCAGTATGCTCATTTAGAACCCTTTTCAAACAATCCCCCCACATCCCCCTGTAATCAGATGCTACGTTCTTTATGTATAAAGGGAAGACCTTCACTGGTAATATTCAGGGAAAATTCTGACCGGTTATAGACCCTAATCCTGGTATTTAGAGCAGTGTTCCTCAACCCAGTCCTCATGAGCCACCAACCATCCAGATTTTGTCAGTATCTCCATTGGAATAAAACAGGGAAATATAGAAGTCCTGGACTGTTGGTGGCCCCTGAGGACTGGGTTAGGGAACACTGATTTAGAGGGCTTTTCTACAGATAGGAGCTATTACTAAGAATTTGAATGCCAAAAATTAGATGTGAGTTGTAAAATGAAAGCCTTAAATATAAAGAATTTAAGGCACCCTCAATCTGTAAGACTTCCCCTATTTTCCAAGCACAGATTTTTGATTGCGAAGTCTTCGTGTTGGAGCTGCATGTGATTGCAGCTTTCTATACTTCTCAATGAGCTCTGTGGAACGAACAGAAATGGGAGAACATCTCCCTGGCTGGCTGAGTGATTTTAGTAAACTGTCACAAATGTTGCTGACTCCAGACACATAAAACACTCCAGAAAGTTAAAATGATTTCTGTTCCTGGAGTGTTCCTTTAAGTCAGACAGAAATGGGAGTCTTGATTATAAATCTGGCCCACTCAGACCACAAGCAGTTTACACTCCTATAAATCAATGGATTTTTACAGTGGGGTTGGAGAATTGAAAACGCAGCAGAATATTTCTACCCCACAAGGATATTTTTATTGAAGCACTTTGCGTACTGCGGAATCTTTATAATATGACCTCATTGTTTTAATAGGGTCTGGCAGGCTAGCAATCATTTAATGGATCTACGGTACACCCCTGTTAAAGTGCTGGGATACACTGACATTTCTGGGTTGAGTCCGTATTCGGAATATGAAGTCAATATCCGTTTATGATCAACAGAACACCTTACACTGCTTGCCACACTTTAGCAGAAGTGCTAAAATAAAATGTACTGTTTGAGTGTCAGAGATGAAAATCATGGAGACCCAGGCATTACTAAATTAATTTTGTTGGCTCCTTATTTAACTGTATGAAAGACATTCACCAAAACAATGTTGGCTTAATGAAGCAGTTTTTGTCTATAGATCGTGCCTTGGAAGTTTCACTGCTTAATTCTCTGCCATTTAGAAGTTAAATCACTTTTGTTTCTGTTTATACAGCCCTAGCCACACCTCCCCTGGCTGTGACTGACACAGCCTGAATGGAAACAAAATGGTTTCATTTTCAATCAGAAGTAATTTATATATAATTATAAATATTTTTATCTCCTGGTCTGTAAATTGAACGTAAATTTCATATTGGAGGCCCTTGCAGTGTCTAGCAATCTCTTAACAGAGCAGGAGATAAGAAAATCTAAAATAATCATAATTTGCAATAAAGGATGTATAAACATTAGATGACTCTTTACAGGAAGTGTTTAGTGCTTTGTAAGTCACATGCACGGAGGTGAGCCTAGTGCTGTATAAACAAAATGATTTAATTCCTAAATGGCAGATAATTGAGCAGTGAGACTGCAGGAAAATGATCTATATACCATAACTGCTTCAATGAGCTAAAGTGGTTTTGGTACTATATTGTCCCTTTAAGTCGTGTTATTTATATTGGAGTGTGGTGATTTATTGTGAAGCCTTACGGTTCATTAATTGACATTGTCATGCTTGTCAACTGTTCAATGGGACTTTCATAATGTTGGAGTACATTAAAGCCTTACGACATGTAAACCCTTTATTTAACTCATACCCTCACACTGTATAGGTACAATGATCAGTCATGATTTTGCACTTCGGTTATCATATGTGTCCACAGAAGCTAGTTCACATTTTAATGCATTTAATTAAATCAGTAATTATTGTATTTGTAATATCAGCAGTCTCGCGTTGGTGCATGCAGCATTTACATAAGCTGAAAAGAGACAGTCATCTGCTCAGGTTTTAAGAGCAGCTTTTCCGGTTTGATGAAATGTGTGTTTAGCCCTGATACAGGCACAAAACACATGGCTCAATCCCAAAATGATTCTCGCACGGAACAAATTGTGTATAAAAGTAAGTTGTGCGGTACACATCTATTCCTATTTTTGCTAGCAGAAGAAACTGATTGCAATAGGCCTCTGATTACGGGTGCTTAAGGCTTGAAATGCGTTGGGTGGCTCCACTCATCTCTCAGATTGCTTAAAGATATGAATTTATACTTTTGTGAAGACCATAAAGATTGACTACTTTATGTGAGTGATTTTCCTTCTTCCTATCTTAACTTGTATCTTATCTGAGATTTTTACAAAAAAAAAAAACAAAGTGTGTCAGGCACTTCAAAATAAATATAGTGCTCAAAAATGTGTCAAACTGATGTATGAACATGTGCTTTCTCCAAAACACGTAAAGACAATTATAAACCAAAGTATATAAGTATACCAGTAAGGAAATAAACCTTGTGACACAGTGAATAAATAAATAAATATACAAACGTATACTGGATAAAGTTAATATCATAAATCAATAAAAGGTGCCTAAAATAGAACACAGAAACACAACAAACATAATGGGAACTGTAAAAACATATATAGTTGAACGGTGGGGTAGGAATATCACTCACATGGCTCAGAGCCGTACCAGGCTCTGTAAAACACGCTCGAGGGCGAAAATAATGGCTACAGGTTCAGGTTTTTTAAGGAACAGGATACAGGACATCAAATGATTCCATCACAAAGTATATTTATTAATAGAACTTTAAAAACATATGCAAAAAATATATATAGGATAACCGGATACTAATTTAGAGTGCGTTGCGTACCACGAGTCCATGTCATCTGGGAGAGTCAGCGATTATGTTGCGGCTGAGCCTGATTACCAGATATTGGAAACACGTGTTCCCTATGTGAAAGACGATATAAATTGCAGACTGTGGATGAAACGCTGAAACGCTTTTGCTGCTCTTTACTACTTACTTTTATGCCCTTTATATCCCTGGGTTACTGGAAGGTGGTGAGTGGTACCCATAGTGGACTTGTTTATGCTTTTAACTCCCACTACCACTCTAAGTTAGTATCCAGTTATTTTATATATATAAGGCAGAGATTACACACTTCCTCGAAGATGTACCAACTCATACTGACATTGGGTGCTGTGATAGGATGAATATAGTCAGCTGACACCCTCAGCCAATCACAGCTGCCCTTTGCTGCTCACGCCAATGCTTCCTCATTAACCCACGCAGCACAGAGAGGATGGGCTGCAGGAGATTTTGTATTTAACATTGAAAGATTTAAAAAGTTTTACACTGAATGGAAGGACATCGCCGTGGGACTCTTTACCCCAAAACCTCTCCAATAAGATGAAGCGTTTACAGTGCTTGCCCTACAGTCCAAATTTGGTATGATAATGCAGAGGTATGAACTTCTGTCTCACCATACCAGCTCAGACCGAAAGAAGTGTGCAGGCCTTTCAAAGAAAGGTAAGTGTTAAATTGTTCTAAAACAGTTTACTGACTCCTGGCACCATAACCACTACAGTGAGCAGTAAGCATTATTCTTACCTAATAACAAGCACACCCAGCTGTGCGTTTGCTAATGTTATAATGCAGCCAGGAATTATTCATAGATCATGTCTTATGAATTAATTACTGATAGTAAATCAGGTTATGCAATTTATAGAACATTTCAATCTTGCTCACACAAGTATTTGTTTTGGTATATATGTATTTTTTAAGCTTTCACAAATTAAATACAAATGACAGGTTCACTCTAAAGAGCACTCAAGGAATGGAGAATCATTTTGGCACTGCAAGTGTTAAATCAGCATAGCACATGAAGTGGGGGCTCCCAAAGTGTGACCCTGATCATCTGGCCATTAACCATGAGAGTAGTGTAAAAACCCTGGGACTCAGGGCCAGATCCTGACAGTTACACAATATCAATATATATCAAATATTTAAGTGATACTTTTCCTTATCAAACATTTATAATTGGACAAGATAATTTTTTTAAATTAAATCCGCTGTTTGGAAGAATTACAATAAATATGTAAATATGTTAGTGCAAACAGCATGATACACTCCCAGCGAAGTCCGTGGATAGGTAGCAGCAACTTCACCGAATTGTCCAAAATAAAGCTGTTCCCCAAATCTTAGGTGCACAGACCATAACTTGCTTATTGTTCAGTGAGCAGTCCTATCTCACAAACCTACAATGGCCACCAATGATCCAGGACATTTATACTGAAGAAGCCCATAAGTAGAATGGGCGAAACGCATTGAGCAGAGGCTTGTGTAAATGCATCCTAGCGATCAGTAATTCTCCATTAAGGTCCTCTAAGACTAGGTCTACAGAGGAATGATCTGTTTGTCATGTGTCCTACTGAAGCAATGGATTGGAGAGTTACTGGCCCTGGTAAGAGCTAATGTGATTTTGCACATTGTATTGTTCAATGTGCATTTATGTCTGTGAGTGTTTTTTTAATGTTTTTTAATTTGTAATGATTTTAGATTGCTCTTCAACGTCTTGTCTATGTTGATGCTGAACATTATTAGATTAAACATTCAGTCTGGTGGAATTTATTCACATATTTATATATGCATTTTATGGGGTGATTTGCATTCCCTATACTTTGGGGCATCGTTGTTTTCCCTGTGGCTCAGATAAGTGGAAATGGTATGGTCCGTGCAGTGATGTGGGCTGCCCTCATTTCATATAGAGGCCGAGCAATTACCTGCCAAACCCAAGTCACACCAAGTTCACACATTTGCCCGTTTACAACAGAATTACAATGTCAGTGGGAAAGGGTTCCTACTGGTTACTGCAACGTAGCCAAAACTTTCACAATAGTGGGCAAAAGCAAAGGACTTTGGCACAGACTCGGTGCCTATGGTTTGACTGACAAGGAAGAGCAGAAAATGTCCTTCTTCTCTCCACAGTATAGCAACATGCAGGGAGAATGTGTGTTGTAAAGATGGGAAGTAACACAAGCTTCTAGTGAGATTTATGAAAGTGTGAAAACTTGGAAAAATCTCTCTGGATTCAACTCCCAATACATTATTATGCAAAGTTCATGCGCCAAACCACGTTGACTTAGTATAATGGGGAGATATCTTGACAATTCTTATTAGCCTAACAGATTTTATTCTTCTTCAAAATGGCATGTTTTAACCAAGTCAAATTTTGATACACCTTATGAAAACACATGAAGACCAAGCTGCACCTTCTAATTGTTGCACAGTGGCTTCATTCATGCATTTTCATGAATAAAACTGCTACCAAGTCCTAAACTACATCCCCCATGAACCCTTCTGGGTGAGGTTAACGGCATAGGCTCGGACTCCCAGTAAAATTAAAAAGGCGCCAGGATTTGCTTAAAGGTTTCATCCAGCTCTTGGTCTAGAGAGATCTCATTGCAGAAGAAATTATGAACTTCAGATTTTTAATTTTAAATCAAGTGAAATCTGAGTTTGAGTGCCTGGCAGTGACCTTCTTTGGTATTTCCAAGTAATTGTATCACAAAATGTAGAACCTTTGCAAGACACGATAATTTATATCACACACTCAAATACAAAATTAAGTGCATCTCTGTATGCTTTGTCTGAATTTATTTAAGTGCAACAAAAATGAAATGATCAATAAATATCTCCATGAGTCTCGTCACTTTGCCATGGGTTACGTCACGTGGTAACGAGTCCTTTGCAATACAACCCGGTTTTAGAGAGTCTCTGACACCTGAAGGAACAGGTGTACCACCACATAGCAATTTAAAAATGGTCTATACCTTGTGTTAATCATTGTTCAGTCTGTTCAACAGGTTTCTATAATTATAACAAAAATTCAAACAAAAGATTTCCAGCTATCTGTGGGAATTTTTTGCTCTGGGCATCATCAGTGAGTCCGTAGAACAATTTATGTATTCTGCAGTTCACAGACTCTGATTGGCTGCTGACATCACATGATCTCTGCAGTCTTGCAATAATGTATCAGTAAATGTTTTAAAATTGTGATACAAAATGGCCGCCTCCTCAATGAAACAATGACAGCTCTTCTAGTGGTAATTCTAGCTAAATTTACCACAACCTAGTTAGATTAATTACATTAATCTATACACTTTGTTGTTTTAAACTTAGTTATGGAAATACATTTTAAGGTGATGGTACCACTTGAAGCATTCAAACTGTCTCTTTTAAAGCATTAAAAATTTTTTTTAAAAATCTCTCTTCAACTTCAATGCTACCTGTATTTTCCCAATAAATACTGTTTATCTCTTCTCCTGTCCAATAAGAAGTTTTTTAGATGCCGTATCTTATTTACAATATGGCTGCTCACTCGTCGTTCTCCATATTTTTCGTGTCCCATTGCAGTCTGTCTCCTTTCATGAACTGTGACTGTGGTGCCTCTCAAGGCACTATAGTGGTCCTTGTTGGGGAGGAGGCTTCCTGAGAGCTGATAATGGAGGGGGGTTTGGTGTTGGGACCCCAAGTTCTGCAGATCAGAGAATGCAGTTTCCTAAACACAGATCCACGAAAAATGATGAAGATCCACGGGTCCAGGATGGGGTTAAGCGCACTGAATCGAAATGCTAACAAATCTGCAGATTCATTCTCATCCTTGTAGACCGCGCCAAGGAAAGCACGAAGCTGCAAGACAAAGTGGGACATGTCAGCGATATTTGTGGGATATTTTTGAAACCCCTCAGTAGACATAGTTGATACAAGTGATATTATTACATATTAAAATAAAGCAGATTAAAAATATTTTTTTGTGAGTCTTAATACTGCAGATTAGTACTTAAACAGTTAAGAAACCGCCCTGTAGTTTTCATGAAGTATTTTGTTTTTATGTTTTAAAGATTCCTTAGTTAAAGAGTCGCTCCAACCAAAACCAGTGTTTTCAGAAAACAATGTTTTTGATTAAAGTAACCCATGCTGTGCTGGGCCACCCCTTAAATTAAAAAATAAAGCTAAAATTTACCTCTGTTCCAGCACGGATGCCAAGTTCTCCATCAGCACAATCCTACCCTGCTAAAGTCACACCTCCTCGCTGGAGAGGGGGATGTCAGGGCGGCTGGGGAGAGAACATTAGGGGCTTGCCACGATTGCCTGTCTGTCACTAGCATGCTGTGTGTGCACTGACGACCGATGCCAAATATGCACAGAATTAACATTAGCCACCTGGAACTCACGATCTGGGATGGATTGTGATGTCTCGGTGACGCTAGCTGAGATGGAGCTGCAGCGATGGCAGAGGGGTTAAACTGTGTATGCGCAGCGTTTCGAAGCGCAAACATTGAACATACAGACTCCAGGCACCATGACCACTTCAAATCACTGTAACTATGTTTAGTGCCGGACTGCTCACAAAAATGTTCCTAGAGAGAACATAGATAAAGGGTGGTTATGGCCACTTCTAATTTTCTTGCCCTATAGTTATTTGCTAAACTGAGGATTCAAAGCGAGTTTCAACTTTAAAGACAAAATAGCCGAACTGGAAAAATTCTTAAAGTCAGCCATGCTTTCAGTTCGACTACTCTGGCCTTAAAGAGAAATTCACTTGGAATTCTCACATTAGTGAATAACGCTGACAATGTTGCTACGCAGGCGGGGTGCACGGACTAATTCTAAACTGTTTGCGGTTTATTTCCAGATATCATGTTCTGCCAGAGCTCATTTATGAGCCGACACGTGATGGGGATGGAGATATAGAAAGTAAACAGAGCGTATCTCACCATACTGTGTACACGACGAGATGCAGCGATAATAGGTGTGATTCCACTGTGCTTATTTCCCATGGTTAGAGATAGAACGCTCCCACACACCAAGTTCATACATAGACATCTCAAATCTACACTTTGTCTCTGTTTATATAAAAATATGAGCGCCATAAAATGCTGCAGTTTATTCTTTACACACAGGAGACCATAATTATAAATCTATATATGACATCATCATATATGTGGATGATGTAATCTATGCATTATTCTCCATTGAATAAATACTGCAATATGGGACGCTTTGGTTTCATGGTATATTATATCTCCAAAAGCCATTGGTTGCATTATTTTCTTAAAATGCACAATTATGTATTCCTTGTATCTATGGATAGATAGTTTGCATCTAATACGTCACTCTCTGAGTGCATATTATACTGAGATCATGTCGACTAAAATCTACTGGAGATTGAGTCAATTAAAACTGGACTAAAACTAAAACTAAAACAATTCAGATGACTAAAATACGACTAAAACTAAAATGGCACTTTTGTCAAAAAAACAATGCCTAAAACATAATTGAAATTTGCCACCAAAATTAAGACTGCAGCTCAGCTTCTCGGACCTTAAATTTGAAAATCCCTTTGAATTCTCATTTTAGTAAATAATCTCGCTAGGAAAACCAGCCACATACAGTTAGTAATCAAACCGTGAAACAAAGTGTCTATACTAGGCGAGCTTTATAGTAGCAACATAGTTTCCCTATAACAGAGCTGGCTATATGCCAGGACTAGCACACGAACGTTGAAACTAAAATTCTAAAAACGTCCTGTTATTTCGCAAGTCTCATAAGTTTGCTATCACTAAACACTGACACATTTTTAATTAGGGCAATTTTGTTAAGAAGGGAATTCATTTTTGTTCTCATTGCTTTGTGTTATAACTATCATCACTGTTATCGTGTTAGAATGACATGACTCTTCGAGCCACGTTTTTGTTTTTTACATGTTTTTTTCTTTACAATGTTATCACAACATAAAAACTTTGACGACTTTTGAAGTGCAATCCAGCATTAAAAGACCACACTTCCGAACGCCGTACATATATGTACAACCCTGTGCTAAAATCCGCAATATCAGTGTTTTAAATAAACATTCCATTTATGTGAAACATTATTAGAGAGATGTGAATACTTCGAGCCAAATTGACTCCTCTTCCAGTAATACCGGCTATTCAAATAGCCATATGTTACATTGAAGAGCTGTCAGAAGGAGCAGCCTTTCTCCGATTAATGATTTTTTACACTAACAGGGTTAGTTACCAAAATGAGAATTCAAAGTGAACTTCAGTTTTAAGACCAGATTACTGATCTTAAACTGGAAGCATAGATGACTTCAGAGAATTTCCCTGTTCGACTACTTTGACCTTAAATATTATTTTTACTTTGAATTCACCTGGAATTTTTACTTTAACAAATAAACCTGTGATTCTATTATCAGTGAACTCGTACACACTATCTTACAGGCACCCTCGTATTATTATTGTTACAGACACTCTTGTTTTTGTTTTTTAACACACATCTAGCACTACTAAAACAATATATGTGTATATATATATATATTTATAGAAAAGAGGCACATTTAACAAGAGACCAAATACATATCAAACATTTGTTTAATGTATCTATTTTATTTTCTGTTCAAGGTACTCTACATCATATCGCAGTAGGGGCACGATTTATTTTAGTATCCCTTACCTCTTGTGCCACTTTACCCCACTCCCACTAGAATGTACGCTCGTCAGAGCACCCTCTGTTGCTGTGCGTTTAACTCATCTTGTTAGAAATACTTGTCTGTTAGCCTGCCCAGGACAGCAGAATTTGTTAGCGCTTCATAAATAATTCTAATAATAATATTAGAATTTATATCCATGACTTATATTTTAACTACACGACACCAGTGGTATTGTCACTAGGGAGTAAACGGTCATACTCTAACAACCAAACTGCAAAATTGCAACTACTGCCCAAAATAGCCAGACATGAGATTTTTATTTTACCACTTATCTTGTACCTAAATATATTATTTGGTTATTAGAATAAATAGTTTAGGGTAAAACCCAGAACATTTCCATGTGCAATAGGAAATACTTGAATGAAAATATCAGTCGTAATGATGAAAAATAAATTTATTTATTTTTTTAATTAAAGGTTAATAAAAAAAAAAAAGTAATTGAGGTTTAAGAAATATTCTTTAACCCCCTCCAGCATTTTATGTTGACCCTTCTGGATGCCCCTGAGGAAGTCCTGTTCACAGTGTTCAGGACAAGGGGGACCCATACATTGACTTTATTTTTATTATAATGTTACTTTTATTATTATTTTCAGTTATTTTTGTTTAATTTCACTGGATTATTTTCGGCCTATACGTTGTTCCTTCTCCTGATGAATCCTACCTGTTCTACAGTCTCTGGAAGAGCAATATTTCAGTGTGCAAGAATTTTGAATCCATTCTGCGAGTACATTCTAAATAAAAGGTGTTTTATAATTCACACTGGTGCACTATGTATTTGTAGACACCTTTATGTGCCTGCATTCAAATTTAATCTTCTGAGTGCAATACAGCCACCAGCGCTACACTTAGTGTTAGAGTATTATACTATTGTATTTTTTTCCTTTATAGATAGTTTTTTTAATATGTTTATTCAGAAGATAAGAGGAATCATCGTAAAATCTAAAGTAACACATAACGGGTAATATTTTACTCATTATACTTCCACTTTCTGGAGGGCACGTTTGTTACATAGTTTCCATTTTTATATTTGGTAATGGATTGCTGGGTCAACAGCCGGGAACCCTTGGCAGTGAATGCATTTAAAACGTCATCGTAAAAACTAAAATCACTTGGTATCAGTAACATTGGAATACAGCGCCATTTAAATAATGTGATTAGGAATGGTGTTTTTTTAGTGTTAGGGTTGGCAGGGGTCAATATTAAAGGACCACTCTAGGCACCCAGACCAGCTTAATGAAGTGGTCTGGGTGCCTGATCCATCTAGGGTTAACCCATTTTTTTATAAACATAGCAGTTTCAGAGAAACTGCTATGTTTATAAATAGGTTAATCCAGCCTTTGAAGCCTCTAGTGGCTGTCTCATTGACAGCCGCTAGAGGCGTTTGCGTGCTTCTCACTGTGAAAATCACAGTGAGAAGACACAAGCGTCCATAGGAAAGCATTATGAATGCTTCCCTATGAGACCGTCTGAATGCGCGCGCAGCTCCTGCCGCGCATGCGCATTTAGCGGAAGAGGAGGAGAAGAGGCGGAGAGGAGGAGCAGAGCTCCCCACCCGGCACTGGAGAAAGAGGTAAGTTTAACCCCTTCCTCCCCCCAGAGCCCGGCGAGAGGGAGTCCTTGAGGGTAGGGGCACCCTCAGGGCACTATAGTGCCAGGAAAACGAGTATGTTTTCCTGGCACTATAGTGGTCCTTTAAGGAAGACTTAGGTTTACGGGGTACCTGCCTTCGAGATTACATGGACTGTGAATCCTGGGACTCTCAGCCATGTTGAGAGTTATGGGAGTCCCGTCCACAGTCAGCTGCTGTGGAGTACGAGGCTCGTTTTGGGCAGGCAGAGTTGAAAGGAACTAAAAAATGAAATATTAGTATATGATCTGCTCATTACACTCTATTGGTAAGAGTAGATTCTGCCAAAGTACTGCATTGAGATGTCCAAAGATTTGTTGGACATTTGTGAGGTGTTATGTTACTATATATTCTGCTTTATGAGGTAATAACTAGCTAGATCTGGGAAGATCTCATGTGTGCGCAGAGACAGAGCGTATGAATCTGTCCAGGCCTTGCCCTTACACACAGCGCAACAGCTCCAACCGTCATTTGGAACACATAATCCCAGCCTCGTTCAAGACTTTTACAAAAAATGCAGTGGATGCCAGGAATAGTTTTCCTGTCATTGTGGAAACAGCCGTCAAGGAATTCCAAGATGTCTGGGATACGTATAAGGCTGTCTTCAAGGATAAATAATTACAAGCTTCTTACATATAAGAACATCTCCAAACGTTAAGGTACAATTTCTCATTATAGTATTTATCACGCCTTCCAGATACGTTTAACACCTCAGTGTTGCAACAGCAAATTTTAAATGGCAACATTTCTAATGCGACAAAACCACACCGCTATCATAAGTTAAAATGAGCCCCGCTCACTGTACACTAACACAGGGTTCTACAGAATACACTTCGATACCACCCACGTTATGTGAACATACATTGCTCTGTTTTTTTGTCTTTTTTTATTCGTTGTTATGTAACGCTTCATGATATCTGTGATATACAGTAACGACTGTCTTACTCAACTACATGACTTGTTTATCGCAGCCCTGCATGGCTAGCATGTCGAAAGGACATTTATATGCCAAGGACCTGCAAGTCTTACCTCTTTGCTGCAATCTAAAAACGATATGAAACGCTCAGTGAAAAACGACAATAAAATTCTAATAAACCAAAAAATAAATAAAACAGACCAAGGAGGTGGGCAGGGCCGTGACGCAGTAAGAAGCGCCATCCCCTAAAAGGTTGCATGTCAGCCTGGGATGAATGCATGCTAAGCTTTCACAGAGACTTAATGGCCCCACTAAAGGTTGCCCATGCCTAAAGTGTTCTTAAAATGCTCGTCCCATGGGCCGAATGCCAAATTTCCATATTGGCCACCATTAAAAAAGTTAAAAACAAATGTTTTAAGATTGATTATCTTACTTCCTCAAGACCAAACCAGCCAGCCATCCCTACCTCACCTTGCTTTTACACAGTATCAGCATCTGGAGCTTATACAGAATGAATGACTCCAGCGAATACATACACTGACACCCACCTTCCAAAAACACCCCTCCTTTCTTACATACTGTACCTGCAGCTTTTTACCACACTCTCGCCCATCATGTATAGTTTGGTTCCAGATGTGATCAAGCCTTAGTGTTGGTCTTTCCACCTTTAACACAGAATGCCAACCTCTCCCTCATACACACACATAGTTTCTGCCATATACATACTCGGTGCCAGAATGACACACAGGTTCTTTCATTCGAACCCACACCCGCCCAGTGTCCATATTATGCTGTCGGTTTTTCTCACGTTACCTCATACCACCTCTTACAAGCTAGGTTTGGTTCATATCCAAACTCTGCCAATCTCAGCATAAAACATACAAACACCCTAGAACTCCTCTCGTTCCTCAAATCCCTGATGACTTCACTCTCTGTTACACTTGAAACACCCACACTCATTGTCACCATTTCTCCATAAACTAAATGTCAGAGTAAGTCCTGTGCAATCCTCCATACAGTGCTTGCCTATAAACATGCATTGTGTGATAATCTCTCATCGCCCACTGATGCTCTGTGCTTCATATTCAGACATAGAACCCCAATTCACATGGTCTTAGAACCCAGAGTATCAGCCTGTAACTGATGCCACAATCAGACATGATATGGTCTATTTGTCAGCATTAGGTAGCAGTAAAGAGTGTGGCCAATAGGTAGATCCCCAGATGTTTTAAAACTACAGCTTCCGTGAGGCTTTGTCATTCTAAAGCCAAAGCATCATGGGAATTGTAGTTCTACAACAACTGGGGATCTACTTTTGGGCACCCTTGCAGTGCAGGAAGGAGATCTTACTTTGACACATTATGGAATGAAGTGGCAACATTGTTGGCCAGAGGGTAAACCCATCTCTGGTCTAGAAACATTGGGGTTTATTTGCAAAACATGGTAACCATGGAGACATGGCAGAGGGATTACAATTTCTACTCCTAAAATAAATGCCCCATATGTATTGCTGTTTGATTGTAATTTAAAAGGAACAGTACTGTGCATATAAACATAAATAGTTTTGTACCCAGTGTATCAGTGGGGTCTTATAAATTTCAGGGCCCCCCCTTTTACAATTTTTTTTAATCTTGTTATTCATCTGTAATCCAGTGCTGAGACAGACTCCTCTCTGCCGCTCCGTCTACTTCCTCTGAGGTTCACACAGGGTGCCAACCCTAATGTCGTTACTCATACACATTGCCAGCCCTCCTGTTTCTCCATGTATATATAATGCCAATCCTCCAGTCTCTCCTTATACACAGTGCCAGCCCTCCTGTCTCTTCTTATACACAGTGCCAGCCCTCTGGTCTCTCCTTATACAGTGCCAGCCCTCCAGTCTCTACTCATACATAGTGCCAACCCTCTGATCTCTACTCACACAGTGTAAACCCTCCTGTCTCTACTCATACATAGTGCCAGCACTCCTGTCTCTACTCATACACAGTGCCACCCTCCTGTCTCTACTCATACACAGTGCTAACCCTCCGGTCTCTACTCATACACAGTGCCACCCTCCTGTCTCTACTCATACACAGTGCTAACCCTCCGGTCTCTACTCATCCACAGTGCAACCCTCCTGTCTCTACTCATACACAGTGCTAACCCTCCTGTCTCTACTCATACACAGTGCTAACCCTCCGGTCTCTACTCATACACAGTGCCACCCTCCTGTCTCTACTCATACACAGTGCTAACCCTCCGGTCTCTACTCATACACAGTGCCACCCTCCTGTCTCTACTCATACACAGTGCTAACCATCCTGTCTCTACTCATACACAGTGCTAACCCTCCGGTCTCTACTCATACACAGTGCTAACCCTCCGGTCTCTACTCATATACAGTGCCACCCTCCTGTCTCTACTCATACACAGTGCTAACCCTCCTGTCTCTACTCATACACAGTGCTAACCCTCCGGTCTCTACTCATACACAGGGCTAACCCTCCGGTCTCTACTCATACACAGTGCCACCCTCCTGTCTCTACTCATACACAGTGCTAACCCTCCTGTCTCTACTCATACACAGTGCCAACCCTTAACATTCTTATTAGACTGTGCTAGACTGCTAGCTGCTAATCTCTACTCATAGTGTCAACCCTCCTGTCTCTATTAATATACCGTGCCAACCCTCTTGTCCCTACTCACACAGTGCCAATCCTCGAGCCTCTACTAATGCACCGTGCCTACCTTTATGTCACTACTCATATACAGTGCCAAACATCACATCTATACTCACACACAGTGCAAACCATCAGTTCTCTATTCATACACAGTGCCTACCCTCCTGTCTCTGTTCACACAGTGTGCCAACCCTAATGTCGCTACTCATACACATTGCGAGCCCTCTAGTCTCTCCTCATACACAATGCCAATCCTCCAGTCTTTCCATATACACAGTGCCAATCCTCCAGTCTCTCCTTATACACAGTGCCAGCCCTCCAGTCTCTCCCTTATACAGTGTCAGCCCTCTAGTAACTCCTTATACACAGTGCCAGCCCTCCAGTCTCTCCTTATACAGTGGCAGCCCTCCAGGATCTCCTTATACACAGTGCCAGCCCTCCAGTCTCTCCCTTATACAGTGTCAGCCCTCTAGTAACTCCTTATACACAGTGCCAGCCCTCCAGTCTCTCCTTATACAGTGCCAGCCCTCCAGGATCTCCTTATACACAGTGCCAGCCCTCCAGTCTCTACTCATACATAGGGCCAGCCCTCCAGTCTCTCCTTATACAGTGCCAGCCCTCCAGGATCTCCTTATACACAGTGCCTGCCCTCCAGTCTCTCCTTATACACAGTGCCAGCCCTCCAGTCTCTCCTTATACAGTGCCAGCCAGCCCTCCAGGATCTCCTTATACACAGTGTCAGCCAACTAGTATCTCCTTATACACAGTGCCAGCCCTCCAGTCTCTCCTTATATAGTGCCAGCCCTCCAGGATCTCCTTATACACAGTGCCAGCCCTCCAGTCTCTCCTTATACAGTGCCAGCCAGCCCTCCAGGATCTCCTTATACACAGTGTCAGCCATCTAGTATCTCCTTATACACAGTGCCAGCCCTCCAGTCTCTCCATATACAGTTTCAGCCCTCCAGGATCTCCTTATACACAGTGTCAGCCCTCCAGTATCTTCTTATACGCAGTGCCAGCCCTTCAGTGTCTACTCATAGATAGTGCCAGTCCTCCAGTCTCTCCTTATACAATGCTATCCCTCCAGGATCTCCTTATACACAGTGTCAGACCAGTTCTCAAACCTACCCGAACAGCTTCAGTTCTATATCTCCTTACACACTGAGCACCTTCCAGCCTCCACACACAGTGCTAGCTTCCATTCTCACACAGTGCCAGCCTCTACTCAGAGTGCCAGCCTCCACACACACAATGCCAGCCTCCACACACACACAGTGGAAGCCTCCAGTCACCCAGTACCAGCCTCCACACACACTATCAGCCTCTACTCACACAGTGCCAGCTTTCCCACACAGTGTCAGCCTCCACTCATACAGTGCCATCTTCCATTCTCACACAGTGCCATCTTCCATTCTCACACAGTGCCAGCCTCCACTCACAGAGTGCCACCCTCCACACGCACAGTGCTACCCTCCATACACACAGTGCCAACCTTCAAACACACAGTGCCCACCTTTACACCCATAGTGCCATCTTCCATTCACACACAGTGCCAGCCTTCAAACACACAGTGCCCGCCTTTACACCCATAGTGCCATCTTCCACTTACACAGTGCCAGCCTTCACACAAACAGTGTCAGCTTACACACAAACTATCAGCCTCCACTCACACAGTGCCAGCCTCCACTCATACAGTGCCAGCCTCCACACACACAGTGCCAGTCTCCACTCACACAGTGCCTGCCTTTACATCCATAGTGCCATCTTCCATTCTCACACAGTGCCAGCTTCCATTCTCATACAGTGCCAGCCTCCACTCACACAGTGCCTGCCTTTACATCCATAGTGCCATCTTCCATTATCACACAGTGCCAGCCTCCACTTACACAGTGCCAGCCTTCACACAAATAGTGTCAGCCTCCATTATCACACAGTGCTAGCCTCCACACACACAGTGCCCAGCTTTACACCCATAGTGCCAACTTCCATTATCACACAGTGCCAGCCTCCATTCTCACACAGTGCCAGCCTCCACACACACAAGGCCAGCCTCCATTATCACACAGTGCCAGCCTCCAAAGACAGTGCCAGCCTCCACTCACACAATGCTAACCTTCACATCCACAGCGTCAGCCTCTGCACTCACAATGCCAGCCTCCATTCTCACAGTGCCAGCCTCTGCACTCACAGTGCCAGCCTACACACCCACAGAGTCAGCCTCCGCACTCACAGTGCCAGCTTCTGCACTCACAGTGCCAGCCTCCACTCACAGAGTGCCAGCCTCCAATCTCACAACCTCTACTCACAAAACGCCAGTTTTCATACAGAGTGCCAGCCTCCATTTTGCCCCTCCATACAGTTTCAGTCTTCATTCCTTAATCCATAAATTAATATCTTCTCCACAGCAACCGTCCCATCACAGAGCTTTGCTCCCTTACACATTGCTGACATTTCCCATACGGTACAAGCTGACCTCCTCTGAAACACACTGCTCTCTATCACATACCATATAGAATGCCATCTCTGGGCACAGAGCCAAGAGCCCTTCATCTATAAACTCCTTATAGCCTTCCTCACTGCCATCACATGTGCCATCCCTTATTTCAGTTATACAGCCTGCACATGGCAAGACACCTCCTTTCCCTTTCCAATACCAGGATCCATTCCTTCCAATCTCCCCAAATCTAGCTTCCCTTCTCAATACTCTGATTCACACTACTGCCAGCCATCACTGTCATATCTAAACTATAAGTGGCATTGATCTGGGGAATGATAATATTCTTTACTAAGTCCGAGAACATGCCCTCAGCTCTTTAAATGCCATAGGGGAGCACAAAAAAGGCATTAAATAAATAGTATATTAATATTATTTCTGACCTTTATAAAGCACCAACATATTCCACAGCGCTGTACAATTTTCTTTTCATTACACTATACTTGTACTTTTCCATTGTGTGGCTTCCCCCCTGTGCACTTACAATGGCAACTTACTTTGTTATAAATTCCCATACAAACAGATACACTGCCCCTCTTAGTGCTCCCCTAAAGTTTCTACTTTACTCCCGCATCTCCATAAAAACAAATACACTCACTGAGCACAAACAAATGCCTTAATATATCCCCCTCCCTCTCGCACACTCAGAGGGACTTTCTCCACCCAAAAAACAGTATTCCTTTCTTCACTCACTCAAGGAGTTTTACTATTCCCAGGGATGGGATGCCAACCTCCACTTAGATGGACACTGTGGTATCTCTGAAATTACTATTCCACCCCTGGGCCCCCAGCACTCACCGTCATGGGTACAGAGCACACCATGAAGATGACGGTCATCAGAGTCAGTAGGATAAGATGCTCCAGTTCCTCTTCTCCTGCTCCTAGAAGCCAGCCTCGAGCACCCCCCCTTCGCAGTGATGCCCTCCGAGCCCTCTGGCCCTTCCTCATGCGGCATAGGCTGGCTGTTACAGAGATATTAAAAATCAGTATGACAAGGATTAGCAGTCCCGTTAAGCTGGCATAGAGCAGGGAAAATGCCAAGGCCCCCCGATTCCCGCCGCCGGGCACTGCCATCCTGATGAAGCACCATGTTCCAGGACAGTACTGCTTGTGTTCTCCAATTCCTACCAAGGGTAGTGCACATAGTAGGGTAACCAGTATATAGGTGGAGGGCAGGGCGGCACGGGCTAGATTCTGTCCCCCGCCATGCTGGGCATACACATATGGGAAGCTGATTGCTAAGCATCGTTCAAGTGCCATGAAAAACAGGATCATCATGGAGGCCAGATTGAAGAACGTCATGGCGAACGCGAAGAAGTGGCACAGCGCGTTGGACCCAAGAGCTATTAGAGACGCTTGTTGGGCGTAAGACACAAAAACCACGGGACTCAAGATACAGGTGCCTAGAAGGTCGGTCACTGCCAGTCCGGTAACCAGGATACAAAAGGGGGAGGCACGGGCTCGTCGTTCTCTCCGATGCACTCCTAAGACACCAAGCGCCAGAAGGTTGCCCACCACGCCAGCTGCAAACATCAAGGTACTGATTGCTGGATTACCATTTTCATGGACACGCGTGGCATTCTCACAGTTAAGGGACATGATGGGGTAGAGAGGTGACAGGATGTCACCAAAGGACCAGGGATGGTAGCAGCATCTGTCCTGCTGTCTTCGTCACCCCTTCTTCTGTGCACACCCTCTGCTTCTCCCTCCCTCTCGTTCTCTCACTCTCTACTTTATCTTCAAACTCTCCTCCCACTTAATGTACTTTTTAAATTTCTTCTTGAGTATCTCAGGATCTCTTCCTCTTTTCTACCGTTTCTGCTTTCATTTTTTTTTGTTTCCTTCCTTATTTCCCATTTTTAATTCCCTTTTTTCTTTCTTTCTTATTTTTCTTTCTCTGTTCTCGCTTTCTTTCCTCCAGTTTCCTCTGTTGGTTATCTTTCACGCTGTCTCTAATAACCCGTTCTCGCTCTGCTCTCATGCACTTGACTCTGTTGCTTGTCCTGACTCAGACTTGCTGAGAAGGGAAAGCGTGGAGGGGGAGGAGGGTGCTGCAAACAGAACGCGTTATTAGGAAAAGGGGAAACGGAGAGAATTTTTTTTTAAAGAAAATAAAAATAACTTGGGTGAGAATAAGGGTAAAGCAGTCGTATGTTTGGAGCACTGTGTCACCATGAGAGAAATTTCACACAGTTTAAAGGAGTGATGACTAGTCCTGGCACTCCAGATGTTTGTAAACTACATTTCCCATGATGCACAGCCAGATATAATCATTATAAAACAATATATAGGAAGCTGACTCTAGAACGTTTTACCTGAGCAAACATAAAAAGTCCAAGGACTTTTTTTAAATCCTTGTCAGGTGTGACAGAGAAGCCTACAGTCTGTGTAGAGAGACCTACAGTTTGTGTCATGTGTGACAGGCTGTGTGTGTTATATCGAATGCTGACAGGCTGTGTGTGTGTGTGTGTTATAGGGAATGCTGACAGGCTGTGTGTGTGTTATAGGGAATGCTGACAGGCTGTGTGTGTGTGTGTGTGTGTGTGTTATAGGGAATGCTGACAGGCTGTGTGTGTGTGTGTGTGTGTGTGTGTGTGTGTGTGTGTGTGTGTGTTATAGGGAATGCTGACAGGCTGTGTGTGTGTGTGTGTGTGTGTGTGTGTGTGTGTGTGTGTGTGTGTTATAGGGAATGCTGACAGGTTGTGAGTTAAAAAGAACACTGGCAACCTCTGAGCAACAGGTAGCGCTGGCAATCTATGTGTGTTCCATGGAATCCTGGCACTCTCTGCATGTGTGCATCATACATTGTTACCTTAGAGAAGACTGGTAAACTTCCTTCAGATTGGCTGAGTAATGGCACAAACATAGGCTGTAAGGAGTACAAACTAAGGTTTGTTTTGGGTCCTATATTAATTTTCTATTAACATGTAACCAGTGAGAAAATCATGAACTTTTTTATTATTGTTGTTAATATTTATAAAGCGCCAACACATTCAGCAGCGCTGTACAATGGGTGGACTAACAGACAAGTATTTGTAACCAGATGGGTTGGACACACAGGATCAGAGGGGGTTGAGGGCCCTGTGCAAATGAACTTACCATCAACATCAACTTTTCCCACAACATTTTTGGCTGCCTGTTTATTAAGAGGAAATAGAGAGTTTACAATTGTTTTCGGACTACAGGCTTCATCTACCTGGCTGAGCGTAGTGTGAGTTATGTTACCCTGAGTGTGACGGACCGCCTGGCACCCTAACCGGGTGCCTCCGCCAATCAATGCCCCTAGTGCTCACCGAGGACTTCAAGCACTCCACCAGATACCATAAGCACTGTAGCCCCTAAGCCTTAGCAGATTGGCTGGGGTCTCACCATCCTCCACCAACCCTGGACCCAAGACCAGGATCCAGCTTCCAGTGGGTGAACCTCTCCTACTCCAGAGAGTATAACAGGAACTGCCCCTATAAGAGCTTGTGATTAGAACCCAGAGAATATACAGTTGTTCCTCCCACACATGAGATGAGACTCTATGTTCAGGGTAGGCAGGAACTCATTTTAATGGTGCCACACTTGGCCTTTTATGACAATCCCCATGCAAAGGGGAACTCCCATATGAACCTGGTGGGGAACTACAGTACAAAGTCACAGACACATAGCATACAATCCCTCCCCTCTGCCTGGGAGAAAATTGAGTCAGATACTGTATTAACGCAATTATCTCCAGGCAGAAAAAACACATATTTTACAAAACCTCAAAAGTACCCCAAAACCAGTAAAACACAGAACCCCTCCCCCCCCACAAATGTTACATTCCCCGAGAGCCCTGATCTGGGTGACCAACATATCCAAAAATCACACAGATCAGTTCAGGGGTTCAGGAACTCTATGGAAGTCACATTTTTACCGACCACACGCATGGTTCCATGCCCAAAACAGTTCCAGAGCATCAGGCTGTGTGGTCGGTCTACTTCGGGGATTTGAAGTAAAATATAAAACACCGAACGTATAGCTTCGGGAGTAGTCTCAGTTTATGTCCATCGTTCGGGAGTTTATTCTTACCAAACGCCGTTCAAACAGCTGAACATCTGTGGAAGGTAGGTAGTTAGCGGTGTTCATGCCATCGAGTATCCGATTTGAGTTCCATGTACTCAACGACCAAACACCGCTCATTGTGCTCGCGGCCTAAGAAGGTGCCAATTCGAACCACTTCGACCGTTCGGGAGTTCGAAGTGCTGTTCCGAACGGCTTCGGGAGTTCGAAGTGTTACTGTTACAAGTCCAAAAGGCACAAACAGTGGTTTCAACCAAGGTTTATCACAGGGTAGGAGGCTGGCAAACAGGCCCCTCCAAGAACCAGTGGCGAGGTTACTTTCGCCACACTGGGATAAGTAGATACTGTGTGCAGTGCGTACAGAGAGCAAAGTTCTGCAATTGGAGAATTCCATTCCATGAGTTCCCGTGGTGATTACACCGATTTTAGAACTTTGCCACAGAATTATTCTGTATACACAGCCACAGTCTGTACGTTGCAGCTGGACGCAGTGACAGGATTATGTGGGATCTTATCCTAACTGTCACACAGATAGTTCCCTCAGATACATAAAGCATCTCACACACACACTCTGCAGATTCCGGCGCAGGTGACGTGAGCATAAGAGAGATGAGGACCAGAGACAGTCTGTTTAGACAGAGGCCCAGACAGAAGACATTACCATCTGTCTGTGTGCTCTTGTGTATATCTATATATGTGTGTGTCTGTATACAGAAGCTTACAGTTTTATCCGGACCAGGCTTTGTGCCCAGGGTGAGTGAGGGATTGCTTGTGTCGCTCAGCTCCCCGCACCACTCCTTGTAGCCCTGTCTCCTGACACAAAATTCTGTGGACGCAGGAGGAGGGTTATCAAAGTGTCCTGATCAGAAAACTGGTGCAAAGTTCTGAGAGTGGGGCAATCACCATGGAAACCAACTGACCATCAGGAACTGAACTATCAGTGATTGCTCTGTCTTTGCACCAATTTGCACCACTTGTCAGATCACAGCACTGTATAGGATATTGTGTTACTAGTGTGAATCATCGGGAATTCAAAGTGAAATAAAACATTTGGGGCAAAATCAATCCTAACAATTTACGCTTTAATGAATAACCCTTATGCATACATTTCTCACATTCAAGGTTACTCACTAAAGTGAGAATTCAAAGAGAATGTCACATGTAAGGCCAGAGCAGCTGAACTGCAGGCATAGCTAACAGAGATTTTTTCCAGTTTGATTATTATGGCCTTGAATTTGAAATTCACTTTGAATTCTCACTTTCATGAAAAACCGTGCTAGTCTTCGGGACCAAAAAGTGGTGTGAGCAGGTATAAGCATATAACAAAAGCAATTGTGGTAAAGAAGATTAATACCACATTAATACCTTGACGTGAATTAATTTGTGCATCCTATAGTTTTGCTGACTATGATAATCTGTTGTCGCTTTTTCCTAGGTGACCCTTATTGGAGCGGTATAAGCTCTGCCTGAGACCCAAATCTTGTGATTATAGTGTTCTCTTAGCAGCAAATTACACTTAGTTTACATCTGATTTCAAACCTCAAGAACGTATTATTTTATTGCATGCAGTAAATGCTTTGTGGAGTAAATAAAGATAAGATGAGATTCCTTTCAATTTTATTGTAGGGCATGTCTACCTATAATAACCCAAGTCATATATATGTATACACAGGCTTTGTATGCTTTTGCAAATTCATTGGAGTCACCTTTATGTTACCCCCTGCTCCAGTACTTATCTTCTCTTGATAGATAAAGAATTGTCTCTGCCAAGTGGTCCTTTTTCAGAAAAAAATAAATAAACGTACAACTCTCATACCTTTTTAATTATACCGGAGCCTATATGGCTCAAAACTACAGGGCAGCATTCTAGATCAGTTGTTCCCAACCCAGTCCTCAAGTACCACCAACCAGTTCAAGATTTAGGGATTACCTGTCTAAAATTTTTTTTTTTAGAAGAAAACAAAAAACGCTTTAGACACAACAGGGTAATCCCTAAATCCTGGACTGGTTGGGGGGTACTTGAGGACTGGGTTGGGAACCCCTGCTCTAGGTGATTGGAAAGAAGAGGATCTGAGGAAACTATTTAACTTATCTGCAGGTAGCAGTAGGAAGCAGCCCTGAAAATCCGAGTTCCAAATGGGTGCAGAGCTTTGGGAGCCCAGTCAGTCACTGCTTCACAGTGTGTGATCCCGGTCATTGTACCAAAAGCAAGACGACTCTGGGAGCATTTATTTTTCTAATTATGTATTTTTATTTTTGCCCTCATCCTGTATGGAAACACATTTCTAAAACTATTATTCTGAATTCCATTGTTCTACTTTTATTTATTCTACATTTACGAATATATTTAATTCTTTTTAATTTAGATCTCTTCCTGTATGGAAATGAATTAATAAAACATAGTGAAATCCAGGGGAATGCTCTATAACGGTGCCTTTTAGTCTTTATTTTTTTTTAAATCTATCTACCGAATGATTTATGTATCCTATAACACCATAGCAAGTCCCGCTATCTGTTTCCTAAATAGCAAATTGTAGGCAAAAAATTGCTTTTGAAATATTAAAGGTTAAAACACCTGGGTTAAAATTTCCAACTCAGCCAGATCCCTTACTTGACTATTTTGGGATACAGTCTCCAAACTTCATTTTAGTTCATCTCAATTAGCGATTTAGCGAATAAGCTTAATTAACACTTTAATAGGATAACTATTTTAACACCGATCTGTCTTATTTCCAATATAGCTCCCAATATACAGTAAGTAAAATCACAATCATCATTTGCAATCAATAAAGTATATGGAGAAAAACTCTTTGCAAATCTTATTCTGCTATATTATTGCTGCTACATTCATGGAAATATTAACTAATTTTGCTATAATTAGGTCAATCGTCTTGTAGGATGACGTTTATATGTCAGCAAAGACAGGATTTAAAGCACTCTTGTGCCGTATTATTGCCCCATTAGTGCAGCCCTGATTGTTCTAGTATATGAAAAGAATACTTTATAATATAATTATTCTATGATGAAGCCTATAATGACTATGAGCTCTGCCTTGCCAGTTACTGGCTATGCTCCCTATGTTGATGGTTTTAGGTAAGCTAGTTGGATCTCCTCTCCTCAGGTATGTTCTAAAACTGATGACATCATAGTATTCAACACTATGTAGTCATCAGCATGGTTTGGAATGCTGAAAATCACAGACTGTTCGTTTCAGTACTCAATTTTTGTCCGTTTGAGTAGCATTTTTTGCTTTTTGGCACACTAAGGGTTAATGTTGATAATAATGGTAGTTGCGAACTGTAGGACACAGAGGGCGCTGAATATATTATCTTTTTAATGGGTTTGGGATAGAATTGGGGTTTAAGGAACTTGGAAGTATGGGTTAGGCATCAGGGTTCGCTGTGAGGTTAATTGGAAGTCAAATATTATTTTAATGCGTGAGATGGGCTTTGGATTTTGCCCAGTAAAGTTGGAGGTTAGGTTAGGTCATGGGAGTTCTTAAATCTCCCTTCGTTGAATTAAGAGCTTTGGGCTTGTTTCCTAAACAAGGAATTATGGGAAAATGGCAAGCAAACTGCAAATTTTAGGCCAGTAAAGACTTGTTAGAAAAATAGCTGGAGTTATAGATTTTTAAAAAAAATTATGATTTGTCCTAAAATTTGCAATTCTCTCGTCAGTTCTTCACATTTCCTTGATAAGTGAGTACATCTTCTTCAGTGCAAGAATGGAACCCTACATTTTGAATTCTTTCTGGAACCCTGTTGTGGCCGGGGGCCCAAATCTCATACCTCCCAAGTGTCCCTGTTTAGGAGGGACAGAACTTGTTTTGCGCCCAAATCCCTCTGTCCCTCTTTTCTATCATAATGCTGTGAAATGCTAAATATGGGGAAATCTTATTTCTTTTACAGCTATGTGATGTTAGATTTCTAGGAGCTCAGGTGTCTATATTTATACCAGCGCTAGACATCAATAATAATCACAGTAATAGAAATCAGTCTGTGTAAATACAATACATTGTTGTTATTATACATAACATTTTAGTCACATAAATTGTTATTAGTAAATCACACCCACTCACACCCTTAAAATGAAAGTGTCTCTCTTTGTTCATATGAACTGTTATGATGTATGTAATTTGGGAGTCTGTTCTGGGGCCCTGTTGTTGAGCTCTAATTTGGAATCCTGTCTGGGGCAGTGTTGTGGGGCCCTAATTTAGAATCCTGTATGGGGCCCTAATTTGGAATCCTGCTTGGGGCCCTGTTGTGGGGTCCCAATTTGGAATCCAGTCTGGGACCTTGTTGTGGGGCCCTCGTTTTGGAATCCTGCCTGGGCCCCTGTTGTGATGCCCTTTTTTTGGGATCCTGTCTGTGGCTCTTTTTTGGGATCCTGTCTGGGGCCTTGTTGTGGGGCTCTTTTTTGGAATCCTGCCCGGGGCCCTGTTGTGGGAGCCTTTTTTGGAATCCTTTCTGGGGCCCTTTTGTGTGGCTCCATTTTGGAATCCTGTCTGAGGCCCTGTTGTGAGGGTCCATTTTGCAATCCTGTCTGGGGCCCTGTTGTGGGTCCCTTTTTTGGAATCATTTCTGGGTCCCTTTTGTGGGGCTCCTTTTTGGAATCCTGTCTGGGGCCCTGTTGTGTGTTAATCTGACTCTATTCTCCTAACACCCATCGGTGAGTTTGGCAGGCCATATGCTAAATCCATGAATTCACAGCTGAGTTCCCTTTAGTGAATATCCCACTGATAATTATCAGTGAATAAACCCCTTCATCTATATCACTGCCCAGATACCAGCCTCAGTACTTAGTTACTAATAAAAGGCTCTTTCAGGCTTTTGTGTCTTATCTTCAAAACATATTATGACTGTTTATATATTTACAGTGAGAAAGATGAGGAGTACATTTATAGGATACAGAAGATAAAAAAAGCAGACAGCTCTAAAAGCAATATGCATCCTTTCCGCCGCACTCACGCTATGGTAGAGTGACCCCCCACCTTGCCTTTATTATCTACTGCACCTTGTCCATCAATGGCAGACAGACACAAGAATGTATGAAATACATCAGTGACCATAAATTTCATAGACATAAGTGGCTATTTACCTAATCATTAAACAGGCGGACTGAGCCTCGCTTATGGAAGCCATATGGGAAATGTCGTCTGATCTCAAACGGTTTCCTTAAAGGGATGATAAGTATTTTAAGAAGTATCGAAGAGGATACTTGACGTTCTTTGGGAATATTGTGAAATGCTAAAATATGGGGAAATCGGTTTTATTTATAGCTCTGTGGCTTAAATGGCTTTTTCAGTTTGGATCTATATTACTGTAAGTCCCACACCCATCCTGGTTATCTATTTATAGATTTATAACATCTAATTTACTGCTCTTCTTCAAAAGGGGAAAAAATGACACTCAGTTTATTGTTCAGCATAAGCCTTGTTTATCATAGTCAGTCCGTCTATTATTTTTATTATTGCCATTTATATAGCGCCAACAGATTCTGTAGCGCTTTACACTATTATAAGAGGGGGGGATTTAACTATAAATAGGACAATTTCAAGAAAGCTTACAGGAACGATAGGTTGAAGAGGACCCTGCTCAAATGAGCTTACAGTCTATAGGAGGAGGGCTATAAAACTCAATAGGACAGTCTTTCACTTATATATCAGCAATTACATGTTTTCATGGTTAATTGGTTCATTTTTCATTTAAAAAATGTTTTATTTAAATTTTATTTTAAATGATCTATGTTTTCTTACATCCGCTTAAAATGCAATAAAACGTATGTTTGTCATATTTTGCCTCAAATCCCATTTTATTTTCCCACTCAAAATTTTTATTCAGAGTTTTGTTCATATAAAATAAAGCAAGGCACAAACTAGTTATAATAATAACAATTAATATTACATACGCAAACCATGGCTTCATGTTAAGGTACATGACATACCTGCGAGAAAACCAGAAACAAAACATGAAACAAAGTTAATAAAATCCGATTCACATTTTTTACATACGGTTTACTGTGTATCACTCTATATGTGCTTAGAATAAAAATCTATTAAAAACTATCTATATATTCAGCTAGTCATACTTTGTTTAACATTTATTTACTATTATTTTTGTACATTTCCGGATGGCCAACAGAAATGTTGACTTATTGATTCTTTCATATATCCATCCATCTATCTGTCTGTCTATCTATTTGACCTATCCTATCTATATAATCTACATAGCCTATCTAACCTATCCAATCTCTCCATCCATTTCACAATACATAAAACAGTGTCCCGTTCAACAAACAGTAACAAGCCTGTAGCAAAGTGTAGATGCTAACATGCAAAAAAAAAAGATTGATCCATGGTCTTTTGGGATTTTTTTGCATTTCCATGTATCTGGCTACATTCAAGGGAGAACTGCAATACCCACAGCTATAAGCTTCACAGGAACTCAGATTTAATGAGTTACTCCAACCATCATAACTACAGTCCGATGTATTGGTTATGATGTGAGGAGTTTGTTATAGAACAGTGGAGCGCTATATGGGAGATGGTATAATCTCAAAATTGTAACTTGTGACAGAATAAAAAACTTAACTCAAAATTTTCCAACGATTTTTGATCCTGTATAAATACCCTTAAATATAAAAATAAAGTGCAATAGTGCAAAAACCTTTAACACAGATATAAGTGCGTTTCAAGTGCCAATTTAACACTTACAAATTCTAGAGCTATATAACCTGGCTCTCGTATGTAATGCTTGTTGGTCCATTTAGGGCGACCACTCACCTCTTCTTTATCTTTCTCTTTATATCTCAAGATAATGGGAAATAAAAGATAATAGTGCTATTCCATTTTTTAGTGTATATCACTTTAAAAAATATTAAACACACTCACAAACATAGAGCCTGTAAAACACACTTATATCTGTGTTAAAGGTTTTTACACTATTGCACTTTATTTTTATATTTAAGGGTATTTATACAGGATCGAAAATTGCTGGAAAATTTTGAGTTACGTTTATTGTGTCACAAGTCACAATTTTGAGAGTATACCATTTCACATTTAACGCTCCACTGTTCTATAACAAATTTCACGTGGTTGTGTGGTTTTTGGAGAGTTACACATTCAGTATAGTAGCAGCTTTTAAATACTTATCACTAAGATTGTATAAAGTCCAATTTCCATATGGTCAACTTAATCGTTTAACATCACATTACTATGATGTGAGGAGTGTCCCGGCAGAAATTCTCTGTAATGGAACAAATCGTTTTACAACGGTTTGCCCTCTTACCTGGGTCCCTGTCTCTCCTGGACAGCAGGCTTACTGATCCTGCCACTTCATTAATTGGCTGAGAGCCTCAGCTGACCACTCTCAGCCAATGATTTAGCATCACTGCATATAAATATGCACAGAATTGCTACTAGCTAATCCAGGACTCTAGTTCATGGTGGCTTATGACACCTCAATGACTCTGCCGTAGGCGGAGTCACACCTCCATAAGCAAAAGGGGTTAAATTCCATATGTAAAGCGTTTCAAACCGCTGAAGTGGTCATGGTGCTTGAAATAACCCTTTTGAGGATATCTGGCATAGATTCCATCTATCCACTCTTCCGTTATTAAATGATGCCTCTTTATCTGTTTGCTGCTCATTGATATTTCCAGCTCATGAGACGGGATGTTTTGCAGATATTTAACACATAATACGAAAAGTCATAAATAAAATAAATAAATACAAGTTGTTTTGAGGAAATTAAAGTGAAATTCTGTTCTGTTGGTTTAAAAATAAGGAAACAATTAAAGCTGCAGAAACTTATACCAAATATAGCTGATGAGCGCAAATAATGGGGAACTCCCAGAACGCTAAGGTCAATATAGTCACATCGGAAAGCAAAGTCTCAAAATCAGCTGAAGTGAGCTATTCTGCCCTTACATGCAGTTACACTTGCTGTCTCTTGCAGTAACGAACCCTTGCAAAATAGTTCAGTGATGGAATATCTACTAGCAGGAAGTGGTGAGTAGATCGAAAAAGATCTCTGACCAAATTATTAACAGGTTGCTTTACTTACACGTGTTAATAGCTGGTAAGTGCAAATGAATTATGCTGCTATCAGAAAAACTGGTCTTAAAGAAAAGCACCCTCCAAAGGGTGGAACAGGAGCTTGAAATTATTTCTAAAGGACAACTGTCACCAAATCTTAACTTCTAGTTTTTTAAAAGTTTATTACGTTTAATGAAATGTAATTTTTTTTTTAAATGATGCAGAATGGATTTTTCTTTTTTGAGAAAATTTCTCTTTTTTTAATCTAACTGAGCAGCCATGTTGGGTCATTATGCCTCCCATCTGTGCCACTTACCCAGCCCTTCCCTGTTGGCCAGGCATTTGGCAAGACCATTTAGGTTACCCCTAAGTTTAGGGTGTGTGTATGTATGTTAGTGTTAGCATAGGGTTAGGAGACGGGCTGGTATAGGACATGGGAAGGGAGTTGGTAAAAGGTTAGTGATGATAATTACCAAAAAGTAATTTAGGTCCTAGACATATGAGGCATTTACCAATCATGACTAATATATGAAATTATTTAGAGTTTTTTTTTCTTAAAGGACCATGTGACGGACCGCTTGGCACTCCGGCCGAGTGCCTCCGCCAATCAATGCTCCTAGTGCTCACTGAGGAATTCCAGCACTCCGCCAGATACAATAAGCACTGGAACACCATAACCACAGTAGAACCCATGAACCGCCGCAGCTTTGTTGGGGTCTCACCGTCCTTCACCCACACTGGACCCAAGACCAGGATCCAGCTTCCAGTGTGTCGACCTCTCCTACTCCCAGAGAGTGTAGCAGGAACAGCGCTTATAAGAGCTAGTGATTATAATTCCTGGGGAGTATACACCCTGTTCCAAATTATTATGCAAATAATATTTTTCTAATTTACCTAAATAATTGATGTAAATAACAGTCAGCATAATTCTCATGTTATCAACTATTAAGAGTACAATTCAAATTTTATTGAACAAACCTCCTAATGATAACAGTATTTTTTTTAAAAATAAAAAACTTATAATGCACTGTTCCAAATTATTACGCACAGTAAGTTTCAAATCACTTTATAGGTTGTAAAGAACTGAAAATTGTCATTTGTTGTGTTTGCAGCATATTTACTGACATCAAAAGCTATTTCAATCAAACGTATAACAACATTTTAACTTTTTAAACATTTTAACAGGTCACGTTACATTTTAACATAGGACCCCTTATCTGATAGCAGCTTCACAGGTCTTGCATCCATTGAACTTGTTAGTTTTTGGACAGTTTCTACTTTAATTTGTTTGCAAGATGTCAGAATAGCCTCCCACAGCTGCTGTTTGGATGTAAACTGCCTCCCACCCTCATAGATGTTTTGCTTGAGGATGCTCCAAAGGTTCTCAATAGGATTGAGGTCAAGGGAGGATGGAGGCCACACCATGACTTTCTATCCTTTTATCCCCATAGCAGCCATTGATGCAGAGGTATTCTTTGCAGCATGAGATGGTGCATTGTCATGCTTGAAGATGATTTTATTACGGAAAGCATAGTTCTTCCTT